AACCTCTGCCTTACTAAAGCCTTAGTATACCTGCAACAGTTTAACTTAGATATATGCTATAGACCTAGAAAGCTCTATCTTATGCCTAACGCTCTATTAAAGCTGCATCTAAAGTGCATACTAGAATTAGACTTAGATACTAATATGCTTAACAACGTAGCTTATATCTTCTACGCTCTAATTATAGAAATAAGCAATAACTTTAAGAAGCGCCTAAAATAGAGATACTAGGCAGATAGCATATAGCAGCGCGTTATTAAAGTTATTTCTAGTAGGCAGTAAGACTATAAGGACCTAATAAGACTAATGCGTAGTCTACGTTTCTTTTATAAAAATAACCTTATCTACTACTAAGATCGTTAAGATAGCTCTAAATGCCTTTGCATTCTAAAAAGACTTATATATAAGATTTTTTAATAGGCATATAATAAATATTACTACTAAGGTTTTAACTGCACCTATAACTACGTTAAAGCTTTATTCTTTATCTGCTAGCTTACTAAATACTTAAAGACTTATATACGCTACTGCTCTCTCTATACGCTTAATTAGACCTTACAGTATAAGCTATATAGTTTGTTAGAACTACTTAACTACCTAAGGCAACTATTTAAGATTGCTTATATTAACATTATTATATACTTGCTAAAGACTAGCAAAGAATTTAACGCCTTTATAACTAAAACCTACTATATATCTAAGACAATTAATATTATCTCTAGCAAGAAAACTTAGAGCAGTAAGAAGTAAGCCCTAGCGCTAAGAAAAGTTAACCTACTATCTAACTAAGGCGCGTAACAAATTATTATTAGTAATTATAACTTTAAATTTATTAAGAGACTTATAAGCTATAGTTTTATAGCTTTGCAGACGTAACTTAACTCTACTGCAGCATAGCATTCTAAAGCAGATAGATAGTCTAAACAAATAAACTAAATAGTCGCTATTGCTCTTTATTTCTTTATTATAGAGAATTAGGACCTAGATTAGACAGAAGCTATACTATATCTACAATTTACTCTAAATACTAGCAAGAACGCTTCTATAAGATGCTTACTATATAAATACCTTATAGGTTTTAATCTACGATAAGATATTAACGTTACCTAAGCCTAAAACTTTCTTTCTAAGAAAGACTTTAAAGCTTTGCGCCTGCAATACTAGAAGAAGGCAGAGCAGTCTCTTAACTTTATAAAGATAGCATAGAAGAAATACTATAATAAGCAACACCTCTCTATTAAGCTTAAACTTAGAGATTACGCTATGCTAGTCCTATATTATAGCTATAAGCTTAAAGGAAACTTCTCTAAGAAAGTAGGCTTTTAATGCCTAGGCCTGCTTAAGGTTTTGCAAAAATTAGAAAAAAATACCTATTGCATTAAGCAACCTAAGAGCTCGCATATTTATAATATTATTACTATAGCATAACTAGAACTCTGCTATTTCTAGAAAGATAATCCTTATAATTGCCCTTTTCTATCTCTTAATGCTCTAGTAAATAACTATAATAAACTAGAACTCTGCGCTATTAAATAGATCCTTAAGCGTTAAGTGCATTATATTTTAGGAAAACTATAGTACTTTGTTAAATAGAATAGTTAAGCAGCCTCTTATAACTAATAGCTTAATACTATATTTCTTTTAGCAGCATAAGAAATAAGAAAAGATTTTAACGCAGAGTTCTCTCTTACTAAAGCTAAACTCTAGAAGCAACGCTGCATCTATGCTTAACGCACCTACTAGATAGACTATAAGCAGCGATAAACTAAAGAGCTACTAGACTAAGAAACCTAAAGCATAAGCAACCTACTAGTGCTAATAGATAAACCTTACTCTTATAAGAGCTCTCTCTTATATTTACTGCTATAAACGCCTAAGAATAATAATAGTTACTCTAAATAATTCTCTCTACGCAGAAAGAAAAACCTAAGGCTTAGAGACTATCTTAACGCTAGAGGCATTAATACTATCTATAATCTTAGTAAACTAAGCTCTGTAGAAGACTAACACTCTAAGCTAATTATTAATATTTCTAGCAATAGCTATCTTCTTTACTCTAACAACAAAGACGCTTATTAGAATAACGCAGCAGTAGTTCTAGTACCTTCTCTAGGTAATACCTGTTAGCATACTCTAAGGCCTAGGCCTTAACCTTAACTATAATCTTATTTTGCTTTTTATAGCGTTTAAAGAATTAGAAGAATAATTATCTTAGAGGAATAGTTATTAAATTTATATTCTTATAGTAGTGCAGTCTTTCTTTAGGACCTTTTCCTTACTAGCAGTATCTTCTTTTTATAATAACAGAACTTCTCTTACTATATACTAGGTAAGCTAGCTACTATTATGCACCTGCACTTTATGCTATATAGTCTACTAATTTCTTTCTATAGATTAGTACCTTACAGCAGACATATTATACGCCTAGCCTAGCAATCTCTATCTCTATACAGCTATATCTACTCTTATTATAATAAATATATACTATACTGCAACTCTAATTATTAGCTAACGACCTATTAACATAGAATAGAAGCTGTAAGTTTTCTAGTAAGATAAAGCTATAGGTTTCCTAGCAAGGTAAGAGAAGTCTAATTTACTCTTAATAAACTTGCATAACTTCTTACTCTTACTAACTAGTGCGCCTTACCTACAGCCTAACTAGTACTATAAAGAATACTACTAGATAGTTTTTAACTATTACTACTATACTTAACTCCTTATTATTACCTTATCTAGCACGCTACTTATTATTATATTAATAATAGGTTGCGCCTTATGCCTTATACTACTACTATAGGATCTATTCTTACTAAAGACAGTAACTTACTGCTGCAATCTAATAGCAGGTTTAATTTTAACTTACCTTATAGAATAGACTCTAATATTCTTAGTAAAGCTATAGCTAAGGCACGCGCTAATACTAACATTAAGAGCTTTACTAATACTAATAGCAACGAATAATTTTAGAATTAACTTCCTGCTACTTATAACTTTAGTAAGCAAGTTAAAGCTCCTGCTAACGCCTAAGATAGCTACTCTAGATCTACTTTAAATACTAACACTCTATAATCTTTATCTACTAGAGATCTATTCTTACTCTTAGAAAGAATAAACTTAGAAAGTAACAATTTATACTAGCAAGCTATATAAATACTTGCTATCTTAGATGCCTTTGCTAAAAGCACTCTTATATACAGCAATATACCTATAGATGCTAATACTACGAAATATATAAGCAAAACGTTTTAAGCTTTAGACTACTATTAATTAGAAATCTAATAATATCTTAACTAACTAGATGCTAAAGCTAGATTTTAAATAGATAGGATTAAATACAACTGCTATATCCTTACTAAATAGAGCTTTAGCAGAAGAATACTAAAGCAGCTCTACTAACTTAGCAAGAACTTTATAAAAGAAGGCACAACGGCTAATAACTAATATTAAATAGTACCTAAGCATATACCTGCACTTTAAATTTCAGCATAATAAGCCTTTTTTAGTGCTATAGGTTACCTTCTAGGTTCTAGATAATAAGAATTACAGCAAACTCTATATAAACTGCCTTATAGAGGCGCTTAGCGCTGCTAGTTACTAGATCTTTGCTTCTAAGGAGAGACTTCTAGACCTAGAGAAAGAAATAACGCATAAGCAAGTTTATGCTTACTAGAAAATATAGGCTCTTGCTATCTTTGTCTCTATGCTAAAGAGCTGCAAGAAAGAATAGGCTTAGTAAACTTCTATTAAACTAACTATAACTAAGTTAAAAGCTATTGCTAAATAATTTCCTCTCTATAGCAAGGCAGTCTAGTATTTCTTTAAGAAGGATAAATATCCTAGATATAAAAAGGTCTCTAAGACGCTTATTAGCGCATATTACTAGACACTACTATTTGCTAAATTTTCTATAGAGAAACTTAACAATAATAATTACGCCTAGTGCTGCGCATTATATTATACTAAAGAACTAGCTATAGGAATAAGGGCCTATAACCTAGAGAGTTAGAAATCCTACTAGACTTATGTTGTGGCTGAGCAAACTTGAGAGAAAAGATTGTATTGATTACTGCTCTTCTAATGTATCAGAAGAGCTGGCTTAAATATACAAACAGATTACGGAGAAATGTTAGTCCACTTCCTGAGCTTAGTCAGCTCAGTCACGTGGATCAGTACTTTACTGTTCTCATGTATCAATACTGCAACACACCCCTCATCTTAATTGCCCTGTTTGATTGAGATAACGTTACGCAGTGTGCATGTGAATGAGCTATTACTCCGCTCCCGCTCTGCTCTAATCGCTCGATTGGTAAGCGTCTGTTTGTTGTTGCGTTGTCGTAGAGATCGGTCAACTTGCGCGTTTAGCCTTAGCGCGCGCGATATCAACACCTTGCTCTGCGCCTCACGATCTTTTGACACCCTACCACCCAGCTTTAAGAATTCAATCTGCTGACTATGGCTCTAGTAAGTCCTACCGATCAAGAGGTGATTAAGTACCTTGCGCGTACTCCGCATTGCAATCGCCTTGAACTCTAGGCTATCAGTTATGCTAACTTAGCTGTTTCGCAGCGAAAAGGAAAAACAGCTACTCTAGCGCAGAAGAAGAACCTTAAGAACGCTCGCGCCGCTTGGTTCTCTAAGATATCAGATTTAAAAGGCACGCGCGCCTCAGCTCAAATTAATCAGCAGAAGTTAGCTTCTGAGGAGAGCAATCCGGCCCCAGATACTCTATTGAAGCTAGTCGCTGGGGCACTCTGCGAGAGCCCTTGCGCTAATTGCATCCTTAAGTAGTTAAGCAACTTAACTAAGAATAAGCTTGAATGTGTTGACAAGGGTGGCAAGTTGGGTCGTTGCGCTGCCTGCAACTCTAAGCAGTGCATTCTAAGGCATGTTTCTTACCTTATTTTAGTTACCTCTCGTACTGATTATACTATAGCATTAATCTCTTTATAACCAAGATAATAGCTTTGTACGACTACGCTATAGGCAATACAGCAACTATGACTGTAAGTAATCGTTAATCTTATTATAGCAGCGTTGTACTGATCTTTTGCAGACTTCTAAGTATACTGATAGGCGAAATGAGCTTATAGACGAGGTCTGTAAGTACATCGCTGGTTACAATAAGCCGTCCGGCTTTAAGCGCGACCGATCTGAAACCGCCGCATCCGATTCGACCCCTAAGCGCGCGAAGAAAGCTGCGCCACTTACGCCTTTGCAACCCCATTCAGATTCTTTTAGTCGGAAAATGGGCTCTAATAGAAAGTTGCTCTTAACCGATTTGACCCCTTCAAAGGTATCTGCCCACTAGGCCTCTGTTTAAGATAATAAGGAGGAGGATGAGACTACGGTGCCCGCTAGCGATCTTTCTAGCCTGAGCTCTAGTTCTCTAGGAACTGAGCGTAGTGAGCAGGCTAAGCCTTTCAGTCGTAAGACTGATGTGCTTAATAAGCTGTTTGATGATGAGGGCGCTTCAACCTCAGCTAGCTTCGATCTTAACGCTCTGGTCGCTTTTAATGACTAAATAGGTCATATCGACACCTCTCTTGGCGTGAACAAGAAATCGATTCGTCCTAGTTATGCTGCCTCTTCCTAACCGGCTTAAGCTGCACCTAGTAGCTCTGTTCAGCATTCCACTGATCTAGAGTTAAGTCTTTCTTTGAGCGGCTCGCGTAGGCCTGTTCGTCCTGCTCCTCTTATGCCTGAAAAGGCGCCTAGAGAGAAGAGGAGGAATAAGGCTACTCTGACTAACCTTTATAGATCAAATTCTCCTTTTTCTCGCAAGGCAGCAGGCTTAAGTAGATTAAACAGCGGCCTTCGTAGCACTAAGCTGATTGTTTCGATCTCTAAGCCTTCTAAGTTACCTGCTGAGCAGATCCTAGATGCTGCTGACGTTTAAAACGCTCTCTCTGTGGGGGCGCAGCATAAGCTTCCGTCTCAGTTTGAGCAGGAATTCTTATTCAACACTCTGCCTATCGTTACGGGCAACACCGGATAGGGCACTATTAATCTGACTAGCCCTAATCCGGTGATGACGATTAGTGACAGTAAGGCTGATCTTGAGTTATCGAGATTAGAAGCTTAGGCAAAGGAGCTTAATAGGCGTGCTGCTGAGACTCGATCTAGTCTCGAGAAGATTAAGAAGGCTAAAGCTGATGCAGCGGCGCGCTTAAAGAAGCTTCTTATCGAACGAGAGGCGCGCCTCGCGAAGGAGAAAGCTAATTAAGAGGCGCGTCTGAAGGACGTTCCTCAACCTGCTGTGATTAAGTCTATTGAGACTAGTACTGCGGCGAAGCCTCGTAAAGATCAATTAAAGCGTCCTGCCTTTGGGGAGACTAGGTAAGGTCTAATTCGCCCTTCTTCTCAAACTTCTTAGCAGTCTCGGCGGCCTTCCGATGCCAATCCTTAAGTTTCCGGATTAGTTAAGTTGAATCGTTAGCTTACTGCCGCTGCCTAGGGTCAAGATGCTCGTAACGGTTAACTAGCGCTTACTCCTCCTGCTTCTGAGTTTAGTGGTGGCGATTGAGCTGACCGCAGTAGTGCTGACACCCCTTTGACTAGTAGTAAGAAGGTTGCGCTACCTAGTCCTGCTACTCTACAGCCTGATCTGTTCTCCTTCAAGCTTCCTTATATAACTGACCCTAACGCTAACCTTTTCCTCATCGCAAATTCAGTGGATCGCTCTAGTCAGAGCTACGCTGATCGCTATCTATTAGATAATGAAGAGGCGCGTTACTTTAACTAGGGTGACGTCGTCTCTTTTGTTTCGTTTAAGGATAAGATAGTGAGGCAAGAGAGGCGTCTTAATCGTCGTAGAGTTCCTTAGGATTCTCTTGCCCCTGCTCTGGATATTCGTGAGCGATACCACACCTTAGCTTAACCTAATCGTAACGAGCGTCGTGCTTCTGTGCTTTACATTATAGAGAATTCAATGCGTCTTATGCAGATAGCTTTAGACCTTCTGGACTAAGTGTCTCGGTTCGATCTTCTTGCTATTAAGCAAACTTTTCCTTTCTTAACGCTTTGGGCGTAGTTCTCCTTACTTCTTGTATAGATGTGCTGGATTAAACGATCTTTCTAGGGTAGCAGGCAGTTGAAAAGGCCTCTTTTCGCTCTGCTTGAGCTTTCTTGGTCTTAAAGGCCCTTTCTAATAGTAATTAAACTGATGCTATCACACCTTATTGCTATTAACTGTGACTAATCCAACTATGTCCTTGAGGTTTAAAAGCTGCTTGAAGTAATCGAATTGTTAATAGGTAAGAGCTTTAGTTAGTCTATCTGCTAGCATTTCCTTTGTTAGCAAGTACTCTACTAAGAATGATCCTTTTGCGTGTTCTTATCTAAGCTATATGTTTTATATGTCAACATATCGAAGACGGGTAGTAATTCGCTTATTTTAACTAACAATAAGTCTAATTGTTTGCTAGTTATCACACTAGATCTTCTATAAATCGCCTAGATTAAATGTGAGTTCGTTAAAGAATCTTTTTAAGGCAATAGTTTCCTTCGCAACATGCTTAAGTGCAATAAGCTCAGCCTTAGTTGTAGAGGTCGTTACTGTACTTTGCTAAGCAGCTTTCTATAGGATAGCTCCTCTAAAGAGCATAGCTATGTATCTATAAGATGAGCGCTGGGTAATTGAGTCATCTGCAAATGATGCGTCTCCACATATTATAAGGTTAGGACCATTATAATTGCTGTATTAGATTGCTTCCCATCGTGTACGATATAGGTACATAATAACTCGATCGATTGTGCTCATGTGCGTTTAGCTAGAATTAGTTAGGTAGTGTAACAGCTTTAATACTGCAAAAGCTACGTCTAGGCGCAGCATTATTGCAGTGTACAATGCTGATTCGACCTTTTCCTGGTAAAGCTTGACTTCTTGCTTGGTGGCTTCTCCCTCGAACTTTTTGAGCTCTTCTGACGGTAGAGGAGTAGCTAGAAAGGTTCTATTGATTAAGTTAAACTTCTTTGCAATCTTCTTAATGTAGGTATCGTGAACCAGCGTAATCGTTCTCTTTTCTCAGTTTCTAACGATCCTTATGCCTATAGAACTACTCTGCTAGCCCTTGTTCTTGTATCTCATACTTCGTAGTGATCTTGATCTATAGGTCTTTTGCAAAAGCTTCGCAAGCCTTATGATATAGCAACAGGATATCATCAACGTAGAAAAGTATCAGAACTTTCTTGTCTTTGTTAAAGAAGAGGCAGGGTTCTTCTTTTAATAAGATAAGGCCTAATAATCGGAGTGTTCCTAAGAACTCCTCATACTATAGCAGTGGTAAGTCTCTCATACTGTAAAGTGCTCAATTAAGCCTGACGCATATTCTAGGTTCCTTAAAACTGTTAGGAAGCTTACACAGCACAGGGTTCTCCTTTATAATCGTTGCATTAAGGAATGCTTCTGTTACGTCATTTTGCATGACTTCCAGATCAAAGTGGGCAGCTATAGCTATTGCTGCTCGAAATGATCTTGCTGCTAAGGTGGCAGCGTAGGTCGAATTAAGCAAGTCTTTTTCTTAAAGATCTCCTCGTATAACTATACGTGCTTTGCACTTAAGCAGCATACTGTCTTAATTAAACTTATAGGTCTAAACCTACTTCAACGAGATTGGTCGGATCATTGCTTCGCTTGTTAGCTGAATTGTCTAGGTATCTTTCTTGCAAAGCTGTTTAATCTCTTGTCTCATTGCAGCTTCAAACCACACCTTGTGTTTGTGTTGGAGAAATTGTTTCCAAGTCTTAGGTGGGTCTGGAAGCTCGTTTTAGTGTAGTTAGGTCGACTTTAGTGTTTAATCAGTTAGAGTGGCTGCTATAATTACAGCGTTTATAGATTTATAACTCTTTCGATTGTCCTACGCTCTTCTTGCGCCTAGCAAGAAGGTATTCTGAAAGTCAGCTCATAAACTATCATTATCATCTAGATCGGCGATCAGTGCATATACTCTAGTACCTGCACCCCCTATCTGGTCGTCTCGATTGCTATCTCTTCTCCTCCTGCGCAACGGCAGGTAGGTACTTATTCCTTGATCATTTTCTGGCGCTTTGCCCTGTTGCCTCCGGCTCATTCTCTGAGTGCGCGGAGCTTATAGCTCTGTTGCACCTAGATTAGGAGTAGTCGTTTGCCGCAATTGCTAGCGTGCTCAAACGAGCAACTAATCTGCTTCGTCTGGAGTGTTTAAGTTAAGTCCTCTAGGTTGAGTGGCAGAGCAGGTAACACGCTGCAGTGTTGCCCTCTGTGATCTAATTCGATCACTAGAGCGAGACGGGCCAGCTCTACCAGCTAGATGCATCTGCTGTTGGCTGTCTCCTCCTATACTTTGAGCCTTAAGCCCTAAGTTTCCCCCTATATCACCTAGCTCAGGTGTAGATTCTAGGGTTGCAAGCTGATTTTGATCTTTTAGAGGTCCTGCGCGAATTCTCAGTCGATTGCTGGCTATGCTATCGTCTCGCGCAGTTTCTTCCTGCATAACTCCCTGATCGTTTGGTTAGCTGGCTGTCTGATTAGTTTGTGCACTTAGTTCACCCCCGAGATTGCTCTTAGTGTCTCTCCTGACCTTATCAGTTTGCTGCTCTTCTAGGTACAATCCATCCTTAATAAGGAGGCCTAGATTATCTAGCTCGCCGTCGTGTAGAATATCAGCAACCTTAAGCGCTAATTCCTTTTCTATATTCTCATCGTTCTTTCCTTGAAAGAAACGACTTTCGTCGAACCTAACATTGCGAGTTATAATAACCTGGTTGAGCAAAGGGATCTATATCCTGTAGATGTTCGAGGCTCGATAGCCTACTAAGTATCTGATATGACCCCTAGGATTAGTTTTAAAAAACCTGTGTCTTGTACTAGCTGCTCGATCCAAATTCAATAGATAGGCTCGACAGCCGTACGCATATATACTACTCTAATCTAGGCGTAGATCGGCTGTTCTTAATCGAATGACTGCTGGTTCGTAGTACCTGAAGTATTGTCGAAACCAGGAATCAAGAACCTTATTTGGTGATCGATATCTATGCATTGCTGTTAGGCTCATCCTATGAAGCTAAGCAGCTGCATCTAGTATCTCTAGCTAAAGCTCGTTAGGCAGATTTGCGCTCGTGCGCATCTTTATCGCCTTTGTGATTATTTCCTGTCCTGTACGCTCAGCTAAGCTATTTGGCTCGTGAGTATGAGACAGAGTAGCTTTGATAGCGATCTCATTTTTATCTGCCTATTTCTTAAATCTTGATCGTTCTCTCTACGGTCGCGTTGCCTAATTACTGTCTTAGTGTATCTCTATGATCGAAAGGTTGTATTTTGTTCTCACTCTCTAGTAGTACCTTTCGATGACTTTTATGATCTTAGGCAGCGACTTTGATGGAAGATTGTTGTTCTTAATCTTTCCAGAATAATCATCCTTTATTAGCAATGACTATTGCTCTCCTAATCGTCCTAAATGCATATTAAACAGGTCCTATGAGATCTGATAGAAGAGTTGAGGTGATCTCTCTTTTAGTCTTCTTAAGATTATCTAAGAGGCATGTGCTGTTGCACAATGTTCGCATTCGATCCTCCTAATACTAGTGATCTCGACGTTTTGTGCATGTTTAGTTAAAGCCTGCAGTGCCCTTTGTCTAAGATGACCTAATCGTTAGTGCTATATTTGCTTATTACTACCTCTTCTTTGCGGATAATACGATCTTAGCACAGCTTTCACAATAGTAGAGACTAGAGAATAGGAAGACTCAATCAATTCTAAGAAGTTAAGGTTGTACTTCCTAATGAGCGTGTAGAGCAACTTGTTCTCAGATAGGTTACTATATCGGAGAGTTCGATCCTAACTAGTATACCAGACGTTTTCTTAATCTCGAAGTCTTGCTTCTGAGACGATATTAAGGTAGAAACCTTCAACGACCTTTACGTTAGTGAGTGTGAGGTCTACTGTATGTGGCCTACTTAGTCCAATTATGAGGTTTCTTATGATCTGAGTGCTAATACTATCAATAGGTAAGTATTGGGTTCCTGCCTCAACGCACTCTCTATTTGTAGCCTTAATAAACGTTCCCTTTTCGATTAGACTGCGATCATTTACTAAGTGGACGCATGCTCTACTATTAAGGATTGTAGATCAGTGCAGTAGGTGCTGATTGAAAGTAGTGCTGTAGACCCCTAGTGACTCTTTTATAAAGAGGGTTAGATTAATTAAGCTTGCTTAAATGGCGATGGGGTGATCTTTGTCTGATCTTTCCTTTCTTAGAGTAGTAGACTAACCTGACTTTTTAATCTATTTGCGGAGATCTTGCCATTCAGGCTTGTTGTACCGTTCTAAGATCTTTTTCTTATCTACATCGTTGAGCTTGATTGGATTGCTAAGAGCTGATCCTGTCACCGCTGTTTGAAGCTTAAAACAGGTGATTGGTTTCCAACGATGAAACTTGTCTAATTAGGGCTTTTGCGGGTGAGACCTGATGCACGGGCATACTTTCAGGCCTTTTTCGGTTTTTCCAGTTAAGCTGTTTTGAGCGGTTTGCCTATTTAGGGTTAGTACTGCAAAGATCGACAGTCCCTTTTCTTTTTCAGCGTTTCTAGATTGCTCGCTTAGCATAGCGTTGAACACCGTAGCAATATTGTCTAATATCATATCGTCCTTTTCTAGAGATGCCCTTTCTATGACTTCCGCTCGTTTCTGTCAGGCCCATTCTAGGGCGTATTTCGCTATAATTGCCTCAAGAAAGTCGGTGAGAGCAATGGTCCCTTTAACCTCTAGGACGTCGTACGTCTGGGCTCAGGCATAGAGAGTTTGCTATTCGTTAAACTACTTCTCTAGCCTAATCCTGCCGTGCTTAGCTTTGTCTAGGTAAGCTCAGTACTCCTGTCTGATTTAATTCTAAGTTGTAGCCTTACTCGGGGCTAGCTGATCTTTGAGCAGTTTGAGTTGTGATTAGAGGCTTAAGTCGTCCGTTTGGGAAAGCCTAATCTGTACTAGCTTGAGAAGGTCTGGTGAGACTGTTTTCGTGATCTAGTCTTAGAGGTTTGCGAGTGCAGCAGCTTTTTGAGACTATTCGGCGGTGAGAACTTTCTATTGTCGGACTCTCTCGTTGTGGTCAGCTGACAAAACTTCGTAGGCTTCGATATCTTTGATATATTCTTGTAAAGACTTTTCGTGATCAGCTTTCGCTTCATCAGTAGCTCTAGCAGGAGGATCCTTTAGCTTGACCGGCTTAGTGGATAATTCTAGGTATAGGGGAGCGTTATTGAGAAGATCGGGTTGCGATGGGCTATCTGGATTGACATAGTCCCATACTCGCTTTCCGATAGCGTGAACTTTGAGCTGAATATACTATGCTGGCTAGTCTTTACGAGCTTAAAGGGTGACTGTAGAAGGAAGTTTTGTCTGGTCTGTTTGGTCCATTTAGACTGATGTCGTTGGGATGATTTAGGAGGTTTAAGAGGAATAAGAGTAGTAGAATGATTAATTCAAGTACTCAGCAAATACAAGATGCACAGTAGAGAATTAACTCTGTGATTCTATAGCGCCGGGCTCATAACTGTTGTGGCTGAGCAAACTTGAGAGAAAAGATTGTATTAATTACTGCTCTTCTAATATATTAGAAGAGCTAGCTTAAATATACAAACAGATTACGGAGAAACGTTAGTCCACTTCCTGAGCTTAGTTAGCTCAGTCACGTGGATTAGTACTTTACTGTTCTCGTGTATCAATACTGCGACAACTTATTAATTACCTTAATATACTTAGAAGATAGAGAAGACTAAAATAGTTAGAAAGAATAGAAAATAGAGAGTTAAGAATAAAGATAGAAACGATATTTACATTATTTACAGCATACTAATAAACTATATCTACTCTAATAATAAGTGCGTCGCAATAAAGAATAATAACTTTAAGCTAAATGCTTTTAGCACTCTCTGCCTGCTTAGAAAGAATACCTTAAAAGTTAGAGAAAATAGCTATACTCTTACTAAGTTTATACTAGTATAAACTAGTCTTTACTTTATCCTAATCTCTTAATTTATTAGAAAGCTATACTACACTTAAGCGAAGATTAAGAAAATAGTTATGCTTAAAGATAACGCTAACTTAGATAAATTAGCAAATTAGATAGTCTCTTCTAGCAAATATAAGCAAGCTGCAGCAGCTTCTAATAATAATAAGAAAGATAATAATAGCAATAACTTCTAACTAGATAGTTTAGATAGTTTAGATAACGAAGTTACTTTACCTAAGCTTTTAGCTGCGCTTAAAGCTCTAGCTATAGTAGCAAAGAAACTAAGAGAAAAAAAATAGCAGAGAGCAGCTATAGCAGATGCATTGCCTATACTGCGCAAAAAGGCAAAAAAGGCAGCTACTATACCTGCACTAAACTTAGTTGCTCTGCCTCTAATAACCTTTAAGAAGGAGCAGAAAGTCTCTAATACTAAGTTTAATAGAAATTAAGGCTCTCGCAGTATAACGCTAATTATTAGTATAACTTACTTAAGTAAGGAGCATACTAAATATAACATTATCGCTACTAAAATTATAGCTTCTCTAGCAAATAAGAACGCTTATTAAGCTATATATAGCAGCACTGCTAAGAATATTAACCTAGAAGAGAAACTTTAATATAACTAGGACATCTCATTTAAGAAACTCTTTAATGAAGAAGAATAAATAATAATTCTAAAGCCTAGTAAGCTAATAGTCTACTTATAGCCTTAAGAATTGCTATATGCTTTATTGCCTTCTATAATAGAACTATAAGATACCTCTAGAACTTCTTTAACTTAGGAGCTATCTCTATAATAAAAATACTAATGCTTATACTCCTTTCTTTCTTTTCTTTTTTTACATTACTAACTTTTCTTTTCTTAGAATAACTAATAAGCTCTTTCTAAATGCTCTGCTTCTAGCATGCTGTCGCTAACAGCCTATTTAATATTCTATAATATTAATATTATTAGGCTGCTTAACTTAACCTTATAACGCTAATAAGAATAAGCCTACACTTTAAGTTACTATATAATTAGGCACACTAGTTTAGCTACGCATAAATAGCTTAGCTTAAGAGATTCTTTAAATAGCTTAGCTTAAGAGGTCTTTCCTTCTACTCTTTTATAAGTACGCACGCATGCATATACGTTTGCTCGCTCTAGTCTGCGCTTAGTTAATAAGTTTAGTCTTACTAATGCTAGGTACTAGATAGTTTAGTTTTAAGAGTCTTAAATAGTTTGCTTTATAGTCTTATAGTTTAGGCTTTGTAGGTGCTTACTTATATAGATTTACGATGAAAACTTAGAGTTTAAGGCTTCTAGTCCTACTAGGAGGAGGCAACTGTTAGGTGACTGATGCCAAGATGAGGCCTGTGCTTAGGTCCCCTATGTAATCCCCTCTGCCGGGCTAGTTAGCAGGCTAGAACTATACAATATATCAAAACCACCCCTATAGTCCTCACACTACTGAACGGATCTGCTCCAGCATTGATCAAGTTCAACACTTCTGTTCCGAGATCCGCAAGACTTGGTCTGAGACCACTTTTCTTATCTTCTGCGTCTACCAAGTGTGACAAAAAGTCGATTCGGCCACTCTGAGCTTGCTTTTCAGTGTCCGACATCGACCTACGCGTCTTGGCTTGACTGTGGGAATAGTCGATCAGGCGATTGTTGTCCTTAACGGACTTACCACCGATCCTTTCAAAAAGGCTCGTTCGTAGGAGCGGACGGACTAGAAATGCCAGAGGCAGATACGAAATCTGGTATCAGATCAGCGCAATCGTCGGGGTAGTGCGAAGGTAGACAGCATACCCAATACATCAACATACCCGCCGGTAGTGTTGAGTTTGCAAGATCCCTATTATTCTCCTCTTGCACGGTCTTGAATTCGCACCCAAGTACCAACGCGCCCATGATGTCGAATCCAAGATAGATGCTCATCTCACTGGCATTCCATTTGGCTCCCCACCCACCAGTACTTGGCTGTATAGTGTCGCAGAAGCTCTCAATGATATCAATCACACCCCTTTCATTCGCATTTAGAGACTCGGTTGAGAATGAAGGGCTGACCCATCTTCTCTTCACTGCATGAAAATCTCGATCTGTTTCAGTAAAGCTGCTGTACGTCCCAGCAGCAATGTCAAACGTCTTATACCACTCGCCTTTCTTCACGTTGGCAGCCCGTGAACCATAGATCGTACTAAGAGCAGATGCAGTATTGAAGGACAAAGTATTGGGTGCGATGCGAACGATTAGACCTTTTCGTAGTGAGTCACATCAAGAAGTTTATGTAGGTTATGAGCACTCTTACCGTATTTCTCGTGATCTTTCAGGTGCCAAATGTGTCGGTCGCCAGTATAAGCTTGCCACAAGAGCGGCCAGCCGCTGAGCTTGTACGTCAACGGTCCTGGGTACTTTGCTAGTGGGTGGAAATAGACGCGATATATGCATAGACCAAAAAGCTTTGTGCACCGCTTAGCCACTGACGATTGATGGTCCAAACGGGCAAACACTTACGTAGGAAAGGAACATGAGCAAAGCATAACTTGTAAACACTCCTGTACTGATCGCATCGCCAACAGACATGTAATGTCCAATCATGGCGATAAGTCGCAAAGCTTCCAATTCTTCAAGAACGCGGTACTGGAAGTGAAGGAGGGCTAGAGGAGCCTTCATCTTTGCAAAACCATCAGAAAGTCACTGAAATACCCCACCGATCACTGCAGCTGTCGATAAGCATAGCATGTTGTCATCACCAATCATGGTCAATCCTGGTCTGCCGTGAATCTTAGATAGACGACCGACCCCGCGCAACTGCTGTTTGCGACAGGTATACAGCCTGATACCGACGTGGCCTTTGCCCCGCTTAATCCAGCTGACGTCAGATCACTTGTTCAACGTTATGATCTCGCCTGCGTATTTTACATGGTCGAGGAGCTTTGCCTATGTGAGATAGACTTCCAAGGTTGCTTTTGTGATACCCACTTATTTCTTATATAACCAGAACAAACGAGATTCCCGCCGTCTCTTGGAACACCAGTTCATAGCCCTTTCAGTTTTAGTCGAGATTGCTGTTTTTAAAGTTGCGGCAGTGTCTCCAACCGTGTTAGGCATGGTCTCTGATGGGAGTTTCTGGACCTGGACTCAACAGATAAACAATGTCGCCGGGCAAGCAAGTCGCCCTCCACAGCGGATCATACATAATAATTGAAAGTTAGCTAATGTAAAGATACACAACCCTCATTGTTCACTACACACTCTGTGCCCCCACGATTGTTCCAGCTAATTCCATCCCAGCTGTCGTTTCCGTCGTGCCACGTCCAATCCGCTACCATTATACATAGGCCATTGACATATATCTGAAAAAGTGCATTGCGCTAGAAGTCATAGCGCTCTTCGTTCAACATGCTGAATCGACGATTCCTTACCCAGCGGTACTTTGCACTGGTGACAGGATCGACGAACTCTCGTGCATTGGTGTTTGCCTCGATTGTAAATTTAGGCGTTGTGCCAGGATCCTCATATCGTGTGAGCGTATAGCTGGTGGCGACACTATGTCTCATGTCGATGCGCCCAGGAAGGGTAAAATGCTTTGTTTGCTTGCCGTCGGATGTGGTTGGGAAGCTGTTATGAGTGATCCTGCCTTCGCGACCAAGTTTGCCTTTGGCGTCTTCGCGAACGCTTTTAAACTTTGGAGCGACGTAAACGGCCGTTCGCTAACGGAGGGGTATATCGGACCATCCGTAGATGTCATGAGCATCGAACTAACAGGGACTTGGACCCTTTCCCTTAGTACTGAAGGTTAAGTCTTGCGACCAGTCGTGAGGCATGGGCAGATACCGATCTCTCTCAAGCTGCAGGCCCAAATCTGTCTGTCTTTCAATTTCGAATGGGCCAGCACATGCGTTGCCCACGTTTACACAACGCTCAGTCTTCGTCGGGGTGTATGAGACAGATGTACCGCGGACCAACGAGTAGTCGATCCTTGTTTTCACCTTGGTAGCCATCGCAGTAACAGTCGTGCGTTTCGCACTGAAAAAGTATCATTTCGAATCTGTGATGACTATGTATCTTATCATGACATGCTTCACACAAATCATAGTCTGTGCAAGATATACACCGCCACCGGTCACCTCTCAGCGGGCTAGCGCCGCATCCATCACATGTCAACCAGTGCAGGGCCAGCATGGCATTGCTCTTCTGGGTCAGGCTAAGCTTACTCATGTCAAGATTTGGTGAGGCGCTCAGCTGAGGAACCGCATGAGGTTGAGGTGGATGCACATGGTTGATGGGCTGGATTGCTGACGATCCTTGTGAGTAGATCGGAGTTGTAGCCCCGGAGTAACTTGCTGCTGGTTGGTATTGGTGTTGTGAACATTGGTTGGGGACAGAGGCTGTTGGATGAAGATAGTTTGAGTTTGGCGAAGGATGATATTGCGACTGCGACGTGACATGATGGTTGTATGGAGCTAAGCAGTTCGTAGGTGCGGAAATAGAAGAGGTAAGATAGTTCATGGTGGTCAACGCTGGAGTGTAAGCTGACGAAGCTGCCGCCATGTGAGTTGAGTTGGTGTACTTACTAGTGCACCAGGTGGATATGGGCTGGCAGATGGCGGATGATACACCCAGTGTGGTGCTTGTTGAATCGCAGAATTACCGGTTGTTTGTGTATGGCCTTGAGAACAGGATTGTGAAATTGGATATTGAGATGGTGATGGATGTCGAGCTGGAGATGCCTGTGTGTAGGAGTGGGCTGGTGAGGCTTGCGCGTACGGCTGTGCTGGCGATAAATGAGCGTATGGATACGACTGAGGGCTCGCGCCTCGTGTGAAATTGTTCGGGATGTTGGAGGAGTGATCGTGAGCACATCGAGAGCTTTGTTCGTGAACATGGTGAGATAGATGTGGGAAATGGGGACCAGGTAGAGGAATCTGACTAGTCGTGTTGTTGGAGTTGCTGTATGGTGCCTGGTATTCGCTGTTGAACTGCGCATAACCGTATGGATCATCCTGCTGTTGTTGGTCATGTTGCGACATGGCGAGTTTTGTGCTAAGTTGGCAAGCTGGCGTATGTACTGATGGAATGAGCGAACTGCCGGGCTTCTAAAATCATTTTTATCTCTTCAAAACGTTCCATTCTTAGACATTCACTACTCAGCCCTGCAGATCGCGAAATAGATCCATTGGAACCACCCGGTCGATCTGGAATGCCGAAAAGGGTAATCCGATCCAGGAGAAGGTCAGCGGCTGAAGAGCTTAGAGTTCGCTAAGCTTTTCTAAGGCTTAGCCTACTCCGCCGTCTACTTGATAGCGTAGTTCCCCTGTCGGACAGTCGTAACCAAGGACCTATTGTGCTGTGACTGGATGTGGCTTCACTTAGTCTCGGAGCTGTTCCTTCTGGCAACATGTCGATCTTTGAGGCTGAACAGTGACTAGCACCACCCTCATCGTCAAAGGTCAGAAGGACTACAGTATTCCACCGCGTGAGACAGTCATACTTCGTAAAACGAGTGACACATTTTCTACATCTCAGCGGCTGTGTGAGTTGTTGCTTTTGAGCTTCAAAGTCCTGCACGGTCCTCTTGAGCAAAAGCAAGAGCAAGTTGTAGTATGAAAAGCACTTCACGTAGGAAGGGGGGTAAAGTCCGCTAGACACGCTTGAGCGTTCATTACAACTGACCGGGGTGCTAATTCTGTGAGGCTGAAAGACGCAAGCGCGGCCCAGATGCTATAGCCAAAAAGTCCAAACGGGCCGCGCGGGGGGTACTGTTACACGAAGACTGCCCTCCCAAGATACCGGTACTATTTTTGCCTGGACCTAGATTCGGTCCGTACAATCTATGCGGCGACTCCGTTTACCCGTTGTTCGAGATGCACGGCCCAAGCATCAAATTACAGTAACACTATGCGGGCCGAAGAAGCCATGATACTCTACTATGTACCTAGGTAGACAAAACTGAATCATTGTTGACTCGTTTGACTTACACAATTGGACTGATACATTCACGCTTTTAGCAACCGTTCACCGTAGATGAACAGCAACGGCTCCAATGGGAAGCTAACGATAATCGACGATCTAGTCAGGATGTTCCCTTTCCGTCAACCCAGGCGAGCGCACAGTGGAAGCAATGCTCGGAATGGCAGGCGGGATCAATTACCATTTCTGAGTGTGCAATTCGTACCGGTCTTATTACCGCACACTTCCGTTGGTCATTCAAGAGGAAAATAGGTACCTTGCGCATCTAGAGCAGCGACCTGAGCCTAGAATATTGGTACAATTCTGGTATACCGAATCTCAAACCCTCATCTCAGGCGTCAACTTCAAAAACTCGTTGCCCCCACTTCCCCTTGTCCCCCCACTCTTCGCATCCTCCCTAATCATCTCAGCCGCCCCCTCCCCAATCGCATACGCCACCATCTGCGTATGGCCATTATTTACCCGCGGGATGGAAGACACATCCGCAACTCTCAACCCTCTGACTCCCTTGACTCTCAACCTACTATCCAACACGGCCATTTTGTCGCCTTCTTTACCCATCTTGCACGTTCCCGACGCGTGATAGCACGTCGTTGCGTGTTTCCTCACATGCGGCTCCCAATCCTCTCGACTTGTGAACTCATGGTGTGCAAGGTCGGCAGGCCAACTACCCTTGATAATATCCTTTGTGCCAGAGCCGCGCATGATGATTTCGTTGGCGAAGCGACATGCCTCGGACATTACGAGCATGTCTAGCGGGTCTTGCATGTATGCGTGATCGACGATGGGGTTCTGCAGTGGATCGGTCGTCTTGAGCGTGACACTGCCACGAGAGTGCTGGTTGAAGAGGAGGGTGCACATGGCGAAGGCGTGTTTATAGTCGACGGGGAAGTCGTCGTATTGCTTGGGTCCACCATATAGCTCGGTGTTCCAGAATTCAATGTTTGGTTGGTCTTTAGTGAGGCCCATTGGATCTCGGCCGGCTTCTCTCTTGGCGTTTTGCCATAGCTCTGAGTCTTTGAGGCGCTCGTCCAGACGAGCGTACCCGAAGATTCCGAATGGGAAGGTTGAAAGTACGCCAGTCTTCTTTTCTTTCCACAGCTCATATGATGAGGCAATAGCGTTGTCGTGGTAGGCGAGGTAGTCGTTCGTCAGGTTTGGTTCACTGACTTCATAGAAGATGAAGCATAGGACGTGGTCTTGGAGATTTGCTCCGACTCCGGGTGAATTCACAAGGACGGGAATGTCGAGCTTCTCCAGCTGTTCTTTTGGTCCGATGCCAGAGCGTATCAGAACCGGTGGACTGCAGTACGCGCCAGCCGTAAGTATAACTTCTTTGCGGGCTTGGTAGTCTATCTTTGCACCTGATTTCGATATCGTTGAGACGCCAGTTGCTGTTGGCTCGCTGGAGTTATCCTTTGAAAACAGAATCTTGTCGACCATGACGGAGGTCTTGATGGTGATATTTTCGCGGTGATAACCTTTAGTGATGAAGTCTGCCGCCGTACTGCGGAGACCTTGGTGTACTGTCCGCGGGACATCGCCGCATCCATGTGGCGTCTCGCCTGTAGAGAACATGTCGGGATGATATGGAAGACCAGCATCTACTAAGCTCTCTCTGACACGCTCGGAGATAGGAGCGAGATCGTGTGGCTCGGTATGTAGAGGGCCCGAAGTACCATGTACACTTTCGTCTTGCTTGTGCCACTCTTTGGAGTGGAAGGTTTCTGACTAGATCGGTCGTCAGTGGCTGTTCATATCACGCAATGCTCTCAATGTCATATACCTTCTTCATATATGCCCACATCTTCTCACCATTCCACTCATCCAGCCCCCAATCATCATAATCCTGCTTCGTGCCACGAATGCAAAGCGTGCCGTTCACACCACTCGACCCTCCCAAGAATCTTCCTCGACTACAATTGACTCTTCGACTATCGACCTTCTCCATAGGCTCAGTCACAATGTTCCAGTCCGTTTCGCTATCGAAATTCTTGCTCCACCCACCCGCCATGTGCACATTCTCGAGGTCTGCATTGTCCGGTCCGGCTTCAAGGACGAGAATCTTAGCATTGAGGTCTTCGGCGAGACGACCGGCTATCACGCAGCCTGATGTTCCGCCACTGCTCTGAAGTCAATATGAGTTATTCGAAAATGCCACAATGGCACGATATGAACTCACCCGCATATGATATAATCGTAGATCTCAGCAGGATCAACGGAATCGACGCGCTCGAGAGACATGATAGACTGTGCTTTGGGGAATCTCTTTGGAGTTACGAGGAGAGGTCATGTAACGTCCGATCAAACATCTTATGCACATTCATACCTATGGATATAGGGCAACGGAACGACCCCGCGTCTCTTCCGCAGCGGCTCCTCGGGTTGTCGGAGAGGCTTACATTCGCTGACGCTCCGGTCAAACGGCACCCCAAGTCGTAGATGGGATCTTCTGGTCCAGCATCGCTGTTTACCCTTCTTCTAGCGACTGTCTTGTGTTTGATATATCCTAGAAGGAATGACTTCTTTGCTCTCGGTCAAACGAAGCCATGGGTACGTAGTTGCGTCTTTCGAGGTATGGATGACGGAACAAATCCGTGGCATGCACCTAGTCGCAAGCAGCCCCTGACAATTACTTACTCATGCAGTCTATCAAGACACGCCGGCACAAAGAGCATTCGAAGAACGAATCACGGTGGTCAAGTTATGCTCAAGTGATGTGGTAGGTGCAAACTAGGTTCACGCCGCACCAGGTAGCGCTGCGGGGTAGCTCAGACCCCAGATCCGATCCCTTTAGACTCCGTCAGCTAGACAAGACGTCTGGGAAGGTTGAGTAGGGGGCAGTGAATCCAGTATATAATTCGAAGTCCAACCGTGGCCTTCCTATTGTCTTCTCTAATCATGCTTTCGTTGTGTGCCCGTTGGCCGCAATGCCTTCCCTGTCCTCCCCCTTGTCCCTGATGTTTTCCCAACCCTTGATCACCAGTCCAAGCACAATCATGACTACCAGCGCGAAATCAACGCTGTGCACTCCCCACCACCAGTGCTGTATCCCGACTCCACAACTAGCAAACTCAAATACCCACTCCCCTCGTTCACCCTTGCTGTTGTCGAACCACGCACTCAAGAAGCCTGCGTAGCCACTGAAATCGCCCATCATGCTGCGAAGCGTAATCTCGCGTATGTGGGGCGAGCTTTGTATTGATGTGCAAGATGAGACATTGGCGACAGGGTCGTGTGTGATGGAGAAGGGGCGATTGGGAAAAGGATACGCGCGCCAGCCAGTAGGTTGGGGCTCGGGCGGCGGCGGCTCCTCCACCTGTACCGGTCTTGGGCACGTCAAAACGTCAAACGGATTCAGTGCAGAGACGTCGAAGCTTTCTGGTGCTGGCGTGTGTATCGGCTGGACGATAGGCGTGGAAGTCACCGTAGGCCAGTACGCTTCGTCACGCTTCACCGTATTGGCATTGCACCCATCATTGACGCCTTCTTGTCGTATGAAATGCACGGTGTCGCAACCCTCGTGGTCATGGCCGTTTAGCACAATGCCCCTTCTGCCCATACCACTGCCAGCCGCGAATTGGTTGCCTGACATGCCGAAGACACCTTCGAGGATAGTCTTGCTCGAATGCCCGCTTAGCATGTTCTGCTCTCTGAGACCCTGACCCTCGTCGAAGTAGTTGAATAGAGGGCTATCAACACAAATGCCTGGCTGTTTCTCTAGCGGAATATGCGTGAGTAAGACAGTGGCATGTGTCTTGTCTTCCACCGGCCTCGCGGTGGTGATAATGTGGTTCATGAAAGAATAAGTTTCGGACTGCAACTCGAAGTTCCATGCCGGGGTATCGATGTTCATGGAATTGAGAACTACAATGCGGAGAGCTGGTGGCGTCTGATCGGCAGTCGTGTTGGGCAATGTGAACCAGATGTCCCAGTTCACGCTTCCGAAGGCTTTTTCGAAACGCGCAACTCGGGATATGTCGAGGTCGCCCGCATATCCAACGTCATGGTTGCCTGCAATGTTGATGACCCGTTTCGCCCAGTGTTGATCAGCACCCAGGACTTCTGTTGTTCCACCCCAAGAAGGAGTTCGCAGAGGTTTTGCTCCCTCTTCCTGCTTGGCTTCGTCGACTGCTTCCTGTTTCTGTTCGTCTGGCTCATCCTTTGTAAGCTCATCGTCTCCTGCATTGTTCTTTGACTCGTCCTCAATTGCCTTCAACAGCTCTCCCCTAGCAGATTCTTCCGCGATTGCTTCTTCAGTGTCCCTGTCTTCTACTATCTCTTCCACAATCTCTTCTTCTTTCATTCCATACACCTTCGCTGGCACTCCGCCCAAGCCCCTCATAACCACATTCCAGTATCTCCCAGCTCTCTTCTCAAACTCTCCGTCTGTTATCCATTGACTGCCCAATAAATCGCCCAAAACAGAAACATGTGTTGGCTCCGCCCACCACCTGGTCTGGCGCACGATGTGGGCTAGGTACCAGTCGTTGCCCCAGAGATCGATCGCCTTGCGCTTGCCTTTCACAATTTTCCACAGATCTTCTGTGATGAGGCCTACAGCTGCTTCTTTAACAATGTCCAGCCTTGTTTTGAGCGTCTTTGCATATTGTAAATCTTGCACGACCCAGCGAAGGGAGGGGAAGAGCGGGGCGTTGGGATCGGGAAGGGAACTGTCGCCTTCGAGCTGGGGATCACCAAGTGCGAGGAGACGAAATGGAGCCTTCGACGTGCCCTGGGTATCTATGTGCGCTGGCGGTGTAGGAAACGCGCAGCCGTGGAATATTGGATACAAGTAAAGCCATGTCGTGCTAATCAGCGCTACCGGAGCGAGAAGCCAGGCAATGGTGAAGAAGAAACGCGAGAGCCGCATTGAAACATTACGACCAGTACCAAAAAGACACGAGGACGATATTTGGGTGTCGTGGGTGTTCCCTGTGAGGCGCGTGGAGACAAAGACGAGACGAGAAGCGACTGCGCGATGCGGAGATCAGGAGTCAAGCCAATCAGAGTGCAGGAGCTCCGAAGCACGGCCAGGGGTGACAACTTGTGTTCTTGTCCAAGGACGTCTAGCATTGTGATATGGACCAAATTCAAATGCACTCTACAGCTATCGTGTTTCCATCTACTAGACTCCCTCCACTCCCAAATACAACTTTTGATGCGAACCAGCCGTCTATCCCAACAAATCACCCAAAGCACCGCCAGGTTTCGACCCAGATTGAGGACTCTGCGCAGCAGGAGTGCTCGAGCTTGATGCAGGCGCACCCCATAATCCTTGACTGGTCTTCTGCTTCGCAAGATCACCCATCGTGACCTTTTGTGTTGGTGTCGCCGCCTTCTTTGGCGCTGCGCCGGCTAGCAGCGAAGCAAATGCATCCCCACCAGCTTTCTTGGGGGCGGCGGCTCCGATCTTGCCGCCCGAGGACATACCAGAAGGTGTCGATTTCCCTGACTGCGAAGCACCGATCTGAACGGACGTAAAGTAGTTCGGTCCAGCAGCTTGGTAACCTGAAGGCTGCTGAGGGGTTTGGGAGAATGCCGATGGGGTCGATGCTGGAGGAGACATCATCCTGTTCGCTGCAGGTGGGGGTGATACGGTTGCTAGCAAATCGTTGAAATTGTTGTTGTTCGCACCAGATTGGGGCTGTGGTGCAGCGAATTGAGTCGAAGCAGTAATTGTAGACGTCGAAGCTGGCGGCGCAACATTGAAGCCAGCGGGCTTTGCGGCGGGAGGAGGGGCTGCTGACTGGAAGTCGTCGAAGTCGTCGTCGTCTCCGAAGTCGTTTGCCGGCGCTGCCACAGGCTGCTTTCCGGCTGAAATTGAAGCTGGCGCGGGTTCATCATCCCAAGCCAGCAAATCTGCGACCGGCTCAGGCGCCTTTGCCTTGGGCTCCTCCTTCTTTGGTTCTCTCCTGGATGGTGCTGGAGCCGCTTCTTTTCGTCGAGGTGCTGAGCTGGAGGTTTCGCCTTCATCGTACTCATCATATTCGTCGAACTTGTCCCGCCGTTGCTGCGTGTCGTTGAAACTGGATGTGTTTCCACCGAAGCCTCCTCCATCCCCATACACACCTCCATTGTAGTTTCCGTACTCTGCTGACTCGCTACCGAAACCACCATATCTGCTGCTGCTGCCGCTGCCGCTGCCGCCTCCGCTTGAGAAACCTCCGGCACCAGAGAAGCCGCCCATGCCTGCTCCGCCCTCAACGCCGCCAAATTTGTTGCGGTTTGCTCGTGACTTCTTCCTTTCAGCTCGAATGCGGTCGACGTCGCTGAGCAACTCGGAAAGTTCCTTAGCGCGATTGCGCACGTTGATGCCCTGGTCTTTGCCGTTCTGGTCGATGAAGTGGAATTGCCTGAGCATTTTGAGAAGCGAGACGTGGGATCGCGCATCGTCGATGACTCGTTCCGAACCGTTCTTGACCAGAAATTCGAGCAGTTGCAGGGCCTGTGCGGTCAGCGTGAAACAATTGAAGCAGATGGACGCTGTACCTTGTAGATCTGCCTCCACTCCTCAGATGCCTTCTCGGTGAAGCGCTTGTAAATCATGGGCATGATTTCGTTCAACAGCTGACTGGCCAAGTCAGTGACAGTACATAGGATATGAGTGCAGTACATACTAGTTGAACGTGGCGTTGGCAATCTCCTGCAGCATTGTCGATGATGCACCTAGCCACGGTCAGTTTCTTTCGGTACAACCAGCCGCATTTTGCGTACCCCATGGCTCATTGTTGGTCGCCTCGCGCACCTTTGCCTCCATCTCGGTGTAGTTCATCACCGCTACTTCACATCAGCAACTGCCAGCTGGCACTTCTGGTGTTGAAGCGTACCATTCTGGGCTTTCCGGAAGCCGGCTTTGATGTCGTAGAGCGTGAGGTTGCTCACTTGGTCTTTGAGGCTGTTGAGATCCATCGCGTTGGTGGCGGGTGTGATGTGTAGGTGGAGGACGAAGTGTCGAGGTAGGGCAGCTTATTGAGCCCCGTTCGGTAAAGAATTGGCGGTGCCCAACGATCAGGCTTAGGTACTCACGGCCTTTGGAGTTATGGTTGCTCGACGGATCGATCGGACAGCGGCTGGAATCTTGGAAATGAAATTACGGTTCAACAGGTGAAGCTGCGCGTTCCGGCATGAAGCGCGGTGAGGTCGAAGTGTGGGGACATTTCGCACGTGATTCTGCCTTGGCGCTCTGTGCAGGTCCGCGCCTTCCCAGGTTCTCTCATACAGAGCTACAAGAACACATCCAGCACACAGCACTGGCTTGTAGGCGCAGCGTCCACTGCAGACGCTCACAACATTATATCCACATGGCATCATATGTCACTGCGAGTGCCAGCTCCACCAGGATGATGCTGTTCCTAGGCGCTATGGGAACTCCGACGCTAGTACCGGTAGAGGGTTTGTGCTCAAGCTCGAATTCCAAAAGTTACTCTCTTCTCATCATTTCATCTCGTCCACCATCTTATACCACTGTACATCGCCAATTGTACCATATTCAATTGACATAGCATTGCATTGAGCATTCGTAAGTTCTCACACAGCGTTCTGATCTTATCCTTGCCACCACCTGCAAGGTCGTTCGTATACAAATGAAATCGCCTCCAAGCAACCGACTTGCTTGTAAGCAGGACACAGATCAAGCCGCGTCCACAAGCTGTCAATTGAGCGGGTTGTGGTACGCTGTCATGGGCATAACACTCCCTGCGCGTCACCACCTCGGACGTAAATGGGTCTGACAGCAGCTGCAGGTTAGCGTCTTCACCCCGCCATCGCCGACATGCAGGCCCAGCCCCACCTTCGTTCCGCAGCTCTGTCTGCTTTCCGCTCGAGTACTTCTTCAATCCGAGCTCCCGTCAACAAGCGATTCTTCACTCCCTCGGCATACAACATGGCCATCAAATCGTACTTTGACATCTCTTGGGAGGGTCCTGAGGTTGAGGTCGACAAGTCTGGCAATGTCACGTCCAAGGGCGGCGTCAAGCGTAAGTAGTGCACATCCTTGTTCTCGAGGTATATTGATGTAGCTTACTGCGCCATAATCCCGAGCATACTTCACTCAAGCAAGAGCTAACATATGCCCATAGAGCAGCAAGGTCGCATCAACTTCGAGCTGTTCGACGACGTCGTACCCAAGACCGCAGAAAACTTCCGTGCGCTTTGCACCGGCGAGAAGGGCTTTGGCTATTCCGGCTCCAAGTTCCATCGCGTGATTCCCGACTTCATGCTCCAGGGAGGTGACTTCACCCGCGGCAACGTAAGTACCTTAATCACGGCAAACCTCAGAATAGCTAACAACTCCCAGGGCACCGGCGGCAAGTCTATCTATGGCGAGAAGTTTGCCGACGAGAACTTCAAGCTCAGACACCAGAAGCCCTTCCTTCTGTCCATGGCCAACGCTGGACCCAACACGTACGTACACTGTAGAACTTAGTGATGGCTTCATCTGACATTGCGCAGTAATGGATCGCAATTCTTCATCACAACCACCGTCACCTCATGGCTCGATGGCAAGCACGTCGTCTTCGGTCAGGTCCCCGACGGTGACGTCGAATCATACAAGGTCGTGAGGGCAATCGAGGCAGCAGGCAGCAGCTCGGGCCAGATCAAGTACAAGAACCCTCCCACCATCACCAGCGCTGGTGTGGAGTAGGTGGCCGATACAACGGCACAACAGGCTGTGCTCTGGCGCAATCAAAGATTTTTCGCTTCGACGCACTCGACCTATTAGATGCCATATTTGACGATTTACGTAGTAGCTGTACAATACACTCTTCTCAACATTCAGCGTTTGCATATGTCTAGAACTTTGCCGGCGGGACGCGTCGCTCGGGAGAATTTCCTCTTGCAAATGAGGGGCACACCCATGGAGCTACCCCGCCAACGTCATCTAGTGGCCGTCCACCGCCAAACACCGTACCATCAGCATCATCGCACTTGGGTGAATGGGACATCCTAGTTCCTATGGTGATTGTGATATCGATGGGTGAAGCTGTTTTTGCAGTGTTCTCAGATCATGGCTGGTTCCAAGTTACCATCGCATTGCAATGCACACTTACATGCACTCGAAGATATGCCGCGGACCGATGGCGCGATTCCGGTGCTCCACTATAATTAAGAGCACGGCTTGCGACCATTGAGATGCACAGGGCGCGTTTGTGACATTTAGCTGCCATCGTAGATGCCGTTGACCCTCTTCACGACCAAATTGTAATCTCAAGTTCCAGGATCCTACCGTCAAATCCAATAATGTCATACCACCCGTCGACACAGGGCATCCATGCCGATGACCGGATCAACATCATCACTGACGTCGCACCTCCCATCCACACTGCAACTACCTTCCGCTACCCAAGAGACCCAGACCAATTACAACCTGTCCCAGAGGAAGGCGAATATCTTGACCTGTCCACACCACTGGTATACTCACGTATTACCAACTCGAATATCAACCGCATCGAAACTGTATTGGCTCCATTGATATTCCCAGGCGCAAAAGAGGAGGAGCTTGAGAGCTTGGGCAACAATGTCGTTAGCTATAGCAGTGGTTTGAGTGCGTTCCATGCGCTGCTAGTGAACGTGGTACCGAAGGTCATTGCGATCAGTGGAGGGTATCATGGATGTCATGGGGTATGTTCAGTTACTTCGAATATGCAACAAACCTATCTGCTGACTGCCAACTCTCTAGGTAATTGACCTCCACAAGAAAATGCACAATGTCAAAACCGTCGACCTCCACGCCGACGACGCCGCCTGGGACGCAGCCGGCCTTGGAAAAGGCGACCTCGTGCACCTCGAAACACCAATCAACCCCACAGGAGAAGCCTTCCAAATCGCAAAGTTCGCCGAGCGAGCGCACAAGCGCGGCGCCTTACTCTCCATCGACGCGACGTTCGGTCCACCGGGCCTCCAAGATCCATTCGCATGGGGCGCAGACATAGTAATGCACAGTGGCACAAAATACATCGGCGGCCACAGCGACATGCTCTGCGGCATACTCGCTACCGCGCCAACTGCAGACGGCACGAAGAGAGGGAAGGTCTTGCGCGCTGAACGCATCTTCCTAGGAAGCGTGATGGGCAATCTTGAAGGCTGGCTCGGAGTCCGCAGCTTGCGCACTTTCGACCTACGCGTGCAGCGCCAATCTGCCAATGCGGAGAAGCTCGTGTCATGGCTGCAGACTTCTCTGGAAGAGAATACAGAAGAAGCGAAGATTGTCAAGAAAGTCGTAAGGAAGCTGGCGCATGCTAGTCTGCAAAAGGACGATTTCGCGTGGCTCAAGAAGCAAATGCCGAATGGTTTTGGGCCCGTGTTTGCAATTTACACGCATCAGACTGTGCAGGCGCGGACTTTGCCGTCAAAGTTGCGTTTGTTCCATCATGCAACCAGTCTTGGTGGTGTTGAGAGCTTGATCGAGTGGAGGCGCATGAGCGACACGAGCGTTGATAACACATTGCTGAGAGTCAGTGTTGGCGTGGAGAGCTGGGAAGACCTCAAGGATGATCTAATCCGAGCTTTCAAGGCGCTGGTAGACGGGGAGGCGAGGAATGGAGTGGCGAGTAGTGTACAGGTTGGACAGAAGGGCGCGAGTGTGCCGGCACAGGGAGCTGGTGCTGTTTAATACCGAAGTCCAATAATCACAATAGCATTTTTGTGATTATAATGATTCATTTAGTCATTCATGCTCGTCGAACAACGAGAACGCTAAAAACTTGTTAAACTCCATGTCAAATGCTATGCTACGCAAAACGCTCAAAATCAAAAAGCCAGCCTGTAATACCACCTTAAGCCAACCCGACAACACCCTTGAAGCGCCTCCAGAGTTCGGCACCCATGGCCTTCCTAGTGTCCACCGTCCTCGCCGCAGCTTCTTTGTTCTCAGCCGCCCTCCTGAGCAGGAAGTTAAGACACTCGGTCGTGGTACCCCACGTCATACACTTGACCACCTTCGCCTGTGTATCTGCCTTCATCGTAGAATCCTGCACAAGGCTCTGGCTAATTTCATCAGCCATGCCCTGCAACTGCGCGTACGTGAGCCGAGGCAGTGACTGAGCAGGTTGGCTGGCGAGTTGACTCGCGCGAACCGCCTTCGCAGCGAGAATAGATGGCAAGTTGTGTGTCGCAAGGACGATGTTGACTTTGGGGAAGGGCGTATCTGGTGATGGCGCAGGCACGGTGTCGGTCCACTGTTGCTTGACGACGGCTTCGGCCATGGCATCGTACATCTTGTCTGTGCCTTCTTTTGAGTCGAACGTAAGTTCTTTTGGCTCCGAAGTCAAGTATGCGCCGCGGACTAGCTTTACACCCGCGATGTAGCCTTCCTTGCTAGCTTTCTCGAGATGCTGGGCTAGGCGCTGGTTGATGGTTCGGAGGTAGCATTGGTAGGTGATATATACGACAGCCCTGCCACGCTCGAAGGTGTTGTACTTTTTCTGGAGCTCGAGTGTCCATTTCTCAAGGCCGGGGTTTGTGGCTTCTTCTTCTGCGCCGGGAAGGAGGGACACGCCCTTGGCAGCGGCGGCGTCGCATGCGGCTGTGATGGCGGACCACATCTCGGGAGTGGCGGGTTGCTGGGTTTTCAGCAAATGTAAGGCGTGACGGCCAAGACCAGACCATCTGCAAAGATGTATTAGGATAGATCTCAGTAAAGAATCACTGTGGGTACTTACTTCAATCCAACGAAGTCACCTTCTTTGGCCATCTCAACACTCTGCAACATGCCTTTGCGCCACACTTCGATCTCTTGTGCAGTCTCAGCTGGCGTTGGCGTCGCACCTCCTAGCACTTCCAATGCATACTCGAAGAGTATACCGTCGTAGCCTAGAACCTCGCGTGCGAAGTTGGTATTCGCGACCACTTCGTCTTTCTTCTCTCCCACACAGAACTGTGCGTAAAACGTCTTTTTCAGAATCTGGCTCAACACAGGATTCTTCTCAATGCTCATCAGGTAGGACTTGGAGTCTAACATCCGCCGTAGAATTGAAAAGCACAGTCCGAGCAAGGCGGGTGACGATGACATGGCAGTGATCATATAGGAGCGTAGTACTGTGGATGTGGGGAGGCGGCCTAGGACAGGCTTTGCGGATGATGATTGCCGTGATCCTTCTGGCTGTTGTGTAGGAAGCATTTGTGATGGGATGGCGACATTTCGTTGTGCGCTTTGGTGGACGTATCGTGGAAGTGTGCGGCGAGTGTGAGCAAGAGTGTGCCGTTGGAGGCGCTGGAATTGACAAGCTCGCAGACTCATGATGAGACTTGTAGGGCTTCAATCGGGCGAAGTGCTAGGTCGAATGGATGTGATATCTTATGGAAAGCCCTGGAATAGTTGTTTAAGTGTGTCGTCAAGATGGGGGTTCTGAAGAGTGAAATCGCCCAATTGTAGTAATTGACAACTGTATTATGTTTGCTCGAGACTGCTTCGATTAGGGACCCGTGACTATTCAAATGTACCTTACGCCATATATACGGCACCTGACCTTCACTGTTGATCCATGGCTCTTCCACGACATCGCGAGCGGTGTTCGGCTTGCGTCGGCATGCATGACGATGCGACTGTTGTGCTCCAGATTGACGCAGCCGGCGCCGGACATTTCGGTTTGATCGCCAGGTATCAGATGATTGGGCCATGCTAAGCCTGTTCCTGTGGAGTAAGCGACATCGTCAGAACATTCTAGGATGGTGATATGCGTGTTGTGGTTGGTAGCGACTATGGAATATTCTATGACGGAAAGCCTGCTGGGCACTGCTGGCGATGATGCATGCGCGCTTGCCTCACCAATGCCCGGCCTCATCACGAACAAGGCATGGATATGCCTTTTCTGTTTGTCAATTCTACCATCGTGACCATCTCGCTCGCTTCTCCACACTCCGGGAGGCCGAGATCCATGCGCGCGGTGCTTCATGCGGCTGGATCACGGCGCACAGCTCCCATGTTGATCTGTGAGAGCCGAAAGTAGCCATTCGCAATTCCCTTAACTCGACGACAATTCGAAATTTCATTTCCCCACAACAGCCCAGGCGGCTCCATAATGACCGACATCGGGGTGCGTGAAGAAGCAAATCTTTCCAGGGGCGATTTGGTGCTGCGAGGAGTGCCGCTGGCGCTGCGGAAAGCGTCGGCGGTCCGCTCCTGAACTAGTGTCCCACGTGTCTTTGTTGCACTGTCGTACCATCTCCGCATTTCATCGATAATCATTACATGTTCATACGCGGCTGATGCGCTCGATGGCGACATTTCGTCTCTTCTTCTGAGGACGTTATCTATTCCTATGTGAGAAACATAATATCCGTACTGAAGGACGAGTCCTCGCCCATAACCACATCTTCATCGTTCTGTGGGACAACGTTTTTGTTCGGTTTGACTTGTTTATCCACCAGAAATTGCGCTCGTCCTGCTTCGAGTACTTCCTGCCGCTTATGACTTAGGTCTTGCTAGCTTTAGATAGTTTTAACACTTGATCTAGAGCAGCATCAGCATTCTCTAGGTCTTCAAAAGCCATCATCTTATGGCAGCGCAGCCTAGAACGACCCAAGAGATCGCAGATTGCTTGGATGCGGTGGCTGAATGTATCGAGCGCGACTTGTTGTCGTCAAGTATGCGTAAACTCATAGGACCATGGGCGTGAAGTGCCGGAGCAAGTTTGAGCAGCTTCCAACATACGACTTCGGTCTCTTGAAAGGTGTAGGTGGAATGTGTCTGCGCTGTCCCACGCTGAGCTTTGCTGAGACGGCTGAGTCTTGCCAGGGTCTGTGGAGTGAAGGCCATCTCCTAAGGCTGCGACCAACCGCAAGACGTGATTTTCACGATCTGATTGAGTCTTTGGAACTGACGGGTCGTTTTGAGGAGGCCGCCAGTCGTGAGCTACTTGACGCTGGGAGAAGGCTTGCTGAGCTTAAGGAGGGTCGCAAACCGAAGTACCGTTACAGGCGGAGTCGAATACATGTGCTCAATACTGTTACTCATGACTGTCCTTGAGATATGCCAAAATCTAGTTCCCCATAGTGTAAGTCTGAATATGTGAAGTTCTCATAGTCAGCATAGTCCACAAGTCCCCTCATGTTCTGCACATAGACGGAAACTTGCTTAAAGGTAACACTCTAGAATTTTCTTCAAGTTGGCTCCTGTTAGTTCCATACCCTGGTTGGAGGCGGTTCGAAAGCTCGCATGGTTTATGCTTAATGTGCACTTAACGCTGTGAAGTGAAATAAATCTCTTGAATTCGGACTCGCAATGCAATACGATACTCACTTGAAGCTTCATTATGAAGACTCCTCTTCCAATCGAATGTCGATAGGGTATAGTCGTCCTTCTTGCAGTCGCGAGCACAATCGGTTTCCGGATCTTGCGTCAGCTTTGTTCTCACTGCACAATCCATTCGACAGGGGTGATGTCCACATGGGCGCTAGTGCTTTGCAGCCATGGCTGTGTAGAAACTGCTTGGTACTGCGCAGTACGTGCACCAGCTGGAGCTGCGTGCAGACTATTGACCCCAACACTCGACCCTAGGTCGGGCTCTTGATCGACCTGGATCCTCGCGCGGCTACGCAACAAGTGGGCGGGACGAGGCGCTTCACAAACCAACAGCCAGACGCGGCACTGCGGGACGATGCGAAGCCGATACACGCCTAGCCGATGGATGGGGCCGCCTTTGCCGCTAGCACTCCTCGCCTGCGTGCACGGCTGGGCCGACTGAACGTCCACGCCTCAGCCTACCAAGCGACATCTGCTTGCCGACAGGCTATGGCGTGCAGGCTATGGCGTGCAGGCTATGGCATGCAGGCTGCTGTGCAGGGCACAAGGTTGAGCAGCAGCAGATGCTTCCGCCTGGCCAACAAACCACCAATCCACAAACACTCGCTCTCTTTTCGCAAAGAGTGCTTGCGACCACCCTTCTACCCTCAGAGCAACTCCCGACTCCCTCGTAAGATCAGCCCATGGCGCGCCGGCTACGGCGCGACGAGTACACGGTCGGTTGGGTGTGCGCGCTGCCCGTCGAGCTGGCGGCTGCGCAGGAGATGCTCGATTCGAAGAGCACCACGACCTCGAGCGCGGTCTGGCCGACAATGACGAGAACCTGTACGCCTTAGGCTCCATTGGCGGACACAACGTCGCAATCGTGTGTCTGCCGGCTGGCCGGATCGGCAACAACCCTGCGGCGTCGGTGTCAACACAGATGCGGGCGACCTTCAAGGCTATCCGCTTCGGGCTGATGGTTGGCATCGGCGGAGGTGTTCCCAGCGCTGAAGCGGACATCCGGCTTGGAGACGTGGTAGTCAGCCAGCCGCATAAGATGCATGACGGCGTGGTGCATTACGACGTGGGGAAGACAACGCCGAGCGGATTCGAGCGGATTCGAGCGGACGGGGTCGCTGAACTCTCCACCGCAGGTTCTCCTTAGTGCGGTAGCTAAAGTGCGCGCGAACGACCTGCGCGGGCGGAGCCAGCTCTCGATGCACGTCTCTAAGCTGGAGCGCATCGCCAGGTTTCAGCGCGTCAAGGCGGGGCCCGACGTTCTCTTTGAAGCAGCGTACGACCACGTGGGAGGGCACACATGCGACCAGTGTAGCGTCGAAAGACACGAGGTGCGGCAGCCGCGGGGAGAGCGAGGAGGAGGTGGTGGTGTACTACGGCACGATCGCATCGGGCAATCAGGTGATGCAGAGCGCTGCGGACAGAGACCGGCTCAGCGCCGAGCTCGGCGGCGTGCTCTGCTTCGAGATGGAAGCGGCGGGCTTGATGAACAGCTTCCCGTGCTTGGTAATCCGCGGCATCTGCGACTACGCTGATTCGCACAAGAACGAGCGGTGGCAGCCGTACGCAGCGGCGACGGCGGCGGCGTGTGCCAAGGAAGTACTGTCGATCATACCAGCAGCGGAGATGGTCAAGACTCATACCGTAGAAGAGGCGATCCGAAACACAGTTGGTTAGTGTAGCAGTTGTCTTCTGCCTGATGATATATCAGCGCTAATGCTGCAGTAGGACTGCAGAAGGAGGCAGAGGGACTTTCAGAAGACTATGTTACTGCTCCACCACTTGACGTACAGAGTAATGGTCTGAACAAAGTAGTCCGACTAGATGAAGCAGTGATTCGACACATGGAGCTATACAATCCCAGATCACAGCTCGAGTGTCGAACCCCCGATGGAAAATCGATGTCAGATCAAGCAGCAAACCAGCGTGTGACACCCGCTAGACATGGGAAACCTAATTTCCCCTGTAAGACGTGCGCCAGGACTTTTAATACTCAAGGTGCAGCGAACGATCACATGAGAGGTGCTAGACATGAGATTATCCCCTGTAAGACGTGCACCAGGACTTTTAATACTCAAGGTGCAGCAAACGATCACATGAGAGGTGCTGGACATGATAAACCCAATATCTCCTGTAAGATGTGCGCCAGGAAGTTCTATACACAAAGTGCAGCGAACGAGCATAGAGCTGTTAAACATTAGGACCCTAATATCTCAAAGCCGAGCGTTAAGAAGTTTTATATACCAAGCGTAGACCATTAACATCTGCAAGTAGATAGACCCCCAATAATGAACAGTGTATGGGTAATGTTCCTTCAGACATGTGCAGAAGGGAAAAACGTGCTTGGATCTAAAGTCCATGTCGGCGAGGCAGACTTTACGTTAACAGGGCATGTACATTAACAGATGGCCACTTATGATAGTACGTGATATTGTTGCTGAGCTTTAACTTCGATACTTATCATATTACTACTCACTTTACCTTAAGATACTTTAGAAACTCCTTGCCCGTGTGGCCTATGCGCTAAGAACACAATCAATGCAAGAGCCGGAAACCGATTGTGCTCGCTACTGTATGCACTAAGCTGGCTACTTACTTGCAAACACTTTGAAGCATGCGCTGTTTCCAGTAGTCTCTGGTACAAAGCCATGCACCTGTTTGAGAATTTTGAGAAACTCCATACAACGTTGTTCCGAAGAAGTGGCTTACCAACAAAGACTAAGATCAATAGTATAACATGCAATTCCAATATTTGTTCCATGTATCACCGTTGCTGAATGGCAAACATTAACCCGAGAAATCATGACATGTTTCGCCCATATAACCCCGCTCTCTTTGAGTGCCCTTTTTGCCTTTACCTGACTCGTTCTCAGCTTTCACTAACTATCAATCTTATCGCTGGATGTTGATCCTCGCAGCCACAAAGGTGTTATCACCACAAGGCTATCAACACGCGGCGAGCCAAAAGTGTTTGGTCGTTGCCAGATAGAATTCGAAAACATACATTAGGAGAATCAAACAGCACCTTACGAAGAAAATGGCGTGATTGCAGACATTCTGATATCGCAGTCTAAGAATGGCACGGGCAAACTGGTGAAGTCTGGCATTTGGCCGCAACAAAGGAAAAGGCCCACCGACCTTAATGACGTGGACCGATGATATTGACGGTACAAGCAATGCCCAAGCGTCTTGTACTAGAACGGAATGGGAGCTTTCTGGAGGAAAGCTAACCATGGAGGGGCTAATTTGGAAACGACGAAGCAGCTGCAATTTCGATTGCTTACAGGCGATGGTTGAAGGACGATGATATTGGATCAGTTGATGAACAATATCATATATTTAGTCACTTCGTTACTGATAACCCTGGGAAATATAGTCTGTCAAAAGTAAAGATGTGAGTGCGACTTCAAGGAGGCGAAACGTGTACATGCTGGCTGCTATAATATCTTTGCTAGTGTATATTCTCCTCCCCTTTTAGCACTCTTACCTACCGTTCAATAGCCTTTTCTACTTAAATCATTATCTCGAATAAGTAGCAAAGCTGAATAATGAACCCCCAAAAGCTAATACTAGAGAATGTTATTCAAGTATAGTAATGCCGCTATCTCTAAGACCCCTCCAGGCGTAAAGCAGTAGTAATCAACGGCTGATTTGACCGCTGAATCGTGAGAGACCTCGTAGTGGCTGGCTCTAGCGTCGCTGTGAACAAGTAGAGCAAGCAATACCATCGCTGGCACTGCGATCCTAAGTATGTCAGCACCAATGACCCCTTGAGTTCGAATGTTTGGAACTTGGGCTCTTGAAACAGCGCGGAAGGTATCGCCAACGCATTCTCCGAGCCTACTAATTTTGTTGACTTCGGCATATTCCACCCGCCCCCACGGCTAATTCCTCATTCAGCAGTGGAAGCGGTGACAGAAGGAGCTGGAGTGCGATTCCGCCCTCTCGACTTTCTGCATCTGGTGATGTGGCACCCCCAATCACTCACAACACATCCGACCCCAGAGAATATCATCCCAAAGGCACATCCTTATCTAAGTTTCAGTCAGGCGTCAAATTCTTCTTCTCATAACCCCGACCATAGCGATGCGTTTCAACACCTGCTTTCTTGGCCTCCTTGCGGTCTCCAGTGCCGCTGCTATGGGACTGTGTGGCACAGCCAAACCATCAGATGAGCAACGACGTGTTGCTCGTGATATCGAAACTCGAAGCAGTGGTCGTTCTTTGGAGAACCGCGCGGGTATCGAAGTCAATGTGTACGCATAGGTCCTCCGTTAGACCGCTTGCGCCTCTTAGCTGACCTCGGTGCGTCTTCAGATATTTCCACATCATCGGCGAGAACGAAACCCTGGAAGGAGGTCATATATCTGTTGAGTAACTCCATTGCCAGCTCGAGGTCCTGAGCAACGCATACAACCCCCACAAAATCAACTGCAATCTCAAAGGAGCCGACTTGATTGTCCAGCCCTCTTGGTCGACCAATTGCCTTCAGTTCGTATCGAACAAGTACTTTCGCAAGGGGACGTATGCAGACCTGAACGTCTACTTCTTTCCCAGACTAGGATGCATTGAAGGGCGGACCGTGCCGCCAAACGAGGTGGTTTGGGGATACAGTACATTTCCTTCTTACTGGATCGCTTCGAATACAAATGTAGCGGATAAAGGTATTATTCTGCGATCGGACTCGGTGCCCGGAAGCAATTCAGACATGAATATGGGAATGACGCTGGTACACGAGGTTGGACACTGGTTTGGATGTGAGTATACTTGGTGTGCAAGAATTTCAAATCTCTGACTATGCGAACAAGTGCTCCATACTTTCGAAGGCGGCCGTGAAGGTAAAGGATTTGGTGTCGATACGCCCAGCATTGATGCCTTCCACGTCCAGGATGGAGATGGTGTTGATGACACACCACCAGAAGATGATCGTACCGTCATGTATAGCTTTGGATGTGCTCGCAAAAGAGATAGTTGTCCGGGTAGCGGCCTTGATCCCGTCGAAAACTACATGGACTACTCCGCCGAGTGAGTTGAATTCACCGTCCTCTTGTGGAGGAGAAGCTGATCAAGATGTAGTGCTTGTTATACACATTTTACCCTTGGACAGGAGATTCGGATGTACAGCCAGTGGTCGGAGTATCGCGCATCGCACAAACAGAACTAAGCGTGCATATGCTTTCTGTGCCTTGGGAAGTCGCTAGACACGTTCCTAGCTGGATGGATGATTGTGGAATGCTGGTCACGGACTTAGATCCTGCAAAACCATTGCGATGTTGGGATTCGAGTTGTGCACGCGTTCAAGAGTTTGTTTTTTTCTGTTTCCTCGTGGGCTTCGAGATAGTACTGATTCCTTGTATCGCGGCGGTTTCTATTTCATAGTCTGCTATTCCTGTGTCTACGTTCTTTTTCGCAGTTCGCTAGTTCACCTCTGAAGTAAGAGATCATGATGCATGGTGACCGTGCAACGATGAACACGCGTGGACGCGACAGGATTTGCCGATGACGTAGCACGACCGCACATCAGCCGCGTTTCATCTCAACCATGTCCAAGCGACATCCGCTGTGTTGCCAGTCTGACTTCAGATGAAATCTCCTCATACCTCCAGAATCGCTTCACCATGGCTCTTCCACTGGGAATATTTCTGGGTGGCTGCGTGATCGCGATTCCGGTCGTCACAGGTGTTGCGCAAGGTGTTGAACATCAGAAGAAACAGAATGAAGAGGCCGCGAACGAGTCGCGCATGTGGAAGTTCAATTGCTTGGTCTCATGCGACACAGACGACGAAATTGCGGACGAAGAGCTGAATAATGCGATTCTCGTTGTGCGACACGACAAAGTTTGGGTGGTGCCCCGCGATGAAGACAACAAGCCAGTTCCGCCGGTCGAAGGCACTGAACCGCCCCTGCATCCGTTCGCTGGCTTCTACATTCAGTATCCGGACGAGAGTAGATTTCCGCCAGAACGAGGCTTAGTCACCACTATTAGTGACGATCCACCAATGTTGAACTGGCTTTATTGCGACAAAGATACATTCGAGCTGAAATATAACAACCGCACTGGAAGCATGGAACATCATGTAGGCGTCTGGGACTGGACTGAAGATGAGACACGGCTCAACTTTGATGGATGGGAAGGATTCATTGCAATCGACGAATGGGATGGCGCAGATGAAGACTCTACTACTCCATGGGGCAAAGAAGGCTTGCGCTGGGCCGTGTACTTCGACAAGGACGACAACGGACTGGCAGGTCGCCACAAAGATCGCGACAGGTTCGAGATCACATTGACCAGACGCATTCAAAGTGCTGAGGAGCAACTCAAGCAGAACGAGGCTGCGGAAAAGAAGATGCAAGTTAAGAGTCGCGGTGGGCTAAGCACGCAGTTTAGTGCGCCGACCAAGGAGAGAGACAAGGAATGGGAGAAAAAGTATGGCGAAGAGGCTAAGAAGAAATTAGAAAAGGAGAGGCAAGAAGCCCGAGAAAAGTTGGAAAGGCAAAAGAGAGAGGAAGAGGAGAAAGAGGGAACGATTTGGCAAGGGAGTCGAAACGCACCCAAAGAGAGCTGAGCAACACGTTGGCCGAGTTGTGTTCGTCGTTATGATGCGACGAGCAAATAGTGCTTCGCTCTGGAGCAGAAAGATCAGATATGAAAGACAGCGGGTTGAACACGATTGAAACGATGCTTTGAATGCTCCGCGGTCCTGTGTCAGTTCAACTATCGCTGCACCGGGAGTTTTTGTTCCCAAAAAGGCTGCAGAACCATGACATCTAACACCATGCATCCTCAACTTATGGTATCAATCTTTCCATCAAAGTCGAAGATCGATTCCGTTAGTCGACATCCATGGACCTTGAAATGTAGATTGAGAAGTTTGCAACGGTTGCATTGAGACAGCGTTATCTGGCGTGCAGAATGTCTCATATTCAAATGTGGCAGAGCCCACATGAATTGAAAGCGATTCGAGCGGGTTGCCTGGAAACACACAGCTGAGCCCCTGGAGCTTTGCTGAGCCCCACACCCATCTGATCGGGAGGAGAAGTCAAAGCGCAAACCAATGGATTATACGCATCTGCAATGCCACAAGTAAGTGTTTTCATTCTCGTTTCGAAATGAAGGAGAAATCACGTAAATGCCCCAGGCTATATATAGTGCAAGCATGCAACCTTCTGCACCAGCTCGACAGAAACGTCTAATCGTCCGCAGCTGGCCCAGTAATATCTTCTGGAGATGAGCTTCGATACAGTTTTTGCGACGTCAGAAGGATCAAAGCTGTATGGCTGACCGGGAGCGCGTAACTGTGCCGCATGCAAGCTCCTCGGCGTTGTCACGAACACAAGGAACATGCACGGGCCAAGATGCGCTGCGCCATGCTCATGGCATGACTTCAGGCAAGCTAGCATGAGACTGCAGAGAATGCAACGAATAAACAGTCATTCCAATGAGTGTGGCATACATCAGCCACGACAGGCTTGAGCGATATGCAAGTTTAGTGAGTTTCTGGGCACGCTCCGCTGTACCCCTCTCAACCCCAGCGCATAGAGTCTCATGTGGCTAAGACAACCCATGCTAAAGAGGGAACGGGTGAAGAAGGCGGCCTATGGAGCAAACATAAAGCGACAGTGGCGTCCTTGACCCTATGGAATCTAGCAAACACGTACTGTATTTATTGAGTAGCCTTTCAGAGTGATCCTGTCTCTACATCACGACCTGAACATCATGTCGCATGGATGGGATCCCACAGAAGTCTTGCAGCTCTGCAACGATCGGCGCTGCATTGGCTATGCCCCTTCTCAACGCCGGAAATGCAGGAATATCATTGCAAAAGCCAACGTCCAGAGGTTCCAGAGACTGCTCATCGAGCTCGCGGAACAGGAGCCCGATCCTGACTTCCTGGAGCCACGGCTGAGGGAGATAGCTAGTTACGGGCTGTGTGTTGCCTATCATAGAAGCCAGGCCGATGATATGGTGCGCAAGTGGAGCGCAATGATGCTCGAAGCCTACCCTCCAACGCCGGTAGCACCAGCTCCAGTCCGATACCAACGGTCAGCCGCTTCGTCGTATCCACGAGTGTGTGTTTCACCAGGCACAACGTCGAGGCGCTCGACTTCAACCTCATCCTCAACCTCGTCCTACATCTCGCCGCTAGAGGACGCTGAGCTCCGAGCACTTCGAGAACATGCGTCCAGATTGGAAGACATAGGACGGAGGAGAATGCGACAGGAATCGGTGCTTTATGAAGCCCAGACGAGGGCCGGCACTGTATCTACATCGCGCTCTTCAGTATCCAGCATGTCCACGATCCAAATCTCTAGGCGGGCCATGGAAGATGCATCGAACACCCTACCCGCAAGGTCAACAGCAAGAGCCCCGACACCCATTAGGTTGCCAGCTGCAGCGTCCGATACAACCAGCGAACCATCAACGCCACGGCCAACATCGAGAGTCCCGACATCCGTTAGATTGCCAGCTGCAGCATCCGATATAACCAGTGAGCCATCAACGCCACCGACAACATCGAGAGCTCCGACACCCGTTAGGTTGCCAGCTGCAGCATCCAGTGAGCCATCAACGCCACCGTCAACATCAGTTGCAAGGTCTACAGCACTTTCAACGTCCGCACCTCCGACACGATCATCATCCACGCCAGGCAGACACTGCGAACGTACTCACGTTCGTCGTCTTCCTATCGACGAAGAATGCCCCATCTGCTACGACGACACTCCCTTGTCTTCATGCGCCCCTGGGGAAGTCGTCTGGTGTCGCTCAAGCTGCGGTCGGTCCGTTCACGCCTCCTGCTTCGAGGACTGGCGCGCTCAATGTGCGGACCGAACACTCACATGCATGGTCTGTCGAGAGTCATGGGACGAAGAGTGCGAGTGTGAATCATGTACGGTGGCTCATGTACAGAAGAGGGACGTCGTCCAAGAGGCGTGCTCGATTTGCCGCGAGGATCTACGTCCAGATAGGGATGAGGAACAGTATCCAGCCCTGTCTTGGTGCAAGAGTGGATGTGGACGAAGTGTGCATCAAGAATGCTTTGATGGTTGGCGTGCAGCGTGTCTGGGCCGAGGTACGAATGCGACTTGTACGGATTGCCGGGCAGTGTGGGTTGATGAGTGTGGGTGTTAGTCAAGCTGCGCGTTGTACTATTAGTGAGTGGAGCTGTTGCACCTTGTCACGTCCTTACGCATTTCTTTTCATATGTGGTTCGTTGTTGATATAACCTATGTACAATTATCATAAAAAGTCATCATAGCGCTTCAATCCCAAGCTTTTGCAGCACGCCGGCCAAGTCGCCATCGATAATCGTGTCCCATCCCCGCTCATCACCCCAGGTGATTCTCTTCTGGTTCAGCTTCGCCTCGTCCATCAAGCCCATCAGCAGCGGACTCGACTTGTTGACACCAGGATAGGCATCAAACTCAATCTCACTCACACTCGGTATCTGCGCAAGCAAAGCTCTCACCAAGCCCACGCAGTACTCAGTGTAATGAGTCCGGCCCACGAGCAACTCGCCAAACGACGGATGCGACGACGGATCGATTTCTACAAAGATCCGAAGCTTGTATACGCGCGTGGTGGCTGCCAGACCTAAGCGGCTGTCTACCACCCAATGCTTGGGTGGTGACGTGAAACCAGGTCCCACACGCAGTTCCAATCTCGTGATGTGTATGCGATACTTCCGTGGGAGCCACGCTAACAGCGGATGTTTCTTGTTGATATAGCGGCCATGTATCGGAAACACTCGGAATGTGTTGCGCGCATAGAAGACTCGCGAAGCTTCATTGTGCATTTGTTGCGAGACGGTGAAGAGTCGTAGGTGCGGCGCTATGGTGCGCGTGTTCGTGGGGTCGAGATCGAGCGTCTTCGGGAAGACAAGGAGGAGCTCGTACACGCGTATACGCAACTCTGCTGGGAGGGCAAAGAAGCGAAACGACTGAGTTGGGTCGCCGCTGCTAGATGCATCGTCGTCGGCGACGTGCAGCGTGTTCATGCGCTTCACGAGCCAGTCGATGTCTTTGGTCTTGTGGCGGCCCATTATGCCTGCAAATATGAACAACACCAGCACTTCTTTTCAGTCGCAATCACCTTCTCAAGCGAGCACACGAGTCGCTTCAAAGACACTTATGCATCCATCGCGCTGACGGGTTTGTCGTCACGTTTACGTTCGATCGAGGTAATGGAATGTCTCGTGCCTACGGGACGAACTGCTCATGCGTAAGGAGCAGAAGTTCTTGGGGGCCACGATTTGGTTTCTTTCTCCCCGACAATAGTGTCAACCTCAAATTTATGTTGTATAAAACCTGACGTCAAATTCTGTGGGTGATCAACTTTGGAAAAACAGAAGAGAGGGCGGCGATGCGCGAAGTTTTGTAGCACGGAGCGGCGGATTGGTCGGGCCGAGGGGGAACGGGATTGTGTGGGGTAAGACTTGCCGACCGCTTCCATGATGTCGTTCGGAAACATTCAGAGGTGGAACATCACTCAAATCATTGCTTAGGCTGCCGGTAAATATGTTTGGCTCTCATCTTCAACTACCAAATCGCAGGTCAGAGCATTGTGCGCGCTGAATAGACACTGAATACCTGATGGGGCGAATGCATGTTCACTCGCTCGCTGCAAGTTTGGACTTCACGTTATCATATGGCTAACGACCTTTTGTGATACCTTGTATTCATGAAAACAGTCACACATCTATAAGTTCAGACCACTGATCTCTGACCCCTGCCATCAACCTCATGTCAACAAAATTTAGAAGTACCTAAACGCGGAACGGTACATTGAGACATGACGAGGGAATGCGCATCCCCTCAAGAGCTAGAGTATAACACTCTAGCCAGTTAGGCCCTTACCAGAACCCCAATAAACCGGCAATACCTGCAGTGATCGAGTATACACCCAATACACTTATGCCGGCAATACAGATTTTGAAGCTGGCCTTGGCCTTGGCAGTTTGTACATGACGCCAGACGAAGAGTCGTACAACATCGTCGAGACACTCAGTCCAGAGCTTTGAAACTGCACCAGTCATACCGAAGTTGGCTATTTCAAGGAGTATACGTCCATCATCATGAAATTCCTTCATAATCTCGTCAAATTCGAAACGATTGGAGTACCTGAACATCCAGTCTGCCAAGCCGGTGTACAGATAAACCTTGAGTTCGGCACAAAGATTGTCTGCGGTGACCTTGCGACTGTCTACGTCTCGCATCGTGCGCTCGAAGTACATCGACAAGAGCTCGAAGAGATAGTGTACAACCCGATCGTGTGCTACGGCCTCGGGTCTATAGGTTGCGTGGCCCCGAACGATTGCCATGAACTCTTCGTTGGCAAGCGCACGGCGCATCACAATTGATTCGAATTGCTCAAGCAAAACACGTACATCATCTCGCTGGATCTCCATAGCCTGGCCAGCTTCCATGTAGGACGCGGACTCCAGGATTGTCTCGAAGATCGTATCTCCGAGGGAGATTGCGGGACCTTTGATCATGGGCGTGTTGACACGGGGCGAAAATTGATCTACATCGTCACCGCATCGACACGATGGCATTGGTATGTCACCTGCGACCATTCGCTTGCATACGTTGTCCTCGCAATGCAAGATGCAATGTAGCGGCTCAGCTTTGACTGGGGGGCATGGGTCAACAAATTCAGGGAATGGCTCTGCACTAATGTGCTCATTAGCTCCACCGAAGAGTGGCGATGGAGGCGCTACTGGTAGTCGTAGTCTGCCAGGAACTACGACTGTGAGCGGACGCGGTCGCGAGCGACGCGCCTGTACTGTGGTGGTGCTGGTGGTGGAAGCGAAATCATCCATCAAGTAATGCATTGTGAGTGTGGAGTTCAGGTAATTGCGATCTGAGTGTGATATCAGAGGCTTGGTGTTGTTGTGTGGATCAGGAGTTGACCTGGGAAACAACTACTTATGATTACACGACCAAGACATTGTGAGACTAAACATTACGATGCCGAAATCACAGTGTCCGACTCAATCCTATCCGTGCACAATGCTCTAGTGTATCACAATCATCTTTTCCAGAAGGTGCGCCGGTTACATGTGTCAACACCTTGGGTTCCGTTTTATTCAATTGTTTCACTACATCTGTCGAAACAAGACATGAGGGGTGACGGAAGTAGCTAATCTCGGCGAGCAAAACTCCTGTCACGGTACCGTAATGTTATTGAAACTATTCTGCGAGTCTGCACAAAGCCATCAGCGATTGACAACCGCGACGGCCTTGCTCAAGTTAGTAGCGAGGAATACACGGATGAGACAAAGTAGATATTGAGCGCTGTCTTTGTGGCAATGCACTTCTCTCACCACCAAGAACAAGTGTTACGGAACAGGCTCCCTCAACATTCCAGGAGGTGACACTACATGTCATCGCAGGCGTTCTTTTCCTGAACCATAACGGCTCCAATTATGTCTTGCACGGTCGAATAACCCACATAACATTAAACCAAAGGACGTTGACAGGGAGCCGTTGAATTACATCAGCTATTTGACTGTAGGTTGGAGACTATAATCATTGGCTGTATGACCTGAAAATCTTATTCCCCTTTTCGACTCATGCTTACTGAAACCTTCAACATTTAACCCCGAGGAAATATTTCAAATTCAATTGATCACACCCTCTCACCCAAATCGAAACAACAAAAAACGGTATCATGTAATCATCAATTCATACTTCAGCGTCGTAAAAAGCCTATTCCCTAACCGAATAGCCCCATCCAACCTCCAAATCCAACTTTACTGCATGCCCCGTATATGCAAACTCCCATAAACGTGTATGACCGTGATCATGATACCAATACTCTCATCCTTCGTTCATTCCCAATTCATCTCAATCCAACGACTATACGTTGCGAGTCGAACACCCAACCCCAATCTAATCAAGAGGATGATCCCGCTCGCAATCCTGACACGCCTCGCCACCAATCCGCTCAGCTCCATAGATGATATCGACCAAGCCGCATCCCTCACCCGGCGCGTTCGAGCCCGCTGGACGACCTTGGGGAGCAACCGGCGCGGGAAACGGAACAGTATCTGCCATGCGCAAGCCCGCTGCGCCGCGGCCGCGGTATGTGTACAGCCCGTTGTCGCTGCGGTAGTTACGGCGAGCGTTTGAGTAGTTGTTACCGCGGACAGGCATCGTGTTTTGATGCATGGGTCGGGAACCGTGGGGCAGGCCGACGTTACGGATTGTGGTGAGATCGATGCCGGGGACGGGGCGGTCGGTGACGGTGGCGTTGCGGTACGGGAAGTGGCGGTCGATTATCGCCTTTTGGGCGGCGAAGGGGGAATATGGGGTCGTTCCGTCGTTCTCGATGGCTTCGGTGTCGGTGCTGAGCTGCTGCTGAGCGCGCTGTTCGGCTAGAGGAACAGTGGAGACTGGAGGTGGCATGATGGAAATGCGTTGCTGCTCCTGGTAGCTATCCAGAGCCGGCGCCATCGTGGGGGCTTTCTGGATACGAAGATCTGCAGTAGATGCGCTGGAAGAGTACTGTTTCTTCTGCCGAGTCTTCTTCGGAGATCTAGAGCGGCCCTTCTGGTACCCTTGATCGAAAGCGAATTGCACCTGGTACATGTAATAGAACCACGGAATACCATATGGATCCAGCTCGTACTTGACAGGCCCAAGGAGGTCGGTCGTGGGGTCGAGCTGAGAGATGTCGACTTTCTCCGGACCGGGTTTCTCTGGAGCGCTCGAGGAGTTTGCTGGGTAAGGAACGAACTCCGTAGCTGTGGCGCGTAGCTCGGAAGCGAGACTAGAATCTAGTGAATGCTCGCTCACTGCTTGACGACGGGTGACAGGGACATACTGCTCGGTTCTACCCCGGCCGGACGCCGCGTCTCGAGCACTGCCCAATCTAGAGGCAGACGACGCCGATCTGGTACGGTGCTGGTCCTCGTTCCGCCTAAGAGATCCTAATTCAAGATTGTGAGCCATCATGACGATGATATCTGGGACATGAAAAGGATGCCCGAGATTCGTACCAAGAGTGGTAGACCTCTTGCTGTAGATGATTGCAGGATCTATCGCCAAATGATCTGTGACAGCAGTTGATGCTTTGACAGTGCTGATGCTTGATGCTCGAGAACTCTCAATGTGTTCATAGCCACTCGTACGTTCTAGATCACGCTGTTCATCTAGATTAGATTTGCGCAGCATCGATTCGACCTGCTCGATCGTGGTATACCCTTCCTGTGCTGGTGAAGAGTCAGTTTCCGCTGCGTACGATGCAAGTTGCTCAGAAAGCATGCAAGGGGGTGCAGGGCAGTCCGGCAGGATGGGAGTAATACCGGAACTATCGACAGTCCGAACATGGCGTGGGGAATCAGTCTTAAGCGTCTTGAATTGTCGTTGAGAATCGTGGCCCTGCACCTGGAGCTTGGTCTTAAGGGATGTCAGTGACTTCGTGGACTGCGCTCGCTTCAAAGTCGAGCTGCGAGTCGGACCACGAGCAGATGATGCATTTCCTATGGCAGCGACTCGTGGGATGCGGGAGTTTGACGAAGCGGAAACAGGGCTCCGAGGACTATTGCTTGTTGCAGAATGGTTCGTGGCAGAAGCATACGACGCCGAGGATCTGTCGCCAGCATTGGTGCGCGCGTCTACAAGGGGTATGTCGATCCTGAGACTGGGCTTACTCGCTCTACCAACAGTTGCCGCTTTGACAGAGGTGTGCACGAATCTGGAACTTCTGTACATTCTCAATGTCAGTATGCAGTTGAACAGCAGGAGTATGTTCATGCTCATCAGGGAGTTCTGCAGTTGACTTGAAGCTAAGACGTCAAGTCGGCAGTATCCCTTACCCGGAGAACTCTCAGCTGAGTGGTAGATGGATTCTCCTGTCGTAGAGGTTGTCACACTGCTAACCCCTCGTCGGTGACCATACGATGTCGGCTCAGCAGACAGAAGTTCTGTCTTGACTGGTGATGTTCGCATAATGAGATGGGGCTGTTGTCGAGGGCTCTCACGTAGCGGCGAGCTGGTTGGGCTGTTCCATGCAGGCTTTGAAGAACCACGTGTGTACTTGGTAGGACTTTTCCCGGCGGTAGGCGAGGTGAGATTGCTCTCGAGCGGGATATGGGAGGTCTTTGTCAAGAACGACGATCCCTCTGCAGCATGTGATCTTCCAAAATCGGCCATGCTGCGAGTCCCGCGGAGATTGTTTGCCTTGGTCGGGGAGCCGCTCACTGACTCTGGCTTGTGCCCGCGCTCCTTTGCGCGCTGGGCCGTCGCGAGAGTCGGCGCATTTTTAGCAGGGACCCACTGCGAAGGGATGGGTTTGCGGGAGCTGGAAGGTCCTCGGACTGTGTCGGCGTCAGACGCATAGCTGTACAGGGTAGACATGCTGGACGCGCGTGTATGATCGATTTGAGACCCTTCAAATTCGTCAGAGGTGACTTCATGTTGATGAATCAGGCCGGGGGCTCTACCATTGTGACCAGCAGCCAGAGACAAAGAAGACTCATGATCCAAAGGCAAGTTCAAGTCCCCACGCTGTGTATTCAAAAGCGAGCTGGAAAGAGCGGCGCTGTCATCCAAGTTGAGATCGCGTCCTTCCTGAAGTGCTGAACGGGGAATCAAAGCGGCATGCTGAGGCATGTGGTTGCCGCCCTTAGTCGAAGTGGTGTTGCAAGCAAAGGTTGCTCCGGCTCCTGAACGGGTGAGAGTAGACATGTTGTGGCTGTTGTGCTGATTATGCGAATGCGAAGAGCTGCTGTTGTCTGCGAATGATGCCGGTGGATGAGAGGATGCGGGACTGAAGTCGTCGCCCGGTGTGTCGCTAGCACCGTTTGCGTTCGGCGAATGACCGTGTCTACTCGGATTAGCTGCGGCGTGATGACACGAAAAGCTGCTTGTACGTACGGTCGGGGCAGGCCAAACTCTTTCGCCTTGTTGCAATAGGATACTTTGTAAAAGGAAACGTGCTGACACTTGTCAAAGTAGACGTCTGTGTTGTGTTAGTCGAAGACTAGCAACGGGGGAGTGCGATTTACAATGATATTGGCACATGATTAAGGAAAGCGTGTTGTGCACATCCAAGTTGAGGATCTATGAGGGAGGGAGGCCCAACGTTAAGGGCAAGTGTGTTGTTGTTCGCGATAACAAACGGGCAAGGAAGCAGTAACCAGGGTCCACCAGGTGAAGGTGGATGGAGGCAACATTGGAAAAGAAAATATCTGCAAAGTGCAAACAGAGCAACGCAGCTCCCAAACCCACAGTGACAGAATGCCTCATTCACTTACTCATGCATCTCTCCCATTGCGTCTAATCTGAGATTGCCTTGATTACACGAAGAAACCCGGAACAGTACATTTACACTGGAACGTTGAATTATTCAAAGCAAGAAAATTATCAAAAGGGTATAATGTCTCCGCAATGTCGTCTAGAATCGTCTCTTCTTCTTGCTCTGGGCCTGCTTCTTAGCCGCTTCTTCAGTCTTGCGCTTGAGCTCGGCTCGTCTCCTTTCGGCCTTTTCTTCTGCTGTCTCCTCACGTTCCTCTATCACGGGGGATATTATTCTACCGAACCGAGACACTGGTGGTGACGAAGGAGGAGGCGTACTGGGTGATCGCGTTGCTCTGGTTCGGTCAACCATCGGTGGAGCTGTGTCTTGGACCTGCGAGCTACCGCCCACGTCACCCTTCCCCTTCCCTTTTCCACCGATCTTGAATGTCCTTTTTCCTTTTTTCGGGGTCAAGTCAACATCAGCAATCGTCTGGGAAGAACCTGACTCCTTCAGTGGCAAGGCATCTCCATCCGGCAAGTTATCCAGGTGATCCTGCGGCTGCGTTACGATCTCTTTGGTCTTTCCGCCGATACGGAAGCCCTTTGCCTTTGGCTTTGGCTCTGGCGGAGTAGCACTTTTTGGGGGAGAGGACGCTTCCGGCGTGGGCGATTTGATGCGAGATGGTGGTGGCCGTCTAGCATTCTGACTTGACTTCTGGCTCTGGCTCCTCAGAGGGGCATCAGGATCCTCGTCGTCCTCTGTCGCATCGTCTGAAGTTATGGGGGCCTTGAGATTCCGGGTCTGCACGGTCGTGAGACGCGGATTTACAAAGTGAACGGCTTCACGCACCTTGAAATTGGAATGAGTCTCAAATTCATCCTCGGTTTCATCTCCACTGGACTCAGCAACAGGCTTGATCGGTTTTGTGCTAGAAACAGTTTGCCTGTTTCTGCCTTTTGCAGGAATCTTGACGCCACTGATACGTGCCGGGATGCCAATCCACCAACTCACATCTACGTCACTTGACTTCAACTGGGGTGGTACGGTAGGTCTACAGTCGGAGAGGGCTTCTTGAAACAAGCCAAGGGTACTGACATGCAAGTGGACCAATTGCCCGGTCTCTTGCTTGAACGCATCTTCCCGGAACAGCTGTAGGGCGGGAATGTGCCTCGCAGCTTGCTCGCGCTTGACGACCTTCCTGCCTGATTTCAAGCCGCTGATGATGGGGAAAGCGGCTGCAAGATCCAGATTGCTAGACTCGTACTGATCGACGAGTCGAGTGATTGCCCTGTCTTTGTCCTTGATGATTGAGACGAGACCATCGACTCGCTCATGTTGGACGTGCGAAGAGAGAAGCAATGGCAAGATGAGTTCGTTCTTTAGAACGAACGAGGCCTGTTTCTTGAGATGGAACTTCCAAGTCAAAGAGTCGAGGGGTTTGGGAAGGGCGATGGTGGTATGCAGCGTTATGCCGTCGCTGTCAGCCCGGGTTATCCAGCAAATTGTATCATCCGAATGGTCTAGAGATTTTTTGACATTGGCAAGCAGGATGGCAAGCTGCGCCGTATCGCGTTTGCTGACTTCGATTGGCGATTGTTCCTCGGCGGCGCGCTGCACAATGCCCGCCAGGTCCAGCTCCTCGCTCCAGATGTTGCTGAGGCACGTGAGATGGACCGAGTAAGAGTCTGGTCCGAATTCTGGTTTGACCAGGAGTTGTGGAACGACTTGGCCGGCGGGCAGCTCGGAAAGCTCAAGGACACGCCAACAGGACATTCTGGCGGAGATGGAGGAGGAGTACAGCCAAATCCATGGGCGGTCTTGGTCTCGTGGTGAGGACGAGCCTAGTGGATGTGGTCGCGGGCATGGCGCGCATTGTCAGCCTGCCATGTCGCGTAGCAGGCGCGATAGAGTGAAGGCAGACACGCCAAGGAGCTAGCGTGAGCTAGCATGCATACGTCACTCGTGCGGTCGGCTGCTCCAAAAGTTTCGCGTTCGAGGTGCCTGGGCCTGGACGGGCGATTGGCAACTGGGGAGCCAGCAAGCTTCAGGACCCGCGCACAGAATGGCTTCACACAACCCGCCGCCGTGGCGCACCGAGCGCAGCAATCTGCCGCAGCGGTCTGCGCCCTCTGCGACAGTGCCGGCGAAGCGATCGGCCGACTCGCGAGCACACGACAAACCTGCGAAACGGGCGGCCAACACGACAAACGCGGCCGAGGAGGCGTGGGTGGCAGACGAGGACCGCTTTGTGCTGGCGCAGGCAAAAAAGAAGGCGGCGCTGCGCGTAAAAGGCGGCCGCGCCAAACCCATCGACTGGCTGGCCGTCATCCTGCGCTTCGTCGACCCGACCAAGGAACTCCTGGACGACGAGGTCGAAGATGCCGAGCTGGAGGTGGTGGATCCCGAAGGCGTGCTCGAGGGCCTCGACGCCGACGAGCTCTCGGGCTTGGAGAAGGAGATTGAAAACTACCTCACACTGGAGACGAACCGCAGCAACCGAGACTACTGGAATGTGCGTCGCTATGGATCCTTACTACCGTGTACTTCGCTGACATTCACAGGCCTTGAAGTCCATATGCAAGGACCTCCGCCGCAAGTCGAAAGCGTCGGCATCCGAAGGGCGCGGCACCAGCTCGGTCGCCGCAGACATCGACAAGCTGCTCTCGCCCAAGACGTACGAGCAGCTGGAAACGCTCGAGGCGCAGGTCAAGCGCAAGCTGGACTCGGACGAGCCCATCGACTACGACTACTGGGAGCAGTTGCTGCGCAGCCTGCGCGTGTGGAAGGCCAAGGCAAAGCTGCGGCGCGTCTCCCAGGAGATCATCAAGGAGCGGCTCCAGGGCCTGCGTACGCAGCAGGCAGAAGCGGCGGCGTCTGTACAGGGCAGGATACACGACATGCTCAAGGCTGCAGATGGGTCAAGAGAGGAGCGCCCCACCACAGTCGCCTACGATGCATCGCTCGACCCGGAGCCACTACTGAAGCTCCGTACCGAGGACAAGGGCATGGCACAGATCGAGGAGAAAACCTTTCTGGACGATCTCGCCAACGAGCGCCGCAGGGTGCAGAAGCTGGGATACGTCCCCCTGCAGAACATGTCCCACGATCGCAGCAACACCGAGAGCAAGCCCATGACCAGCCAGGCCGTCACCACAAGCGCTTCCAGATTTGCCCCCGTCGAGAAGGAAGACTATTCCCAAGCGACCATGGCCCTTTATGAGAGGGAGGTCGCGAGGGGCGTCGAGGATGGCGAGGAGATCTTCACAGCCGAAGAGGAAGTCGCGTCGGCGCGGCCGCAGTGGGCGGGCGACTACAAGCCGAGAAAGCCTCGCTACTTCAACCGCGTGCAGATGGGCTATGAATGGAACAAGTACAATCAAACGCACTACGACCACGATAATCCCCCGCCCAAGGTTGTGCAGGGCTACAAATTCAACATCTTCTACCCAGACCTCGTCGACAAAGCAAAAGCGCCCACGTACAAGATTGAGCGCGAAAACGGTCGCAAGCGCGGACAGTCTTTCGCGCCAGCTGGTGAAGACGACACATGCCTCATCCGATTCATCGCCGGCCCACCCTACCAGGACATCGCCTTCCGCATCATCGACAAGGAATGGGACTACAGCGCCAAAAGGGAGCGCGGCTTCAAGAGCAGCTTCGACAAGGTAAGTCCTGGCTCTCCCACGCACGCCAGCCATTGCAGAGGACAACGCTTGGCGAACACCTGGCTTACGCGATGCAGGGTATCTTACAACTTCACTTCCAGTTCAAGAAGGTATATGATGAATGCATGTATTGGAGAAGCTATGCTAACCCGATCAAGATCTACTATCGAAAATAGCTGCTCCCGAACAGGCCCAGCGCCCTTTTGCTCACACCATCGCATCTGGACATTCTGCACATGGCGTGGACTACGACAGGGTCAAAAGCGGACATCTCGCGCGACTTGCACATCAGTAGTATCATTCCAAACAAAGCACTGCGTGTATCCAAGACGTCTTTTCGCTTCGCCGCCGCTAGGCATAATCGCTGTACGCCGGCAGTGGTAGCCTAGGACACTCACCGACCAGGTTGATCGGCCAACAGCTTTTGCACACCACCACCATTTTGTGTACGCGGGCCTGGTGGTGTTGGCGGTGTATCGATGATTTGGGCGGTGACTGCGGCCCTGCAGAGTTGGGACCAATCAAAAGGAAACGGGAGCGTGCAGGCTTTGTGCCATGAAGCTTCACCGGAGAATAATAGTCTAAGGGTCGGATTGTGTTACATCCCACTGTGGGGTCTGCCTTAATGGCTGTCCTGTCGCCTCCTTCTGCAGGTAGACTGCATTTGGACAGCCTTGAAATGGATCCTGGTATTCGCACACCGCCATGGCCAATCAGTTCTCAGTGGATCCTGCACGTGACGACTATGTCTCTGGCAAGTGCTTGCTCACAATGCAGCACGTCTCTCTAAAGCGCTTTGTCCTTGCTACAATCACACAAAGCTGGAAAGCTGCTCACAAGCATATGCCCGCCTCGATTAGTCTCTTTCTGTTCTTCTGGAAGGCATGCATGGAACACGGGAGGTGCGGTAGCCTTCCGCCAGCCATGATGCGCGTCTCTTATTGTTGTGCATAGCCCAGGCGCATGCGGCGTCCCGTCTCCAGCTCTCATTGCACCACCTCGATACAAAGTCGGAATGACTGCGTTGTGTCACAGACTGAGCCAGTGAGATTGCGGTTAGTACAACATGTCAGGCGTCTTCATCCCGCCGGCCCGTGAAGCAATGAGATGTCAGCCAGCTTGGGCCCGTGCCACCAGGCCCGCGTCACTCTTTTTGACATTTACATCTCTCTTGATCTTTCGGTTTGCCGGTCCATGCTTTGGCGCGCTTCAAGCTGCATATGCAATGGCCGCAGGCACCCTTTTGACAAGCATGGTGACAATGAGTGAGATCCACACCAATCTCTGTTACCGGGCGTGGACGGCGTCCCTAAATGTCTTGATTTCGCTTCACTTGTTCTGGTATCGCTTCAGATCGGCCTTCGTATCTAAGTCTCACCAGTCCTTTGATCGCACAGGCAGTGCTGTCGTTCAATAGCTCTCTCCACTTTGATACGCTAAGTCACCTTGTCACGCAAGCTTATCAAAAGCGAACACGCAGGAACTATGGCACGTCCACAATCGCCCTATATGCCTTCCGCTATGAACCTTGCTGGCGGCATCGGAGCTGGTCGGGTAGCTGGGGGTGTATCTCGTGCACTGCATCCTCTCCATACCGAGAAGTCACCGTCTCCCATTTTACCAAAGTCAACTCTCAGAATCTCGCCATATACTGCCCCTACGCCAGAACCCATCTCATCCGCTGGTCAAACAGCTTTGCCAGACGACATGAAAGTCGAGGTACCCATGGCAATGCACTGGACTGGACAGTCAGACCTCTCTACCGACCACGCCAGCTTGAGCAACGCGAACTACCACTTGCCTCACCAAATTGGCATAGCCCAGGGAGACCTTTTCACGTACGCCCAGAACGGCATGTCATACAACGACAACTGCAACATCCCCTGCGCATCCCAGTACCAAAGGGCGAATTTTCCACGCTCTTACCATGGCCTCAACATCAATGGTCTGCCCGAGGATATCAACATGTCGGAGTCGTACCCTCCTGCAGTCTATCAAATCGAGCCCCAAAAGAACTGCGATGCAATGTCGGACTATGAAATGAACGAACATCTTATGCAGATGAGCGAGGACTACGAGCACCACTATGCACCGCATTTGAGGCGTGAGGAGCCCACCGGATACAACAGCCCATACTCAGATATGACACGAGCTTCCACACCCAGCAGTGAATCACCAAACTACCTTCATGATCTCGACGGGGGAGACGAGCCCATCGTCGACAAGGAGCAACCGTATGCACAGCTCATATACCAGGCACTTCGCCAAGCTGATGGCCATACTATGATACTACGCGATATCTACGAATGGTTCGTCAAATACACCGACAAAGCAACTGTATCCGAGACCAAGGGCTGGCAGAACAGCATCCGGCACAATCTCTCCATGAACGGGGTAAGTCATCTAATATTTCTCAGTCACTGAGCTCTCGACTGACTCATCCAGGCATTCGAGAAGGTCGAACAACCCTGTGAAGAGTCCCGCAAGGGTTTCATGTGGCGCCTCACCAAAGAAGCGCTTCGTGAAGGTGTCAAATCCACCACCCGCTACCGCTCCAAGCAGCCCAACAAGCGCGGCAACCGTCAGCACCCGCAACCCCAACGCCAAGCCAGCGGTGCAAAAGGCGGCCAGGCAGCCCGTCGCTCGAAGAACCTGCTGCGCTCCAAGCGCATCCAGGACCAGTACCGCAGCGAGCCCTACGCCGCGCGCTCCGTCCCGCCTGCTTTCCATCCCGGGTACGCCAACGCTCACACTCAGGCCTATCCCCCGTCGCCATACTACGGCTCCGACATGGAGTACGCTTATAATCCCGAGACTCACAAGCACAACAACGGTCTCGACCTGTTCCCGCCAAGCCAGCCGATGATGGTGAGCGATAGCGGGTATGTCCTCGTGCAGAGCCCGAACGAGCCGTTGTTCACGGACAGCCCGACGCCGAGCGCTGATGAGCCGATGACGCCGAATAGCGTGGCTGCTGGCTGGAGTGAATTTGATGTTGGTGCAAGCTGGGAGGAGGGTGGTATGGGTATGGGCTTTCAGGGGTATGCTGGTTGAAGGAGCTGTTGTGGACGAGTGTGGGTACGGCAGGGGTACGGCATCCGGTGGGTGTATGTTCTTGTGGGTCTTAGGCGTTGGATTTGTGCTTGCTTGGCGCATGGGCTTTGTATGGGGGTAATGATGCTGACGAAGTTCGACGAATGACTTTTTCATAGCGCTGCGCCTTCTGTCTCCTAGAATGTATGATTGTATTTTTAGCATGGATGTCACGGTACAGCTTTTGGGTACTTGAATGCTATATCGTTCTTACCTTTGCAGCTCGCTCCTTCTTGATGCTTGACTTCTCACTTCTTCCTCTGGTGTCTTGTAACACCACCGCCTACCTCCGAGCCGCTATACTCATTCTTTAGGCTCTCATCGTCGTTATGTATCGATCCATGGCATTGCAGTCACTTTAGGATGGGTATCGACGCGCCCGGGTGGTCAAGCCAGGTTCAGCGATTGATTCACCATCATACGTGCATGTGCAGTACCAAAATTCATGCACCCTTACATGTTGAGCAGGCTTGCCATTCGTCCACCGCTCGAGGTGTTTATAACTGGTATCGGTTGATGCTGCTCCTTCGCTTACATGATATCCTGAGCCCACCGAAACTTCCTGGCTGGCAGCAAGCGCTACCTTAGGCCATTACAAACTTGTTCTGATCTGAAGGGGGACGTAACACCACATGGCGAGCATCCCTAAAGTCGAACCAGGAATCGATGAAACATGCTCACGCCTGTCGCGGTCTTGTCAGTGCCACACAGCGCAACCAGGCTATTCTACAGTCCTCAGTGGTACATATTCGTACTACACACTCACCAATTAACTGGTTGTAATCTCACGAGCTAAATCGTAGAGAAGGTTGGAACGAATGAAGTCAACGTCGAAATTCTTACGCAACACTGGCGCACTAATGTAACCAGAAGTTCGGTCTTTGTCAGCATGTCGAACGAGGGAAGAAGCCATACTCATCGCATGGGAAGCTTGACGAGAACAACTAGAGAGCATGGGAGCACTTCATCACCACAAGAGTGTTGGAGAATTTTCTTCACCGGCCCTTCGACGTCAATGGACGTCGACTCGCCAACCTCAGATCCAATGCTGCAGCTATTTCGTGACAAAGTTTCATGTGCTCATACATATCGCTCCAAGGAATAAGTTGGCGTTATTGACCATAAAGACCCTCTCGGTGCCTGTTAAAATGCCACATCCGCTTCCCGGTCTGGCTCCACTAGGCGCAACGTACCGCTGGGCGATCTTCTCACTAGCTTCGGTACTCACGTTGACGTACAGCCATCCCATGTTATCTGACAGGGCACCAGGCCGCTTTTGGACACCGCGACGAGGCACTTCAACACCATCTTTCGTCTTTCCAGCGGAGGTTATTTCCGGATTGATGATGAATGACCATTCATGAAGGCACTTATCGAAACCCTTACGCAACCACGCATGGTAGCTCAACTCTGCGAGGCTACACTATTTGGGACGACTGCACACGATGCCGTGTCAACCCCAAGCAGCTTGGCAGCCCTACCGACGGCATCAGCTCGCTCGTCACAACCATCGTGTCTACACTTTGCGTCAACCGTTACACGGTCACTGCATGTTGGAACTTGCTCACGCATCGAGCCCACTTCGTCTCTTCAAGCACGACCCTGCTTCAAGGTCTGCTTGAAGTCTCCCCGCGGATCGAGGCGAGGCTCGGACGACTGGCGAGCGAGCAACGTCTTCTTTGGGCCAGGCTGTGAAAAGAGATGCCTTGTCGCGAGTGAACAATTTGTCTCGCACAAGATACATGTCCAGGAGTGCGCCCTTGCTTGCAGACGTTACGATAAGGCTTCAGGCTAGGGCCGGTATGGTTTTAGCCGTGGGGCGTGCCTAGCCCATGTCAAAAGGCTTGCCGACTGCTCTTGGTGAAGTGAAGGATCTGATGCCCCGAACACATTGGTCCAGTTTCACTGCGCATTGCACCTTGTGTGCATGTAGGACTGTCCGTGTCACGCAAAGAAGCCTCAACATCCAGTGTAGGCAATGACTATTACATCCGCGAGGCGTTGTTGCCGTCAGACTTGCAGTCTAAATCTTTACTCGACAACCCCAAGACATGTCGCAAAAGAACGAGAGCGATGAACGGTCGTCAAAAAAGTTTCTCAGGCAGTTCGTCCTCTTAAGGAGCACCAAAGAAAGCACGACGACTCAGACATTCTCAGGTGCGAAAGCCCAGCTTGTCCGTGTCACGACCTTGGTATCGCAGCATGCGCGACACTCGCTGAATGTAGTGGTACGGTCCCTATGCAAGCCTTAGGCGATCATGCACCTGGGTACTGCCTTCTCTCCAGATTTGTTCACTTGGTTCCAAGTGAACAAATCTGGAGAAAGGTAGACCTCAGACAGTGTACATGAGAGCGCTTTCGGTCATCACGCCGTCGCATAATGACCGAGGGATGAAGATGTAAGACGCGGTTGATGAAGTCAGCACGGAACATCTGGCGTGACGAACTTCCACCAATGATGTGGTCAAGCTGCGCAAGTGTCAAAGTTTCTGTAGAAAGCTTGGCTACTTGTCGTTTAGCGCCTCATTAGCCACATGTGGCACGGAAGAAGGACGGGGATCTTCGAGGACAATCACCGCCGTTTCTCCGCACTCAATCTCGCCTTCTCCAAGCCGCAACGGATAATGGCGCCGCGGACCAGATCGCTGGACCTGCATTAGTATAGATACATTATAGTGGATAAGCATTGCACGTCCGTCATTTTACTGAACCTCTTCGCATCGGCAAGCTTCTCGCATTTGATCTTCAACAAATCCCATCATGCGTTTATCAAGTGCTCTCGCGTACACTCTGCTTCAAGCAACGGCAATTGTAGCCTCGGTTCATGATACACGATCTACGGAGGTGACTCCTTCAAAGCGACCAAACCATGTAGTCGGACCGCATCACCCCAGCAAACCATTCCCTGCATCGCCTGATCGGACGAAGACTTGCATTATCCAGGCCCATGGAAACGGAACCGACGATTCTGCGAATATCCTGAAGGCTATCAAGGATTGCAACAATGGCGGTCATGTCGTTTTTCCCAAGGACCAGAAGTTCACAATCGGTACAGCACTTGATCTGAGGTTTCTGAATCATATCGATCTTGGTAAGATATCAGAGCTGAAATTTTGCCTGACATTTGTAATTGACTATGAGATAGATATCCAAGGTACTATCCAATTCACCAATGACACCAACTACTGGCAAAAGAATGGATTTTATCAAACATTCCAGAACGCCACTACGTTTTTCCAACTTGGCGGCCATGATGTCAACGTCTATGGTGGTGGAACACTTGATGGCAACGGTCAAGTATGGTATGACTTGTATGCGAAGGATATTTACATCTTGCGACCCATCCTATTCGGCGCCATTGATCTCCATGGCGGAAGCATCTCCGACCTCAAGTTCAGATACAGTCCGCAGTGGTACACGCTTGTTGCGAACTCGACCGACGTCGTGTTCTCGAACATCGATGTGGCAGGTGGAAGTGTGTCCAAGAACCCAGCTAAGAACACCGATGGGTAAGTACGATTTACAACGATGAAGATGTTTTATTGACAATGCCACAGCTGGGACACATATCGCTCAGACAATATCGTTATCCAAAACTCCCACATCGACAACGGCGACGACTGTGTCTCCTTCAAGCCCAACAGCACCAACATCATCGTGCAAAACCTCTGGTGTAACGGCAGCCACGGCATCAGCGTGGGCAGTCTAGGCCAGTACGTCGGCGAAGTCGATTACGTCGAGAATATCTACGTCTACAACATCTCCATGTCCAACGCCTCTGACGGCGCGCGCATCAAAGTCTGGCCAGGCTCTGCCTCCGCTCTCTCCGGCGACCTCCAAGGCGGCGGTGGCTCCGGCGCCGTGTCCAACATCACATACGACTTGATGACTCTCTCCAATGTCGACTACGCTATCGAAATTACGCAATGCTATGGCCAGAAGAACATCACTCTTTGCAACCAGTACCCGTCCAAGCTGACGATTTCTGACATCACGATCAAGAACTTCAGTGGCACCACGAGCAAGAAGTATCAGCCGCTGATTGGATATCTTGTGTGCTCGAGCCCGACGGTGTGCAAGGATATTACGATTGAGAACATTGATGTAAAGAGCCCGAATGGGACGGATCTTTATGCGTGTGGCAGTATTGAGGGGATTGAGAAGCAGGTTAATTGTACGGGCGAGGGGAGTAAGGGTGGGAACTCGAAGATGAGGCTAGTGTAGAGTAGTAATTCGGTGAAGTTTCGTCGGACCGTATGCCATCTCTTTCCAAGAGTATGTTCTATATGCTGAATTGCCATGTGTCAAAACGTGCGCCCTGCGCTTGTATGTCCATGCACGTCATACTCGATCATGGCTTGTCCAGCGACTACTGGCGAACGACCTATTCGAACAGTAGACCATCCATGACCTGCTGACGATAATTCTTGACTACTACCAAATGGTTCTCGATACCGATATAGACATGAGAAATTGCCAGCTTTTAGATGCGAGAAATACTTGATGAGGAGGCTACCAAGAGTTTGACAAGGGGAACGATAATTGGTAGAGCTACTAAGTACGCTGCATTCCCGGATGTAATGGACAGGGTGTGCGAGAAGAAGAAAGGGAAAGTGTGTCTACGCCCAGGGTGGTGAAAAATGGTAGGGCGGTCTTTGAGTCGGTGTATTATGATTGGTATACGGATTCATACACGAGAAGGCCGTCCGGCATTGGTACGCATATTGACGCCAACCGTTTTGTGAGTGAAAGGTATCTATAGTCCAAGATGAAACCTCAAGCAATCCAGAAAAGGTCACGACAGTAGGATACATCGCATATGATTTATTTCCGTTGTGTGTAAACCAAGGTGTTTTGGCAGTAACATCTGAATTGATATCTTACATGCCATTATCAGCAGTTACATTGCGATCTATCCAACCAGTATTTCCAAATTTACCATCGAAAGGATGCTGAAAGACCTTGTCCAGTGAGGAATACGGCTCATACTGCTTGTCGCTCATCACAATGCTAACATTACTCATAGCTCGTGCCGTTGCATTCCATCCTGGTCCGTAGCTTTTGTACTCGGCCATGGTGGTGTTGGCGCCAAACCGCGGGTCGGTAGTGCCCCAAGCAATATATCCGCTTGGTTTGATCGAGTCGTCGAGATTGCAGTTAGCAAAAATGGAGCGATGTAGAGCGTTCCAAGGACGACCAAGAGCGCAAAGTCCTGTGATGGCGAGGGATGCGTTGGCTTTCCTGACGTCCGAGTCGTGGATGTATACGCCCTGTATCATAATCAGCAACTGCAATAGCTAATTGCGTTGTAACATACGTATTTGTTTACAAAAGTCGTATTCGTGCCTTTCCAAGCCGTTATGCCGCCACCACAGTTGCGAAGCGTGAGAAGACTGGACTGGATCCACGCTGTGCCGAAGCCATAGAGAAAATCTGTTTGGCCTGCGATCTCATTTTTGTAGAAATAAGCATTGCCCAGTTTGCCAACGTAAACCTTGTTCATATTCGTAAGATAATGTTCTTTACACCCATTCAGATTGCTTACTGTGTCTTGGTAGGAATAGAATCCGCTGAAGTAGAAGCCGGCATTGGCATAGCTCACTGAAACAGCAAGCGCTGGTCCGGTAGCATAATTCTTGAAGTCGTTGATGAAATCGATGTTGTAGGCTCTGAAGTCAACGTTGCCGAACGGTGTGCCCGCTGGTACGAGATCGCCTAGGAATGGTTAGGTATGGCCTACGGAGTGCGACTGAGCAACGCAAAGTTGGTAATACATGCCTGTTGGCCCCGATCCCGTCTTGCTTGAATTGAAAGTAGGTGCCACAGTCAAGGTTGATGTATAAGCGTTGTCAAGAGTCGAATTCAGTGCGGCACCAGTCGCGTTGCGCCAGATTATGCTCACAACGTTTTTGCTTTGGTCATTTGGAGCCCTGGTTTGGCCAAGCAGATACACGGGACCAGGTCGAGTAACATTAACTTGTTCCGTGTAATTTCCAGGCTGGATAAGAATATGATGTGAAGATGAGTCATTCGGCAAACTCAGGATCGCAGACTGGACCGTAGTATGCTTCTGATTCTGCCCAACCAAAATGGTGTTTTCCGGACATCCTTCTAATGGGTTTTCGCTTGGGTGTTGGCAGGCCACGCGGTCTAAAGCAGAAACCACAGTGCGGGCGTGTAGAAGGCCAATGGTGATTGATACCATACGCATTTTGGGCGAGATTGAGATGCGACCAAGCAACGTTGACTCGTGTTCCGAAATGCTTGATCGTGATGCTTGGCTATTCTGCCTCTTATACTAAGCTCCCGAGTCTGAACCACATCGGCCATTCTCATGTCAATCTCGAACGTTAGGGAAATTTGACCGTCATCATCTCGTCTAGTATCCCAGTCTGACGAAATTGCGGGGGCCCGGACCACAGGAATAATGGTCTGGGGTAATGCTGGAAAATATATCCACCAATCAACTAGCGTCTGCGGGTTTAAACGATGTTTAGGTGCTCGCTCGTTCGCGAGACCACTGCGTTGGCAACTCTTTTTACATCTTTTCTCTTGAATGGTGCACACGTTGTTTGATCTGAACAGTCAACGTTTAGTGTCAAGTCCTCAGGTATGCACTCTTCTGTCCTGGACGAAATTTGAGGTGACAGGCTTCACTGAGAGTCACAAATAATGTTGACAGCGGTGAAGCGCAATAGATGATGGTGTTTCTTTTTGCCGTGCGTCATTTCATGGCCAGCAAGATCGTATTGTACGCGTACATGTTGTTCAATGTTGCTGATAGATCGTTTCAGCCCGCAGGGCTGAAAGCCCGTTGTTTCTGAGTCAGCGTACGACGCTCAAGCGTTTCTGTGGTTACATTCTGCAACGGTTGATGATTCTGAAATTTGTGGAAACGATGAACGAGTTGCTGCAGTTTGCGTAACTATTTCGGGCCTGCTTTGTAAGCGACTTCGGTATCGGCAAGTTCGCGTTCGTGGCCTTCCGATCGTTCCGATTCACCTCGTCTGTTCACAGGCGCGATGTGCGTTTCCTTGTGCAGTTCATCACACGATGCGCAAGACGCTCAGAAGGTCCTGCAATCTTTGCGCGAAATCAAAATTGCGCTGCGATCTCCTTCTACCACAGTGTTCGCGATGCCAGAAGAAGTCGCCTCACCAAACAATATGTCTCTATGCCAACACGCCGCTTTCATCAGTGTTGACCGAAAGTGGCAGTACATGCTTCGCCAGATCGTCTCTCGGCTCCTACAAAACAGCGCCACGGCCTATTGAACAGCTGCAACTTACTCTTAGCAATCCTGGAACGGAAATCTTTGATCCATTCGATTCATATCCGCAGACCAGGCTTCCGCGAGCACATGTTCAGCGGCTGATCCAGCATTGTATGTCCTCGTGAAATCATTCACACTCTATCAATGATCTAATGCTAAGCAGTTCTCTCCACGATTGCCTTCCAGTACTATCCGCTCGACCTGAAAGCGACATCCAATCCATTTGTGGTGTCCTGGTTTCCTTTGGCTCTGGCAGATCCCGCGCTTTTCCATGTGTCGCTGCAAACTGCGTCTCTGGACGTCGAACTTCGTGCATGCCAAGGATTCAGCAATTCCGACATATTGATGGCAGACTCCGTGCATCTCGTGAGGCTCAAGATCGATGACCCGTTCCGAGCTGTCCAAGATGAGACTATAGATTCTGTGGTGACGCTGGCTGCCATCGAATTCGGTAAAGGCAACACCGACATCAGTCAGACACACATCGAGGGCATCAAGTCTATGGTGCGCTTGAGAGGAGGCATTCATCAAGTAAAGTTGGTGAGTCCGCTGACAGCAAGGATGACAGCCTGGTAAGTAACACTGGCTGAAAAGCAGGTTGGTTGTCACTGAAAAACACAGGGTCTCTATGATAGTGATGCAGTCTCCTCAATTTGCGACACAAGATGAGTCAGGTCACGGTGATGGCATAGCTCCGACACCGCTATGGCAAGCTGTGCGGTGTCACCCCTCTGTATCCTCCCTACTATACACGCTGGATCTGGACCCAGGCGTGAACGACATCCTATGCCGCCTTCAGATGTTGTTCCACGAGCCTGAGCAGTTTCCCATGTGTACAACTGAATTTCACGACCTCATCTGCTTTGTCTTGCATCGCTTGCTGGAACCAAATTCGGAATCACGATTCCATGATAATCCAGCAGCTCAATCGACATCTGAGTGCGTCCGATTTGCGACAGCGCTATACCTGCTTATAGTGCATGGTCCAACATACTTCTCACATGCAGGTCTCCAATACAAGCTTACCACGCAGCTCAAAGCGCATCTCGAAAACTACGCGGAACTCTTCGTACAGGGCAACAGCAACGACTCATTGGCGCTATGGATCCTCTCAATTGGCATGGTAGCGACGAGCGGGATGCCGGACTATCAATGGTTCACCAACCAACTAGCCGACAGAGCATTCATGCTCGGTTCACAGACCTGGGAGGATGCATTGTCGCATGTGCGAAACATATTGTGGATTCCGAAGCAACAGATCGAAGATATTTTCCAGCGTCATTGGCAGGTTATGCGGGCTGATGCTGTAGGCTGAAATTCGACCAAAGCACAACCTTCTTCCAAACTAGCTTCGCCTAAGTCGCATTTCAGTTGCAATCGTATTGCGAAATTGGCGCATGATTCAACCTGGACCGAAAAGGACTAGTCTCCGAGCACACATCACCTCTTCATCGACTAGACCGTATCCGTCCAGGACCCATGAAAAACCATGCGGGTCGGATGATGTGACGTGAGTACCTTTTTAGACTGCTACTCACTCCTCCAGATTTCGGCATGGTCGGAGTCTAAGCTTCATTCTGCAACGTCGGCAAGGTTACATGCGCAGCCTCGCGGTGAAGCGGCACCGAAGAATGGTCTTACCCTAGAATAGCTCCATGGACGTCCTATCAGGACGAGTCAACTCCGCTCATGTACGTTGTACAAGGGCGCACGCGGACATGGACCTATGTTTTGTAGGAACGCTCCGACTGTGCACTATGTCTGTTGCACTTCAGCGACAGAGCTGTGAGAGCACGCAAGGAGATATGAAGGCTATATTTAATCGCCATGATTATCTAGGTGGCCTCTCCCATGTCTGTCTACGAGTCTTGTGAGCTGACGGTTCATGTTGACGAGCATGCTTCTAGTCACTCCAGATCAACGTCAGATAATTTACGCTTAAAACAGGCCATACGCTTTACATCTTCTTGGAGCTACAAACGAGCTTTTTCTTGCGCTGTAAAGTCGCGTCTTTCTGACCCACCCCGACTTCCATCTCCTCTGAAAGAGTCATCTACATCTTTGTATTCCGTCCTGAATATCCACTTCTCAGCCAAATGCAGTGGTAGTGATCCTGTCAATCCTTGGACTACGTATTTGCCGAGGATAGGTAGAAACTTGAAGGCGCTGGACTTCCTTGAGTAAACGTTGCATGTAGTAATACAGATATAACTTACTTTCCACCGCCACCCATTGCGATGAACAAATTTCCATGTTCAGGGTAGTGGTCGATAATGAAATCTCCCGAAGGTGTATCGCTATACCAGCAATCAGCAACGCGATCAAGTTCCCGGTGCGCAAACGCTGGCAAAACTTCTCTTAGGCCTGCTAGTAGTCTCGCAACACCATCCTCTGGCACAAAGTTTGCGCGAATATGCCCCGGTGTAATTGGTGGCGTGGATAACCCTCTTTCGGTACTGTCCGTTCGCGTATAACCCCAGCCGTATAATGCGACCTTGAGGAGGCCACTCTCGACATGGGGTGGGAAGCAGAACCAGTCCGAGTCAAAATTGATGTAGATTGGTAGATCTTTGAGGTTGAGCATCTCCTCAGCAACCAGCTTTATGTAGCCGAGTACTTGTCCAGTGGCCACGGTCGAATTGTGCATTGCAACCAGGGTCGATTACCAGGCGCCCGCAGACAAGATGAAAAGGTCTCCGCACATCTCGTGGCCGCTGATCGTTTTCGCCGCGGCAATCTTTCCATTGTTCGCGTTCTTAAATCCAGTGACGGTGCCTTGACTAACACTGACAAACGAGACGCCAGCTTCAATGCAGTGGTCACGGAGAGAGGTAATCGCTTTTTGAGCGTCTGCCCAATCCAGCGCTATGATTGCATTAGCCAGATAAATTTGCCAGGGGAAGATTTTGGTAGAGAATCGGAAACTTTGCTCTCGTTTCCGCCGCGTTAGGCAAATGTTCCCATGGTAAATCGAGCTGGTCGAGACATGTTGTGCACTTTTATATTTACTGTCTGCCATTCTCTACACTAGTCTTCATTGCAAAAGGGCTTTGAAATAAAGCGTTCCGGAGGACTGCAGAGGACAGCCATGCATCGTGAGATTCTTTTGCAATCTTGGTGTACGTTGCATCCCCGTAGTCGAACCGTATCACGTGGGAGAGGTCAACGTCGGAGCCATCAGGTACCTAGGCTCCCATTCAGTGTCCATATTTGCCATATATTCTGGAAGCAATTACATGCGGTATAAGGCGGTCGAGAACGACATTATTTCTATAGCCTTGTCGAGCCAGTTCCGCTGCCGTGGATAACCCGAATCAGCGCTATAATATATTAACCTGGAGCTAGGAGAGTATATCGAAGATGAGGAGCTCATTGCTAGTGACCTCAATTTACTGTACGACAGTGAAGCACCAAGCGCTCCAGCATCTAATTTCGATGCAATAGCTGTCACTTTGGAATAGAATTCTCCTCGCGGAAGAGCAATTTATTTGTTCGATCTCGCTAATTTTGCTCACACGTCCCATTGGTGAGGAGATACAAAAGCTTCAGTGAAATGTTGCTCGAGCTACTGGCCACTATGTATCTTTAAGGGCTCCACTTTGAATTTACAGATCACAGTATCATCTATGGGTAACAAGAACGAACTAGTCTTGAAAGCAATTTTCTCCCAAATCAAACTCTGCGATCTGCAAATTCAGTTAAGCTGATCGTCGTCTACTACGTGATTCTGTGTGACGATGATGTCCAAGTCATTGAGTATGAAGTTCTTTGGCGCATTTTTTAGTCCCAATAAGCATGATACGAGGTTTGCGATACTCGGTGCAAAGCTTTTAGCCTACTCTACACTGCAAAGGAGCTACAATGTCCCGAGTCATGACAGATTACTGTCCTCCGCAAAACGCTTAGTGCTTGTCTTTGTCATGTTAATGTCCTTCCACTGACATTGCTAGTTACTTCCTCGGGATTTACGAGAGAAACGAACCATATTTGAGGCAGTAGTTATGATCTCCACTCTCTTTCTCGACCCGAGATTGTCCCTTGCCCCATATCTTGTATCTTCCCGCAGGGTACGTCCAGTTCCAGTCTTCCCAGCGATCCTGCTCGAGTACTTCCCTATAGTGGAAACTACTACCTGGCCACACGGCTGTAATCTTGCCAGAGTAGCCGTGTTTGTCTGTCGACAGGATGCTATTAAGGCGAAAGGGACCACAAGCTGTTGCAAGGAAGAATTGACTCACACCAACTTGTGCAACTTCCAGGCCACACAGTACCGGCCATGAACTCTTCCGCTTGCTGGTTGAAGTCATCTTGTGCACCCTTATTTGGCGCAAACGTAGCCACGTTGAGCTCATCGACACGCTTGAGAAGTCGGACGAAGAATTCTGCCATGGCCTTGAGGCTCCCTACTCCAAGAATCAATTCGACGAACGAAGCGTGACTGTTGTGACAAACCGAGCAAGCTGCCATTCGCGACTGGAAAATTGGGGCCTAGCATTGATAAATAGTTTGGGAAGCCGGCATAACCAATACCCATATAAGAAGCTGGGTCGTCCTTTCCACAGGTCTTTCATGTCTACATTGTTTCGGCCGATCAATGGAAATCATGGGCGGAAAGAAGTGTTGAAACCCGTAGCCGCAACGATAACATCCAGTTGTTTCGCGCCAGCTTGAGTTTGAAGTCCCTTGGGTTTGCAAGACACGATGGGTTCGAAGACGCACTCCACGTTATCCTGTTGGATAGCATCCAGGAAGGACTCACGAGGACTGATTCTGCGACAACCCAGCTCATACTTTGGCACGAGCTTCTGGCGCATGTCTTCGTCTTTGATCCGTCCCGACATCCATGCAGCCATCTCCTGTCGCTTCCGGTGCTGCGTCGACGAGTCTCGGTAAAAGACAGGGAAAAGGGTGTTGTAATAGCTCTCGAATGACTTGCAACGCGCAAGATATGCATCGTTCAAGTCTTTTTGAGCAGTGGCATACTCTTGAAATAGTTTGGGCGAGCTTGTAATCCAGGTCGGACTACGAATATACACGGAGAACTCTTTTACAAGAGGCTGAATTTCGGTACGGCTTAGATCACGCTGGCCCCTGCTCCAATAATACCGATTTTTTTCCCGGCAAGGTCAACAATATGATTCCAGTCTGCGGTGTGCATCATGATGCCTTTGAAAGTCTCTAGTGCAGGTATTTCTGGGTTCTGATAATGATTAAAAATGCCTGCAGCGATGGTTACAACGTCCGCCTCCCTGCCTTGAGCGACAATACCTTCGCATCTCGTATTGACCAACCATTTGCGTCTTTTCTCATCCCATATGCACTTCTCGACTACCATGTCGAATTCTATATGTGTGTGCAGCGAGAACCTTTTGACCATTCGTGACAGATAGTTCTGAATTTCGCCGGACGAATCAAAGCTGTATAGCACCCAGTTAGTAAGGCCCTACTCTGACGGTGATGGGTTGTCAACTGGCGTACAGCGTGGACCAGTCTTTTGATGGGGCAAATGAATACTGGTAGATGTCACTTGGCACGCCACATGTGCACCCTTGACGATCAGTACAACCTTCTCTCTCCTTGAAAAGTGGGCCTTGTGTGTTCGTACCTGGATAAGTGTTTTCTAGCCAAGTATCTCCAACATCGTAGTTCTTTTCTGTAATCTGAAATCTAAAAGAGGATGCAAGATCTCGCTGGAAATGGTGTGCTATGAAAGGACTGGTGAGCCAGAGCATCGATTTGCAGTCTCTTCTATACCATACCTAAGAGTATACCGGATACCCTAGGCTGTCAGTTATGATATGGCCCTCTCAAAATTGCTATACTCACACTGCACCTATGATCAAGATATGGCGCTTAAGCTTCGGTGTTCCGTTCAAGGTTTCTTCTGGTCGTATCCTTTCGTATGGAGCCAGCGTTGGCGAGATAGCCCTACGTTTTGCGTGAGGCATTATGACGCTATAAACGTATTCTTTGAAAACGATGTTGAAAGTGAACAGAGCTGATGAAACCTCGACCCAAAAAGTTTCCGCGTATTTGCGATCGCTCGTTACTGTACCTGGATATCAAAAGTGTTACGGGCCGTTGCCGGTAGTTTGGTCACAATAGCACGGCCATCTCCTTGCTAGAAAATATGGGGACGAACCGGGTTCCGTCAACTCCGGTCACGTGGAAGGTTTGGATGCGGGGTTCCACAGCCGTCAGACAGTGGGAGCGAAACAGATTTGCGGCTTTGTTAACCACCTGTTATGCGCGTGAAAGTTTGAACTTCTAATCCCCATATTCTCTGAAGTTATCCTAGTCTCTACTGAGAGCGTGTCCGGTGACGGGAAAGAGAAGGGATGTACGCGCTTGGACGTAGTCTACATATGTTCGAAAAATAATTGCCACATTAGACGAGATGTTTTATAAGGCTGAATGAATTCAAGCGACTTTACAACCGAGAAATACGCTTATGAAGAATATTACATCATTTTGTGCATGTGCAGAGCGGACTTGAACCTTGCTGCTGTCTGGTGTGCTCACAGCTTTGACTTAGTCATGTTCAAGCTTTGTTCGTCCGACAGATCCACGCCCCTGAATTCGAAGTACTTGCTCCAATCCGGATCATGAATTAATATTGGCACAAGCTCCGTCTCAAATGTAATTTGTAGTTCCATGCCCTCGTCGTCACCAGCTGGTCCCTTATGCGCTGGGAAAACGATGACCATGCACAACGGCACTCCACCAAACAAGTGCCGGTAGGCGGTAGGCTCACCAAAACCCCAGTTGAACTTACAAACATCGGAATACCGCCAATCGGCGATCAACATGGCCATTGGTGGGAACGAGTCCACGTTGATGGACAAATCCTGCTTGTTGCGTACACTTGCGAACTTCGCCAACTGGTCAGAAAGCATGTCGTGTGTAACACTTTCGGTCATGTTGCGTGTATAGCGTGCGAGTTTCGATAGCGGCACATTTGGACTGATGATATCGGCCACAGTCATTTTCGGGAGGCCAGAAGTCTCCGAAGTCACGTCAAACTGCAAATTGCCTTGTAGCTGACCAGGAAGTGGCGGGTTATTGTACAGCTTTCCAATAGTCACACCCTGTGCCCATAGTGGCGCATAGCTTGGATCTGGCTTGTAAAGAGGCTCACGTATCCTTGTGAGGACACGCCACATCAGTGCGCAGACAGCGCTGTATGTAGAGATTCGGGATCCGTCACTGGGCGAGGCAGCTCTCTTCAACTCGACAGCCTTAGACTTACGCAGATGGAACACTAGCGACTGCGACGGCTTAATCTGCAAGTTCTTTTGCGCACGAGGTGGCGCGTCAACGGGTGGTTTGTCAGAAGCTGAAGAGTTTTCGAAACCTGGAAGGCCATAAAGACTGCGGTCGAGCCACTTGGGGTCCCAGAATGGAGGCTCGAGCTTGTTCGCAACAGCATAGCAGTTCATCGCTAGCTGTTTATTGAACGCAGTACCGCCAGTGAGGCCATTGTTCCAATGATGGTGCATGAGATTGAGAATAAGTCCACCACGAATGAAGTTCGCCTTGAATGATGAGACCGGAGGACTGTTATCAGGATGGGCTTCAGGCTTGTTCCCGCACGTCATGGGAAGGTTGCTTAGGACATCGACGTTGCCGAGGATGGACGACATGAAGTGTACGTTTTCGATCTCCGCGAAAGAGGGGAACGCATCCTCTGGACCGTCAAGGTATTGGACGACAAATCTGACGGTGCTGTTCCTCCTTTTGACTATTGAGTGATGACCATCCTCGTCTCTTTCGATCTTGCCGTTCATGTGCCTAATTTGGCTCAAGCACCGCTCCAGACCCTCTTTTAGTATTGTGGCGACTTTGCTGGTGATGAGATCAGCTGGCTTGCTGTGAAGATATTGGTTTTAGTTTTTGATCACTAACCGTTTGTCGACATCTGCTACTTTGAAAAAAAGCGCTGTGTTAGTGTAGGTAGTTGACGACAAGTAATCGAGGGTGGAGAGTCTGAAACGCTCCTCCTCTGGGTCATTCTCCCATCCCAAGGGATGAACATTATATTTCTCAATTCGAGGCATTAGAATAGTCGAATTCAGAAGGGGTACAGTTGATGACAGACGCAACAACAGCGCAAGGCTGAACGAAAGACCACAATGGCGTGGTACTCGGCTATTAGCACTTGGCCATCACTCTTGTCTATCTCCCGTCTGTCGATCAAGTGTGAAAAATGATTATGCGAGTAAGCAACCGTCTTACCGTTGTTGCTGACCGCTTCTGTAAGGCCTTCCGCGGATTGCAGTAGCCCCTGCCTCATAAGGATAGACTATCGCTCTTACACCTACAGCCCCACAGAGAAGTTTGCCTGGCGGGCCGAAAGATAACAAAATCGCAAGCGAGCTGCTCGTACGTAGCCGCATCTGAAAACAGAAGGTGAAGGATGCGGGGAACGCACCCTGATGCAGTGGGACGGCGCGAAGGATCACCCGCAGGTCGACGTTCGCTCTGCGAAACGGCCCGAAGCGCACAGCGCCGTCACTCTAAGGCAGTATTGTATCGACACAAACCTCTCGTTATGAAAGAATGTCATGGTTCCAAAATCAGCGATTGCCTACGCAATGACTTTGGGCAGCCAAAATAACTTCCAACTTTCCTGAAGCGTCCTGGTCCCTTATATCAAGACCCCAGGGGCCGTCTTCAAAGAACCTTCAAAGGCACCGTCACGAAAATATTTGATTTCTTGAGGATCTATGTCAAGTAATCCTAACTGCCGAAAGACTTGTAGATTTACATTGGTAGTTCACGGATCACAAAGTACTGCTAGCACCGGTACTGACCTTGGGACCGATGTCGCGCTACAGGTTTTCACCTACGACTAAAAGCGACCAGGGTCAGACAACAGACGGTACATATCAGACGGTCCGTACCAATGTCTGAAGCTTTACACAGTGCTACTGGGTTTTGGCTACGACAGCAAGGCTCTATGTATAGCTTCAGGCACCCTGGTCATTATCTATTGTAAGTGATTACATGGAGTGCTACCTAGATAGGCTGCATCACTACACTAACCAGGCGTCATGTAACAATGCATTCTGTTGAGCTTGAACGATGAGCTACATGTCTTGCGTAATCAGTCAGTATCTCTCGACTTGTGTACTCCGAGACCTCATAATTATTTGCGCCTGCATTTAATCGAACGTTTGCATCAAGCATGCCCACAAGGGCAGTATATACTACCGTTGGGGTTCGCACTTTATCTGATTTTTTTAATCTTACAAGTCGGTTATAGTAATTTGCTGGTATCTAGCTATTACACATCATTGCAACCTTTTGGGGAAGTTTTCAAGACTTAGTAAGTTCTAGTTGGCGATACGTACAATCTTCGTGGATAAAGTGCCGAGCAATTGTACAAGGCGGATGAATCTTTCTGGGGAACCCTAAGCAAGACTATGAAACATGCAATGCCGCCAAGACTTCCTCAAAAGTACTTCTTCCTATCGCTGAATCAACGATTTGGCCCGATGCAAGTAAATCCTCAAGGATTCAAATGCCTGGCAGACTCCACCAGCGCTCCGCAAAGTCTTGTTATAGACACGTGTGAGGGTATCATAGGGAAGTTATTCTTACCAAAAGCCTTGGAAGGCTTTTGCGTGGGTGGCCTTGTTCTATGTTTGCCTCACTTGTCTTCGTCTAACTTGCCAGCTTCGGTTAAGGAACGTGAAGATGTCATACATTGGCTTGTCCCAGCAAATGACCTCATCATCAAAATAGTGATGGAATCGAAAATTTTAACTTCGATTTACTGCTTAATGCCGATACAGAGAATAGATGTGTATCGCAAAATACCCGCCTGAGCGATGCAATACTCGGAAGATATCACTCAGCCGCGTCATGCGGTGTGTGCTTAAGAGCGTTACCAGGGAACGAGCAATGCACTATGATGCGGCAGGGAAATTTCGACTGACATCTCCTCCAAGCATGCGAGAAGCATCCAGCAGGATGTATGAAACCGACGTTCGGGATTCCTATCTCCACTTCCGGTAGCATGAACCGCTAGCCTGATTGAGAAGGTATACGCAAGATCTACTTACGTTGAGCATGCACTCGTGCTCACTGCATACAGACTGCATACGGCTCTTTCGGTAAAACAGCCGCGTCATTCAAGCTTCCGGACGTTAAAGCCACAACCGGTCAAGCCTGTATCCATGTCTTGGCTATCTCGCGAACTATCAGAGCAGTCAATTCGACTTGAGTTATACTGAAGCGCTGTAAGCGTGAAGGAGTGGAGTTCAGCGCCTTACATGCATGCATTTGGCAAAAGACAAGAAATACCAGGAGTACTGTAGTTAGCAGCTACACTTACAAAGCACCGACTAAACTTGACTGGTGCAATCCCAAGTCGTACATCACGGAGGATTTACACCAGCAGCAGTTCAAATCAGGGTCTTCATTGCGACATAATCCACCGCGGCTCACATCATACATCTGCACACCATCCCGGACGAGGTGATTCGTTCTCCCACCTAAATCGCACTATCAAGGCAGCCACATTGGCAAATGCAACGGCTCAGTAGCATGCAGCTCCATACTATCTGCATATCCCGAAACATGCGCGTCAAGCTTCGGCCTACGCGTGAACACAACCAACATGTCCCTCGTCGCCGGCGCGCCCGCATCCGCCTGGTGCACCGACGTAACGCTATGCTTGAAGTCATGGTCCGCAAAGAGCAGCAAGTCCAGAAACGCCTGATGATGCACGCGCGCTCGGATGTTAGTAGGCTGCGTTTCGCACGTCTGCACGCCTGTTGTTTCTTCATTGGCGTGCATGAAGGTCACGGCGCTGTCGGCGCGCATGTTGGTGCTGCCGAGGAAGACAGTCATGGTAAAGTCGCTGCCGTCACTGTGCACGCCTTCGAGCGCGGGTTCGCCGAATATGCCGCTGTTTGCGGCTGTGTGCGTGCGCGCGTTGAACATGGTGCACACCCAGGATGGGGAAGAGTAGTCTAATCCGGCGCGTGGCGTGATGGGCACGTTTTGGAAGATGAGCGCTTTGAATAGCATGAGGGCTTGCACGACTGTATTGCCTTGCATTTCGAGCGGTGTTTCGTCGAACATTCGTGGTATACCGGAGTCATGACGTTTGTAGTCTTCTTGGACTGTCAGTGTGTATGGCTGGGCGGCGAATCTTCGTATGCTGCGTGTTTCAGGGTCGATGCAATAACGTCCATATGTCACTGTGCGGTAGTCGAGGGTCGGATCGGGTCCGGTTAGATTGCTGATTTGCTTGACGAGTTCGAAGTCGTCTTCTCTAGCTCCGAGACCTTTGAGAATGGTAACCATGTCCTCTCCGCGAACGAAGATGTGCCTGTCTCTCAAGAATGAAGCACGCAGCGCCATGATAGAGGCAAGAGACTGGTAGAAGCGAGCATGATAGCGCTGCTCCAGGACGTTGAGAATATGGGGAGTTCTCTGAGCAGTCTCCTGCCCGCTGAAGATATTTTCCGTACTGTCGTGCCTATCTATGATAGGAATACTCTCTTTTCTACCTTTGACGGTGGGTATGGGCCCTCTATACCCGTTGGCGATCGGCATGGTGTAATGATGGTATGCCGAGTTGTGTGAATAAGCCTGAAGCGTATCAAAGAGGTACTATGTGGTTCCGAAGTGAATTAGTCTCAAAAACCAGCAAGATGGCTACGAGTATGCTGCAGAAGATTATCTCACTGCTGCTTCACCTGGGAGTACCAGCAAACTTGAGCCTAACGCCTGTTGAACTTTATATCGGAGATGTCAATTCTAAATCCCGAAGACGCACGCATGGGGAATAGATCCATCCCGCCTAGAAGCGCCTAGTGCTGCACATCTCCTATCGTTATGCATCAACTAGTGATGGGAAGTGTTTCCGGAATGTGAGGCATCCATCGCTACGGACATATAATGTCGAGCAAGGACGCATGCTTACCTGTTACAGAAGGTCGGATAACACCCTTGCCCACCAGGAGTCTTGATTGCTTGGTGTCTGCACGTCAGCCACTTATGTGAATGCCGCACGAGAGGAGTAAATGCCTGTTTAGGTCATCCAAGTGATTATTGTGGATGGAACTTTGCAACCCCCACGGGACGAGCATCTGCATACTATCCTTAACCCTGTAATTGCGTGCGAGGTAGAAGATATACCATGACATGCTTACCTTCGTTTGTTCAAGCACTTCGGCTTATTTTGTGATCCTTATCGCCACAAATCACGACTACAAGTGACAGCTGCGCCAATTTCTGTTGATACCCTTGTTTCTCCCTCTTCATCTCATCAACAGCCGTCGAGATGACTCAACCATATCCCACTGCTGTCGCCAACCCAAATAGGGTATTGTCACAACGCACACACACAAAGCCATCTGAATCTCCCAGGCTGTCTATGGTCGAGACATGGTCGATATTGCTATCACAACTGAAGGCAACAACAGCCACAATCAAGCAGCGCTACGATGAACGTGCCCAAATCGAGAATGAGATATCCGCACGCACCGACGATTGGTGTATCAACATCTTCCTGGAGACGTACAAACGTCTTGATCAGCTAACCGCGGAGCTTGAGATGCAATTGGCTATCACTCAGAACTGTGGCCTGAACCAAGCGTCATCAGCATTGTCGACGTTCACACTTTCGCCATGGCAAATGGAGGAGCGGTATCGTGCACTCATCCAAATGCAATCCTACTTGGGGTCGTTCTTCGAGAGAGCTAGTCCCGCATACGATCAGTCTCAAACTGTTTGGTGCTTTGATCCATCATATCATAGATCAGATGGTCTAAACTATGACCGTACGTATCTTCATCATATCCCGGATATGCTCAGGCTACAGACAGTGCATCGAGCACATTCTGACGTTTTACTGCAGGATATGGAGCTGCTGACGTTCGCAAGTCCGAGGCACGATTGTTGAAGGCTCTCGGGTTGGGCAGCGAACAGATCCCACTCAAGCTGCTACTGACTTCAAGTGGAGTTGCAGCTTTCACAGTGCTCCATCAGTTTCTCATGAGTAAGGTACTTAGCGCAGGTGACACTATTGTCATATCTCCGTATTTATACTTTGAGTGCTTCGAGCACTTAAGACTGGTCTCGCACGTGCGGGTCATCAACACAGACACTTTTGACGCCGAGGACATCATTGCGACGGCGGAGAGGCACAATGCAAAAGCTGTTTACCTCGATCCCATGGCAAACACGCTTGGTCTGCAAACCACGGATATTAGGCGCTTTGCGCAGCTTCTTTCAGGTCGAGAAGGCTGGTCGGATCGGTATTTGATCATTGATGGGACACTAATCTCTGGTGGGATGCAGCTGTATGACTGGTTCAATGAGCCCAGCCACCCAAAGGTGCTCTACTATGAGAGTGCCCACAAGTATATCCAAATGGGTATGTGCCTTTGTGAAGATTGATCTGGTAGATGTTAACCACCCGCCAGGGATGGATGTCGTCATGTGTGGATTGATGGTCTACCCAGAAGAACTCCATAGTCCTATCGGATTGATCAGGCAGGTTACTGGAACGACCTTATACTCACGTCAAGCAAACGTTTTGCCGCCCATCAATTACGACATCCATCAATCACGAATGAACTGGCTGACGACAAATGCGGAGAAGCTCTACCACATACTGGACAGGCAGTGTTCGACAATCGCGGACTTCAACTTTCCAATTCATTGGCGGAAGCTGGGTTGGAGCCATGGTGGGAATGTGGTCACCATCCGTCTCCTGGGGGACCAGATGAATAAGCGAGCGAGTCTCGATGCTTTTACAGCACTTGTTCTGAGAGCTGCAGAGGAGGAGAGTGTAGGGATGACAAAAGGTGGTGGCCTCGGCTTCTCCGTCACTCGCATCTGGCCATCCACTCCCTTCATCAGAAACGAAGATCCCTACATGAGGATATCGGTAGGAGTCGACTCTGATGAAGTTGAAGCTGTTGCCAGGGCCATCCAGAAGGGACTCGAGAGACACTACCGTAATTCCAGATCGGCAATGGCGCTATGGAAGCTCAGGGAGAACGGTCCAATACAAGCCAATGGCATCGGGCTAGTGAAAGCCAACGGTAACGGGTTTGTTGCAGCAAATGGCAACGGAGCTTTCAAGACGAATGGAAACTATTTCGATGCTGGTAGATAGTAATTGAGCGATTGCGTCTTTCATGAGCGTGATAAGCAAGTCCATGTGCGGCACACTGGCTGAAGGTGTATTTCAAATTCGAGTATTAAGCGACGTCTGTGGCCTTGCTAACACCGTGGAGCTACGAGTCTTTCACAGGGACCCGTGCAGCCGGATTTTTGAACATCCGTGTCCAGTATTGATGCGAGCTTGTATGCAACACGCAGAGCTGATCTTGCGCAAATTGGGGTCTCATTGTACATACGCTATTGCCAAGATGATCTCCCTTGGCATGGCAATCATTTAGCGAAAATGCGGTGGGAGTCCTTGGTCGATGCTAGTCGTGTGAGCTTGTTACGTGTGCGCACCGCAATGTGCTGTCTTTGCCAAGCAACGGGTGTTTCGTCATCTGCGGCAATTTGCGTGGTACTGTATCTGCATCGGGCATCGATATAGGGTTGGACCTCCAGATCCAGGCGTTTCCAATAATCTTCAACGACAAAGTACACCAATGGTCGCACGCCAAGCGCGGAGGATCGCGATAAATGATGCCCAGATGTCCGTTACAGTGCCAAGGGTAGTGCAAAAGTAGGTCGATGACTGAAGTGACGTTGAATCCGGTGGAGTGGTTCTCATCAAACTCTCTTGTCAGCAAGAGCAAGGCGAGACCCGACGTGTTTCGCTGGAACAAAGCTGTGTCGTGTACCGCAATCTCGCACGTCCAGGGTCAACGTAAGTCTTGCGTCTTTTATGTCGATGCCCGGTCTCTACATGGGTCCTGGACATTCTCGCTGAAATGGGGGCTTTTTCCGGAAAGAAAGGTACGGTGAGCGTGCTCGATTGTGGGTCGAGGAGCGGCAGTTGGAGGAACGGCTACAATGGAAGTGCAAATGGATGAGGTTCTTGGCCTAAAGGATCCCATCGTGACTTCCTTCCGAGGTCGGCAACCCCACAAAAGCGAGCACAGACGCAAGCGAGCAGCAAAGTTCCACAGCAAGACGTGTGCGACGCTGAGCGGCTAAGAACGAAGCAGTGCTACTGCAGGCGCGAAGGCGCGAAGGCGCGCAGGAGGCGACGGGGGAACGGGACGGGAGAGGGAACCTGTCGCTTGACATGTGCTATGGCTCACCGCCGTACGCAAGACATGCATGCAGTTTGAAGGACGAGGCGGTCATTCGAAGGAGCATGTCCAGAAGAAGCGGGGCCAGTGGTCCCTTGAGTGTCGAGGACAATCCACAATGATAGCGCGGTGCATGCTGAACATGGCGGTCCTGATTCAAGGGCGGCTTACTCCAGCACCTGCATGAAGTGATACGGGGTACGAACAGACCCCGCACACGGTGCGGTGGGATGCTGGGGTCGGCCCATGAACGACGAGGTACGGCCAACCGGGTGCGGAGTGGTAGAGTACATGGATATGAAGGCGCGACAGTGACGACAGAAGGTGAGTTTAATTGTTCGTCTGAAGTAGAATGCGAGGGCGTGGGGCAAGAGGCCCGCGATAGAGTGATGAAGCGACCAAGTGATGAACTGATGAAGTGACCCCCACCATGTCGCAAGCAGCGCTACCACGATACGAAATGGAAATCGGACGGCCAAGCTTTCATCAACGACGCCAAAAGCCGGGGTGCTGCACAGCATCGTAGCCAGCCGTCGTCACCCAGCGCGCGAGACTGAACCCTCTCTCGGACTGGTGGCGCACATGACAAAATCCCAGCCTGCGACAGTGTACTTGGTAAGCCGTAAGCCACTGTTCAGAGGAAGAGGGAGCATGCACCGCAGCACCGCAGCACCGCAGCACCGCAACATTAAAAGCCGAGTGCGCTATTTAATGGCCATCCGGACCAGGCACATTCCAGCGTCCGTCTCGAGGTCGCAGTGGGCGCGGGCAGCCGCATCGAGACGGTCCGGAAGGCTTCGCGAGAGCCGTGTCACCAGGCGTCCTCACATCGTCTCCCATCACTCGCATCACTCGCATCCGACCGATCTACACGTCTGCAGGTGCAGCCAGCCTGTGGGGGTCGCGCATGAAGGTACGCAGGGGGGAGGGCTGGCTGGGCCTGGAGTTAGGGTTTCCAAGGTTTAGCCCGCTCCAGTCGGCTTGCCAGCATTCGCCGTTGCTCTCCAGTCGTCTTCATATCATCCCATCCACTCCGTCCCACATCGCGACCCGCCTTTTCGCGGCTCACTTTGCGGTCTGCTTGATCATCTGGCGACAGCGCCAGTGCCTGACAGGCCAGTCTGAAGGCGCGTGCTGGCTTTGTCTGGGGCTGTGACTAGCGAGCGATCCTCACCAGAGACGTCACTTCCCGCTTCCGCCCACCGACACAACTTCCCCTACCCGTATTCACGTCTCACCCCTCGCCGAACAACACCTCCGGACTGCGCTTCGAGCGCACCCCTGAGACATTTTCTGGACATTCATCCTATATCCAAAACAGTATCTGAGCAATAATACTTTGTGTGAATGGCTCTGGAACAATTGCTGCACTTTTACCCCCCGCCGCTCTTTTCGCCCACTTTGAACAGGCACTCGTGCAAGTCTCTTGAGGCCTCGTACAACCAGCCCAGTTCCCTCCAGCGTGCGTAGCATGCGGCAGCATCTCGAGCTTTTTACCGTAACAATTGCTCCCCACGCCAGAACCTTTGTGTACATGTACTGGTGACAGTGAAGCACTGTCACCATGCCGCAAATCGGAACAAGCGTGCCACATTTGGCTATCCCCCATGAGCCCACTCTCTCGGATCGTTTACACCACCGCGACTCGCGTGCAGTTGATTACCGGTTCCCTATTGAAGAGGGGGATGAGAGCACGGGAACCGCGAGTGAGCCTGCAGAGCCTCTCACGCCTACGAGCCATACCAGCGAGAGCATGCCGTTTTCGCACTCTGATCGCCATGAGGAACCTGTGCATGTGTCCACCAAACCTCCGCCACAAGACACAACTCGGCCCACGTCTCTCTCCATTCGAAGCCGACAGAACACGCCTCCACAATTAGATCAGTCTTCCCCAGAAAAGTTAGGATTAGGCAAGCGCGTCGGTTCCTTCATGCGCAACAGGCTACATCGGAGCAAGGATGCCTCAAGTCAATTAGATGGTTCCAAACCTACCAGCGTCGAAGCATCGCCCAAGACACATGCCGCCAAAACTACAACCATTGTCAAGACAGGAGTGGATGGGCCAGCTGAAGTAGCCACGCCAGCAGTGGATATTCCCAAGCAGAGTCGCAGACTCAGCACTTTCTCACTGACCCGACGTTCTGACAGGTCCTCGCGGGCAAGCTCACCACCCACAACAGGCTCGCCTCCTAATATGCTAGACGTAGCAGAGAGAAGGCCAACTCTCGGCAAGAAGCCAGAATCTTCGAATGCCCTTTCGAGTATGGATCGACCACGTTCAGGCGTTAGTTGGGCTACCGGTGGAAACGCGAAAAGTGCGAGGAAGCATGCATGGAGTCGGAAACGGTCCGTCAGCCAGGAACAGGTGCCCCGAATGGTTCACGATGAAGAGCAGCCGACCGCCGGCATGCTAACAACATTCTCCAAACCTGCCAACGAAGGCGTTGGCATGAAGGCCCGTCGGCTTAGCCTGAACTTGCCGGACGAGTTTATTATCGACTGGTGCGACCTCGACCAGGAATTCAGGAGCTCAAGCTTGATGCCTGGAAAGCGAGGGAAGCTGCTAGGCAAGGGTGCGACGTCTGAAGTGCGCATCATGGCCCGCAGGAGTGCTGCTTCCAAAGAGGAAGAGCTGGTCGCTGTGAAAGAGTACAGGGTTCGCGACGAGGACGAGACAGAGGAAGACTATGTTATGAAGATCAAATCTGAATACAGCATTGCGAAAAGCCTTCACCATCCTAACATTGTCGAGACCGTACGACTCTGCACGAACCGTGGCCGCTGGGATCATGTCATGGAGTTCTGTTCCTATGGAGAGATCTATTCGTTGGTCGAGCGCAAGCTGTTTGCAGGCGGTGTTGAGGGATTTTACAGCCGTGACGATCGACTGTGCTTTTTTAAACAGCTACTCCGTGGCGTCGACTATCTACATTGCCACGGCATCGCCCACCGCGATATCAAGCTTGAGAATCTTCTTCTCAGCAAGGAAGGCCACCTCAAAATATCCGACTTTGGTGTCGCTGAAGTCTTCAGTGGTGAGCACCCCGGGTTACGCGCTTCGGGAGGTGAATGTGGCAAAAATATGGGCAAGGTGCGCCTGTCAGCCCCCGGCATCTGTGGCAGTCTTCCGTACATCGCGCCTGAAGTTTTGGAGAAGAACCACGCCTACGATCCTCGTCCCCTTGACATCTGGTCCTGCGCAGTCGTGTACTTGACTATGACGTTCGGTGGTTGTCCATGGCAGGCTGCCAAACCCGAATTCGAATACTACGCTAGATTCAAGAAAGGCTGGGACCAATGGCTGGTGGAGCATCCGGACGGCGAGATTGTTGATGGGCCAGACGGCCATCCCAAGTGTGGCAAGCTGTTCAGCTTAATTGAGCCACCTTCGATCAAGCGACTCGTCCTCAAGATGCTGCATCCAATACCCAGTAAGCGCATCACTATACGTGACGTAATGAGGTCGGCGTGTATCCGGAATATCAACTGTTGCTGTCCCGAGACATACGATGAGCCCAAAGTTGTCTTCGACGCTGCGAAAGCGAACCAGACCGTGAAATTCGCGCCAACGAAGAAGTTCTTGCATCATCATATACCACCAAAGCAAGAAAACAGGGTAGGAAAGGCCATGAAACCATTCTAATGTTACGAGCAACGATTAACGAACTTTTCATTCATGTCGACTTTAGCAGTCTCTTCATACGCGCCATGACTGGTCACTTTTCACATCAGCGAACAACGAACGCGACGTTGTCAATACCTGGGATATTAGTTGAAAATGGGAGGCATGGTTCTGATTTGTTCGCATATTCATCCGCATTGTCAGCTCTAGCCAACGGAAGCCTGCCTCAGGCTATCATGGCCCGCGGCCTTTTATACAGCATATCACTCGATATAATACACTTCGTCGTCCCACTATTTCCAATCCCTTTTCGCAGCTAACGTCACACCTGGTGGGAGTTACATCTTGTATGGCCTCAAAGCTAGTACTGTAGATAATGCGCTTTGCAGTAGGCCCTTACATACTAACTATGCTATAGCTAAACAGCCACGAGCGACTGGCAGGCGACCCAAAGTGCCGCCGGCTTTTGTTAAACGTAACAACAGCGGCGATGCACATCATCGCATTGCATCTCTAATATGGGGCATCAAGCCCGAATCTAGTCAACATGCGCTACACCATGATCGCAAGTTCATCCTTTCTTCCGACGTGGTGCCGAGCGGACGAAATGTGCAGTTATCTCTACCCACTCACACCACTTCATCGGCTTCATCATGATCGAAGTAGTACAGCAATGATAGGCCACTTGATGCAACAACATCGGGAGGGGTTCTCAATACACAGGCGCTGTGATGATGCATGAAAAAATATTGCGAAGGGTGCTGTCCATCAAACCATCGGCTTAGTTCACGCACTTCACCAACCGGGCTACTCAGCTTGGCGCATATGCTCCAGGATTCGCCAGCATAAAGACTACCACTTGTTGAGATTGCGCAAGCGATATTGGGATTGTTGGGTCCACGGTCTGCTTATCAGGCCCTGGTCTTCTGCATGGCATGGTGGATCAATTGCGCAATCTCAAGACAAAAGGTGGAGGCAGCCGATGCACTATCCTGAGGAACCTGAAATACCGATGGGCAATCAGCTCACAGTTTGAGGACAACGTGTGGTGTTGTGTGGATGCGGTTTCCGAGGGCTCATTCTTGGTGCAGGATTTAGCGGCACAGTTTTGTGCATGTTCGGCAACGCTTCCATGGCGGGGCAATCGGCCTTTGACCCCTCAGTTCGGCCAAACCTGGAGTGAGACGATGACGATAGGCGACGAGTATTTCTTGTTTGTTGTATGAAGTGTCCTGACCTGGCTACTGCGTCGTATTCCTAGTAATTGCTCACATAGACCTGTGATGACCCCACGCGACGCACTTCCGGCGAACGATGTGCACCAATGGAGGCGGCGCATCGGGACGGCTGATTCTGCATGGCAGTCACAGGATCTCGTGCTTGCGGATGTACTGCATATTTACAACCATTGCGCAAAGCGACGAGGGCGCAGTGGGTGGCTGCTCATCTGATAGCTTGAATAAACACATGGAGTAATTCCGTCTCCTTGAAAGCCCAAGTGTTAGCTTAAGCTGTCACTTCTTCAGCGAGACTTTGACTCTATTTCCCCTCGTACTTGATAACATGCAGCATGGTCAAGCGGTGAAATCGATTTCAATGACGATGACAATTCAGCCGCAAGTCGCTATCGGGATAACTTTGCATGTCCACCAATAACGAGAATCCTGACCACTTCGGGAAGCGTGTGACACCGAGCATCGACGACGACCCTGACAAGACACACCGATTCGACAAGCATCTCCATTGGTCGGTGGGAAGAATACACCGAATCCAGCTTCCTCCCATACCAACATCGGTACCTGGGCATGATTAAGCAACAACGCAACAAGCTTCAACATGCTCGGTTGACAGCAGCCGCAAGTCACAATCCAGCACTTCACTTAGCCACATCTCCAAGACCTTCACCAGCGCACTCCGTCCCCTCCATTTGGGCCTTCCACATCGTCTCTGCATTCAAGCTCGCTGACCACCGTTCAGAGAACCGCCGAACGCCATCTCCGCTTTACCCGCACACTGAGCCCTATCACACCGCATATCCCCACTACCACTTCACACCATTGTGGAAAAGCCAAATGCAAACAAGGTTTGGCCCAGACGCCTTATGTCGCTCAAGGCGTTGAGCTTGTTTGAGCGCGCGGGAGGCGCGGGTGGGGGTGATTGGGCAGTGATGCATTTCTTTTTTTCTTTGAGAGAGCGGGGGAGGGAAGCTGGGGTGTAGTGATTGCTAAGTGGGTTGTTTGTTGGTGATACGAGCAATGTGGCTGCAGTGTGTTATGCAATGCTAAGTGTTGAAGTGTGTTCACGAGACCGTCAGATGCTGTAACGTCTGCGCTTGGAATTTGGCAAGGGTTCGTCTCAAGTAAGCATGAAATGTTAGTCGAGCGACAATTCAAGTCCATCAGTACGTTCCGTGTATGATCTTTGGCTCGCTTCGAAGCTTGTACTCACGATTTAGTAGTCTGAAACTGAATGAAGCCTATGTTCCAACAGCGTGACTGGAACATACTATATTGTTAAGGGTCAGCAGAAGTCAAGATCGCAGGTTCCGAATGATATGGTAGAATGCGGGTTGTCTGCGTTCTCACGCTTAAAGTCATAGAATGTAATTTGAAGATCTGCATCGACTGTTGGTCATGCTTTGGGATGCATTAGGCTCATGTCGAAACGATGTATTTGTATTCCAAATGCCACTTCACTGCTCGAAAACAGCGTATAAAATGATGCAGTAGAAGGAACGTGTGTCACTAGTTTCGAAAGGCAACACAGAACGAATCTCCAAGCAAACAGTCTGGAAAACCTAAGAAAGAACAAAAAATATTTCAGAGCGAAGAGCCAGGTCAGTACATCCATTTCTCACATCAATCAGGATTCGAATCATGATCAATATCCCTCATATTATGATCCGCTATTTTATTCTACGCTAAACTCCACAGCTCCATCTTCACTAATACAAACGAGAAAAGGAAACACAACGCTGCGCAAGATTTACAACACAGCAGCGCGCTTGCGGCGCTCCATCATGTTGTCACGCTTAGCGTATCCATAACCACCAGCCGCGGCAGCAGTGTGGGCTGGCACAGCAGGTGTAGGAGAAGGCTTGTTGTCGCCACCGTAGCCGCCGTTGCTGTTGTTGTTGTTGTAGACGGGGGCAGCGGGGGTAGGAGAAGGCTTAGCGTTACCATAAGCAGGCGCGGATGCGTACGGGGTTGCAGCAGGAGTCTTGGTCTCCTCGTCGCAGGGAGTGCTAGATGCTGCAGCAGGGACGGTGGAGGAAGGCTTGTTGTTGCCGTAGACCGGGACGTATGGGGTGGCAGTTGGTGCCGGGGTAGCAGTGGAAGTCTTCAAGTCCGACTCGCAAGGAGTGCTAGACGCCTTGGCTGGTGCGGAAGATGAAGGCTGGTTACCGCCATAGACGGGGATGTACGGAGCCGGGGTGGTGGATGGCTTCGATGCGGAGGAAGAGGGGACGTTGTTGCCGTAGACGGGAGCGTTGGGGGTAGGGGTAGCAGCGGCAGTGGAAGCGTGCTTCGACTCGGACTCGCAAGGAGTGCTGGATGCCTTTGCGGGGGCAGATGAAGAGCCACTGTACACAGGTGCGGAGGAAGACTTCTGGCCGTTGTAGACAGGTGCGGAGGAGGAAGGCTTGTTACCACCGTAGACGGGAACATAAGGGGTAGGAGTCGCTGCGGGTGTGGAAGAGTGCTTCAACTCAGATTCGCAGGGAGTGCTAGATGCCTGGGCAGGTGCAGACGAGGAACCAGCGTAAGCGGGCGCAGAAGAAGAAGGCTTGTTACCGCCGTAGACTGGAGCGGAAGAAGACTTCTCACCGTTGTAGACTGGAGCAGAGGAAGAAGGCTTGTTGCTACCATAGACAGGGACGTACGGAGTCGCAGTCGCAGCGGGGGTGTAGGTATGCTTCAGTTCCGATTCACAAGGAGTGCTGGAAGCCTTGGCGGGCACGGAAGCAGAAGGCTTCTCACCACCGTAGCCGTTGTTGTAGGCAGTCGCCGAAGAAGAAGCTGGCTGGCCGTACTCGACTGGCTTGGAAGAAGAAGCGACCACGAGGGTGGAGTGCGCACCGTAGCCATTGTCACCGTATGCGGGCGCAGAAGACGAGCCAGTGTTGCCGTAGGCTGGCGCAGAGGAGGAAGCAATGTTGCCGTACTCAGCCGGCTTAGATGAAGCAGGAGTAGGAGTAGCATGCGTTTAGAGACTCGGTGCATGGGGTGGAAGAAGGGGCGCTGCCGTAGCCATTTCCGTGAGCAGAAGAGGTGCTGTTAGACTTGGCCGGAACGTTGGGGTATGAAGGGTACTCGTTTCCGGGTGCCTTGGGGGTGGAGCTGGCCTCGTTGCCGTTATTGTGGACCTCAGTCTTGGTGACTGGGTATTCTTCGCCGTGAGCAGGAGTCTTGGTTGCAGAGGCAGGATATTCCTCACTCTTGGAGGGTGTCTGCTTAGGGAGCTCGTAGGTGCAAGTGTACTGCTGGTTGGGCTTGGTGATGGTGATGGTCTTGGCCTCGTATGTGTAGACACCAGCCTCAGGAGCCTTAGGGTGACCGTTGCCGTTGCCAGCAGGGCCGGTAGGAGCCGATGGGTAGACGGTCACGACCTTGGCGGGGACTGTGTAGACACCAGGCTTCTCGTAGACCTTCACCTCATCTTTGGGCTTGCCATAGTTGAGGGTCTTCTTCTCCTCGCTGCACTTTCCACTCTTGCACTCTTTGATGGTGTATGGCTGAGCGTTGTCGCACTCATGGCAGAGACCGGAGCCGCCATAGCCAGGAAGAGCGTTCTTGCCAATGTTCTCGTACTCGACAACGTGGATCTTCTCATAGAGCTCGTACCAAGTGCCGGTGGAGTTCTTTGCTCCAATGGGGTATGATGAAGGAGCAGCGTAGCCACCCAGAGTAGGGGTAGCAGAGTGGGTAATTGTCTTCTTCTCATGGTAGACAGTGACACAGTCCTTTACATTGGTGACGGTGACTACCTTCTTGTCGGCGTCAGTGAGCGTGGTGGAAACGTACTTGTCCTCGCCCCACTTAGCACAGCTCTTGCTGTCATAACCTTGAGCCACACAGGTGGGGATTGCCTGGTACTGAGAAGTAACAGTGACAGGAGGCTTGCCGTATCCCGGAACGACAGTCGTGTAACCGTTCTGGCCTACAGAGGTGCTGCAGGGGGTGGCCTTTGAGGAGGTGGCGCTGGACACAGGGCTGGGAGCCTTCGAGGATGGGGCAGGCTGCGATCCGTATCCACCGTATGCTGGAGCAGAAGAGGCAATGGCCGAGGACGACACCTGGGCGGGAGCGGAGCTGGAATCAGCGCCACCGTATCCGCCGTAGGCATCGTATGAAGCGGCTGCAGTGGCAGCGAAGAGGAGGGCGTACTTCATGGTGTTGGTGATTGGGTTTGATATTAAGTATTAAGTAATGATTTTGGTTGACAACGATTGACTGGGGTGAGTTACTAAAAATAAAGGGAAAAACGAGTGTGGTCGTCACTGCGAGAGTGCGAGAGAGTTGTTGGTCCGGTCGAAGGAATGACTGAGGATGAGAACTTGAAGACCGTCAAGTCGATGTATATATGCTGATTTGGAGACTCCTAGCATGCCCCTGACTATGGACTCTTCACCCTTCGCTTGCTGCGATTGCACCGCGGTGATGGCACGTCCCGCCTATACTTCGACCATTCAGTGGAGGGATTGCTGAGGCCATATTTGGACTACGACTAGTCTTGCACTATTCGGCGGTATATTTCATCGCAATGAGTGAGCACCGTATAACGCGCCTAGTTCACTTTTCATGAAAGCGCGCACCCCTGCCTTAATGCGAAACCCGCCATTGACCGTTGAGCCGCATGCCAAGTGACGGTGATCGATTGTCAACTTATTGAACTGCACCTAGGCATGCTTTGATCTTGCGACATGCCTCACAGCAACTTGAAAGCCTCAAGCATCTGGCGACTTATTTGCGCATGTGTGCCTCGCAGTATACGAAGTCATGGACGGATGATAGGACACGAAATCCTCCATACAGGATAGTGTAAAGCATAGTAGTACTCGGATTCATGAAAGCAGTCGTGGACGGTCCAAAGGTTTAGCCAGATGTGTCTGGAACTTCCGGTTCCAGGCCGTGGGGCCTTCCCGTGCTGAGCCGTCGATAGCGTCACAGTCAGGAGAAACGCGGTTTGGGATACGCGCGTTCGACCGCATAATTCTGGTGAGACGCAAATGCACAAAATATTGTTCCCATTCGATTGACACGATGTAGAACAAATACTCAGCTGAGTTGTCAATGTTCTTCTTGCCTGCGCAACTGCAGACGCGCTCGATCCCCGCTGCCCATTCCGCGCGTTGAACTGGACATGGAACCAGGTCGTGCGTTCGAGGATCATGAATCTTGCAATCTCTTGTCTTTCGTATCGATCATCACTAAGCATTGAAGACGCTAAAAGTTGCATAAGAAACATGTGGCGCGTGCCTTCTCGACGTTCGCCAAAACACACGGACGTGATGAAGAATTGCCCCTGCGCCACATCTCCACAACTCTCCCATTTCCACCTTGGAGACGCATTGGGAAGTGCTAATGCGTTGACACGAACCCTTACATGATGTCCCCTGCAGTGGAACTGCCGCGACGATCATCAGAGGTCTGAGTCGACGAGATTCGGTTGCGTTGCATCGAATTGGAAGTTGGCGAAAAGATAGGTGGATGTCAAAGCTTGGTGCCCCGACGTTCACTATTGGTGCATTTCTACGGCTATTCTGATCAAATTACTATTTTTGCAGAGGTCGGCAAACGCCAGCACCTTGCGCCGAACGGTCCACGACACGCCTCTCCTAAAAGACCACTTACCTTCCATAGAGAATTATGCATCCTCGCCTGCGACACGATGCGTAGCCGATTCAACAATGGTCCAGCCACCGAGTCTGCCCTGCCCTGCGTCTGCATTGAGCATGCTCGTTGCTGATTTCTCGACACTGCTCCTATCCGGCTAGAATACTTCAGAGTATCAGGTCATGGCTTGAGCGCAATGCTTCCACCGCTCTTTCGTCTTGACTGACCATATCATCACTTGGGCAAACTGGTCGCTCTTTCCTGCTTTGCTGGATGCAATGAAATCAGGTTTGATGGAAAGGTACCGGCTACAAAGTGATGCTTCGAACGCAATGAATCTCTTAGTAGAGAAGCGGCTCGAACTGCGCGTACGTTCCGATGGGCCGGCAATTGTTAGATACAGGACTATTCAATCTGCGTGGAACACGTTGGAATCGACGTTTTGACTACAATGCTTGCTATCCTAACCACGTGTCTCATGATCTGCCGTCTATAATAACCAACAATCATTATCATCGTCACTAAGTTGCGGCCTAATGTAGCTCTATACAACGAGTCTGGCGGTGTTACTGCATGGAACATGTAGCGGAGGGTCAAACGGCATGGGCATGGCTAAAGACGAAAATGCGGGATGAGGAAAATTAGTACTTATAATGAAGTGGACAGGGCCGGCAGGCGTTGGTGTTTAGAGCAGTCAATTCACCGGCTCCTTTGATATACCCCAAAAATCATGTGTGTGTTGTACAGGAATCCTATCTCCCTACCGGGTACGCCGGCTCAGAAAGTAGATGAAAGACACTCTTCTATTAATGAAATAAAACGTAAATGGATATGCTTCACCTGGTAGACGAAATCTAAGGTAAAGGCAATGGGTCTAGATATATAAACACCATTCTGAACCAAGCCAATCAATGGAACGGATTCCTAAAAACCAATTCAATGCAAGAGGCCATGGTGGATAAGTGCAGGTTGCAAAGTGAAAGCAGATAACGCGCAGTCCCAACATTCACCACGCTCTCTCATGGGCACTGCTTAACTAGAACTAATGAACATGACTGTGCCCGAACATTATGCTCGTCATTTTCAACTTCTCAACCTTCCTGCAGTAGCTCCGAGCATAGAGCATAGAAAAATTATCTGCAATCCGTAATATTTGGCATGCCCCAGAGAGAAATAATCAAGCACTCAAAATCAGCGAAGTAACCCTATTTCCTGGTCTTCTCAATTCTCTTATCTCTGCTTTCATGCTTGATATCTATCTATATGACTGTTGTTGCCACACTGTTGATATCCCACCATAGGAAAATTGGAAGTAAGTTAACTATTCTGGTTCATTCATGATTTCTCGATGATTTACCCAAGTATTACCTCAGTCCGCTATTTCTTCGTTAACAAGCGACTGAGAACGTCCTAAGCAACCACGTACTCACCCTCCGATTCTCAAATTTAGGTCCTCATTGTAGTAGTATCTATGAAAGGGTGCAAACAATTCGTGCCCGAATTGTTGCAGCACCTATATGGTACTTCTGTGTTATAGAGTACAAGCCAGGTACATAGCTTCAGACATACTGTGAATCAATTATCTTGAATCAAGGCTGGAACACATTGCATGTCACGATGAGATGATATGCGGAGAAACAACGGTCTGTCTCGACCTTTCAATAGAACAGAGTACACAGCTAGGTCAATCTAACATTAGGACAGTGTGCGGAAAAGTCAAGTCAACGAATGTGAGCGAAACAAATGGCGATCAGAACTTGGATATGGGTGTGTACGTTGTCGATAATATTTCTTTTAGTGCCTCTACCAGTTTAAAAATGTCCACAGTAGAGCCAATGTTGCATCTACAAATCTTGCAAACATCGCCTAATCTTCTGTCAGGTCTCCATATTCCCATTGGCCCCTTCGCTCCTCTTTGGCAACGTCCTGCTTCTTAGTAAGCGCAGCCAAGATATCACCAGCACTTCGTTCCCAAGCCTTCAACTTCTTGGGCACCATAGCGAGACCCTCGTCGATGACATCTGCGTTGATACTGTCTGTCGCAGGGTTCTTGCTAGACTTGGGGTCGAACAGAGTGACGTAGAGGGTGCCATCCTTGTCCATTTGGTCGACGTTAGCCACAAGCTGACGATCAGCAGTTTCTTGTGAAATGAAGTTGACGGCGTCGGCGAGGTACTCCGGGTTTTGGGGCAACTGGATGAAAGCAAGTTGCGCTTCTTGTGCCTGCGGCTTCAGCTTGGATGGCAGGAATTCGGTCTGTGATAGTGGGCGGAGTCTGGACCATGGGATCAGTTCCGAGTTGCCATAGTCAACATAGACGACCTCGGCCTTCTTCGCCTCACGGTCGTTGCGACGAATGCGCGCACGGTACCACTGGTCATCAGCAGTGAACTTGGCGGCCACAAATTCGCCAGCCTTAGGGTTGGTCAAGCCTGCTGAGTTCGCAGGGTTCAGGTGGAACTTGCCAAAGGCACTCATGAGCGAAGTCAGGGCTGATGTTCCGCTGCCAATCTCCTGGAACTTGATCCTGCCGGATTCTTCCACGTGTGTTACAATGACATCACGGTAGTCCTTTCGCCGTGAAGCCGCGGCATCGCCATTGGATGTTGCTGGGGCAGCGGCAGTGGTGTCCTCGGCTTCCTCGTCCTGCGATGGGTCGTAGTCGTGCCACAGACCTCTTCGCGCATCCTTAGCCTTCTGCTCCGCAGCGAAGAGCTCGTTTGCGTTGCCTGCCTTCTCGGCAGAGTAGGCGTGTACGGAAGCCAGACCCTCTTCGACCAGAGTCTTGGCAAAGTTCTCGCGGTTGATATACAGTGTGCCGATGAAGCCACCGACCTTGTCGCAGTCCTCGACATCGATCTCGACGTCGCGCTGCTGGCATCGCCTGTTTGCAAACTCATGTGCCTCTTTGCCGAATGGCTCGCCCTTGTCGGTGTCGTTTCTTGCTGATCGTGGTGCGCGAATGCCGGACAGGACGAAGGTAAGCTTGGCGTTCTCGCGAGGTACGAGCACAGTGAAGCGCGAGGCTGACTTGACAAAGTCAACGACAGCGGGCACTTTGCGCTGTCGCGACAGGAGCGTGAGCTGACGCTTGGCCTTTTCGAGAGATTCCGAGTAGTCGACGTATTGTTTGGCGGAGGGTCCTTTTGGTGACCAGAGACCTTTTTGCTCTTCTTGCGCCGCCTGCTCAGCAAGCAGGAGGTCGTCGTAGATGGGGCTGCGGTCGGTGTCGTCCTGGCGGTGGCGGATGACCGTGGCCATGCCACTCTCGACGAGCATGAGCCCGACGTTTTTGTTCTGGAAGGTGACGGTGGCCATCTCGCGCTCATCATAGCCTTCGGTCGCGGGGCGCTTGCCGTCGATGTGGAACTTGACGTGCTTGCCAATGAGCTTCTTGCGGAGGAACTCCTTGGCCTCGGGCACCCATGGCGACTGCTTGGGGTCGGTAGGTTTGGGCTGGCGGACGCTGCTGAGGTTGATGCGCCTCTCGACGCCAGCCTTGTTGCGCAGGAAGAGGGTGTCGGCGCTCTGGATTCTGCTGACGACAGCCTCGTGCTCGCCCGCCGCCTTGGTCTTGGGCGCGACATGGCCTTGGTAGACACCGACACGGGCATCCTTTGCGGCCTTCTCTGCCGCCCTCAGCACGCCCATCTGCTGTCCCAGGAGCGTCGTGTGGTGGTCGGTGCACTTTGCGAGGCCGGCCTTGAGGACAAAGGGGGTGATGCTGCCCTGCGTCGGATGCTTGACGTCTGCCACAATCTGGCCGTTGGGTGTCGTACCGAGGACGTTGACGGTCGCGGTGCGCTGCAGCAGACGCGTCTCGACGAACTGCTGGGCCTCGTCGCCGAACGCCTCGGCGGGTTGCACCTTCCCGTCGGACGGGTTCGTCCGCTGTGTGGCGGGGGCGCGGATGCCGGCGAGGAGAACCATGGTCTGCACGTGCTCGGTGGGCGACAGCAGGAAACGCACAATGAGACGATCTCCCGCGAGCACCTTCTCGACAATGGCGTCAATGTCGCGGCCCTTGTGCTCGTCGACCCATTTCTGCGCGTCGCTCAGCTCAGATATCGAGTTGATGCGGCTGCTGGATTCCGCCCACAGGCCCTTGGAGTCAGCCCTCGCGCGGGCCTCGACGACCTGCAGCCGTTCCAGCAGCTGTGCCGCCTCTTCCGAGTCTTCCTTCCGGCCGGCGTCGTCTCGCAGCTTGAGCCAGCCCTCTGCGACGGCGGTTTCGGGAAGGAGCACGCGGTTTGGTAGTACAATCAGGCCATACTCGCGGTTGGCACCCGTCGGGATCTTGTAGAGTACCTGGAAGCGCACGACCTTGCCCACGAGCAGCTTGCGCAGGTAGTCGCGTGACTCGAATGCAAACGGCTCGTCGCCCTCACGCTTCAATCGTGGGGCAGACACAAACGCCAGGCTCAGTGTGCGCTCCTGTTTTGGGTTGTTGATGTTGTGCAAGATGACCGTGTCGCCAGAGAGGACACTCTTGACCTTCGCTTCGAACGTAGAGGCAGCCATGGTGGGCGGTCGGATCGGGTCTCGTGCACGTGGGAGCTATACTCAACGGGAGCTGTGGGATTAGCTACACTGTGTCCACAAGAGCTTGCAGTATGCGTGAGCGGCCTTTGTCAAAACGTACCTCGTCAAAACAGGGGAAAACCAAAAGATAAGGAGCAAGAAGATGCAATTGATACTCCAGAAAGGGTTGAAATGGTGAAATTGGTCGTTTGAGAGGCAACGTGGAGCTCACCTTAGCTCGGTGGTAGCAAATCTCGCCTCGCCGCTCCTCAGGGTCCGTTGTGGGGTCGTTCCTTCCGTGACTGCTAGGCGACGCTAGACGTCACCACCCTTGCTATCTCACTTGCCCTCACAACTCGCTGGTTACATCATGCAATTGTCTGTTCCGATTTTTGCATCAAGACAGCTGTCCTTCGGGGACACCCAGGTTTCCATCATGGCCAAACTTGTTCCAAGAGATCACGGTAATTATTCTAAGCACGAGAAAGTTAACTTGATGACATCGATTACCAATAACAATGCACATGCGATGCAAATGCAACCATCCGACGAAGTAGTTTTACAAATGCACCGTACTCGTAGCCCTCCCACCGTAACGTGGTATACGCAACAAACGCTCCATCGTATCGCAAAACACCACCAACGCCCTGACTCTAATGCTACAACCGGGTATAGTGTGCACCAAGAAGATTCCAAGATAACCAGCGTAAGGAAAAAGACACAACGAAACAGTCTATAGAGAAGGAGACGAGGAAAGAAACCAGAAGCCCATCTCGACCAGCCCAGGCAATACAAGCAACGAAAGGAAAAGAAAATCGAAGACTCCATCCTCCACACACCCAAAAGAAAAATGAGGCCAACGGGGATGACGAAAAGACCAAACCAGACAAACAGACCAGCCAGCGCCTAACACGAAACTGGAAAACAATTCACCCACAGGAAGAGGCAAGCACCATCTTCCCAACATAACTAGTTGAGAAATGCACACTCCCCACACTGGTTCCAATGCATCGCGGAATTGACAGCTCCGCAATTCGAACACTCCCAGATGCCCTCAGCAGGCGAGCCAGCCCCACCGAGAGTGTTCATTGGCGTGCTAGACATCCTCGATTGTTCTGGTCTGGGAGTGCCACACACGGGGCACTGTTCAGTATGCCAGTCCGGATTATCAGCGTCGCATTCATAGCAGTGCCAGAGCTCGTAGCCATCGTTCATAGCCGTGTGCTGCAGCTCATATGCTGGACGATGATCAGCCTCATACACACGATGAAGATGTGTAGACTGCTGATATCCGCTTGGGCTGGTAGAGTAGCTGGCCTGATAGTGACCGCACGATAGGCAGTGCTGCTCTGAGTTCGCGGTGAAGTTCGTAGCTTGGCAGCTCGTACATATCCAATCACCATTGCGAGTAGCCGCAGGGTTTGATTTTGCCATTGTCGGATTTCGATGATGTTGCGTTGGCGTGATGAGCAGGAGCCGATTGCCGTGTGTATGGCAAGGTCGCTGAGTCGAGCGGCCTTTGAATTGATGGGAAAGAAGTTGGAGTTGCTTGATGTCACTGAGAAAGCGTGCTGGAGATTCTGAAGAGAAGTGCCTGGGAAAGATGCGTGTTTGAAGAGGTGGTTATTTGGATAATTGTAAATGTTGAACTGTACTTGAAGTGTAATGTGCTCTTGTGAGTTGCGTACTGATAGAAGTCAAAGCAAGCCAACAATGGTGTTCTTATACCAGAGCACTCGAGATGAAGAAGTGAGGCCATGGAGGGACGACGAAACGCACCCCGAACCTTGCATCGTGGTAAGGGCACGGAGTTGATTAACGTACTAGCCAAGGGGCGCACGAAGTATGGCCCTATCGAGTATCGTGGAACCAAGTCCCTTCGGCGACACCGTACAGCCATAGACATGACGGTTGCCGCAAAGGTAGTGGTTGCTCCATAATGTGACGTGTAAGAGATGTCCATGCTAACAGAGAGGGACCTAGGCATAGCATGCAACCATCGTAGCATCCTCACGATTGACCAACTCCTAGTGCAGGTGATGTTGTCGAAAGGCCCGGCATGCACAGCCGAGCATGAAACGCCAGCCCTATAGAATTCCGGACGCCTCTTTCAACGGCGCGACAGAAGGCTTGTCCAAGCTTCACTCTCCGACTGATTAACGTGGCGGTGCGCACTGCAACCCGGCCAAAGTCGTGCCCACGTCCACGTGCGAGGATGGCATACGTTTATGCACCTTGATGCAAGAGTTTAGCCAATCATCCTCTTCTGGAAACTGCTTCCATGAAATCGGCTTGCACCTTTGATATGCACTGGGATCCCAACAAGCATTGATCAGCCATCGCATGCTCGTAAGATCACCCAGCTCTTCATACCACCATTGTTCACCACGTGTTAGACCCATTGAGCATCGTGCCCTGCCCTCCTCGGTCAATTTCTCGGAGATGTTTTCAAGTGTATGTGGTTCAGACGCTATCCTTCTGGATTTGAGTGTCACGGTGCACGCCGGAAGGGCGAGAATAGATGCGACAACCCGCAAGTGTATTTGCCTTACACCATTAAAGCTCACCGTCAGTATGTGGTAAGGCTGTCAAAATTAGGCAAAGAGTATATTCTTTAGGGAAGAAAGTGGTGGGCGCAGCGTTGTCTCATGTCTGCAGACAAAGGGCGTCTTATGCGTCAGACGCCCAGGTGTACGAGGCTCTTGTGACCTATGAAGGACCTCAATTCAACCGAGAAGTCTGCATCGCGGTCAAATAGCCTGGCTGTAGGTATGTGACGCGAGAGCTACTGTCCCAAAGGTGACGTCGAGAGGAGTCGTGGTGGGGATGAAGGAAGAGTGACAGACGGGTTGATGTGGAGAAGCACAATGTCTCGCACGGACACCCTCCGCGGGGACGTTGCCGAGCAGCTTACGGCAAGAACGGCACCGCGCCAACAACAGCGAGGCTCTGTATGCTGCTTGACTGGGTATTGGCTTTCTTACAAGAGTATACTCAAGAGATTGACAGCTGGGTCATAACCTTAATGCGAAGACTGTTTTGACGTCGCGTTGTTGTGTTCAACGCAACTGCTATGCCTTCGGCATCAGTATCGCCCGGTTAGTGTATTATCTTGGCATTATTATCGCGGGCTTACGACGGTCTGACTTCGGAAAGGACCTGATGACGTGCTTTTAGTGCAGCGGGACGGTCAATACCATGGGCAACTTTATCGAAAAGTGTGTCAAAAATAGCAGGAAGTTGTCACATCCAAATTATGTTAAGACATTTCCAAGGTAAGATCATTGTCATTGACTCGTTGCTTCATATCGCAGCCACAAGGTAGTAGCTAGATCCGTCGCAAACTGATTTCTTCGTGGAACGTCATGACCAAAATATAGGGCTAGGTAGACGAAATCAAATAAACGAATATGCACTGACTTAGAACAGCCAAGCGACAAAATTCTTGTAAAACCATCCTTTTCTGTCGCCGTTGGCCTTCTTCTGAGCTTCGTGGGCCACGAAAGCCTCCTCTTCACGATCAATCTCATCCTTGCCTGTGTAAAAGTCGGCTTCGTGAGGCTTGACCATCTTGGATCCCATGGTGTACTTGTAACCGAAAATGCAGATCAGGTAGATTGGAATGCCCTAGAACTCGTGTTAGAGAAATTACTGTGGTCAATATCTTGGGTAAACTTACGAGGTAACCAGTAATGAAGTTCTTGTAGTCAAAGGCGCCGTACTTGCCCTTGGTGAAGACGGGGAAGTTCTTGGTCAAGGCAATCAAGCAGCAGAAGAAGAGGGCAATATATGATCCAATGAGACCAAAGGGAGCGACGTATGCCATCTGATCCTTGGTAATGCCCTGCGCATTGCGCGCACGTATGAAGAAGATGTGCGACACCAGGAGTGAAATCCAAGACAGCAGACCAAAGATGGTGGTCAGATTGACAAAGTAGCCGAATACAATCTTCGCGTCATCGGCAGCGTTCATGAAGGCTGTGCAGCAGAAAAGTGCTGAGAGAGCCAGAGCAGGGACAGGGACACCGCGCTTGTCAGTCCAGCGGAAGATCTTGGGAGCATGACCTTGCTCGGCCAGACCGTAGAGTGTACGAGAAGCGATGTACAGGTCGGAGTTTGACGCACTGAAGGTAAAGAGCAGGATACAGGCGTTGAGGATACCGGGCAAATGTCTAATGCCAGCGAGCTTGATGGCAACAACAAATGGTGACGCGGCAGCTTTGGCACTGGCTGTATTGGCGAAAGCAAGCTCTTTGGAATCGAAAGGAACGAGCATGCCCAGGAAAAAGACAGCCAAGCAGTAGAAGAACAGAATCCGGTAGAAGGTGAGCTTGATAGCACGGGGAATCGTCTTGCGAGGGTTTTGCGCCTCGCCAACGGTGACACCAATCAGCTCAGTACCGAGATAGGCGAAGACGGCATTGACCAGAGAAGCCCAGAATCCGTAGAATTTCCCTGCACTTCCGGTATCGATGTATTCCTTGAATGCACCCGGCTTTTTGTAGTACTTGAATCCTGTTGCGGGACCAGGCCCAGCACCAACAGCGAGAAGGAATGACAGGAGGATGACACCTACCTGATGAACTGATTAGCTGGGAGAATGAATCAAACGTAAAAACAAGGGCTTACAATTGTGAGGACCTTGATGGAACTCAGCCAAAACTCGAGCTCACCAAAGAATTTAATACCGAAATAGTTGATGGCGATGATGACGACCAGAAAGACGGCAACCCAGACACCGGGATTGACTTCTTTGTCGGTTTTCCATTCTTGCAAAATCAAGGCAGTTGCTGTTAGCTGATTTGGTGTGGTGATGATGTATTTACACCAGTAGGTCCAGCCGAGAGCAAATCCAAGAGCAGGGTCGCAGAATCGGGTAGCATAACCGGCAAAACCAGAAGAGTGAGGGATCCATGCAGCCATTTCACCGAGAGCTGTCATGACGACATAGACAAGAAGACCGACTGAAGTGTAAGCGATGAGAATCGAACCAGGACTGTGAAGTGTTAGCCTAAAAGGTTGCATCAGCGCTGTCTGCGAACCTACCCTGACTGAGCAAGGGCCTTTCCTGTACCAATAATGAGACCAGTGCCAATGGCGCCACCGATGGCAATCATAGTAATGTGACGCGATTTGAGTCCGCGGTGCAGATGCGAGTGGTCGCCATGAACCACAACGCCATTGTTGTCGGTGTTGAAAGCTGGGGTCTCTCCGGTTCCAATGACGGCACCCTTGGGTTCGCTCTTGTAGCCGTACTCGGGATCTGAAGAATGAGGGCTCACGCCATCGGAAGACGACGACGTCCTCTGGTTCCTGTTCCAAATCGCCATTGTGAGTTGGATTCAAGTTTCAAAGTGGCCGGATCGGCTCTTGGAATGAGCCGTTTGTACTATCGCAAGTCACCGCGCGGATGTGAAGCGGGGCTCTGACAGCCTTGAGCAACCTTATCGAGGAAAGGTCCCTCTAAGTAGGTGAGCAGCTGAAAATTCCGAGGCAACGGGAAAAAGCCTTGGGCGCCGGTGGTGTAGGACAGCTGACCGGATGTTATACGGTTGGGGCTGTGGGGGGGACAAGGCAAGTGCCAGGCTGATAACGGCAGCGCGCAAAAAAGCTGAGGGCGCCGGGAAATGGCGTGGTAACCCAAGGCGGCCAAGATGATAATCCAAGTGAAAGGATGCCCGTGGAGCGGCCGGTGACAATTCTCACTCTCGCGATACCGAGTGCGCCGGGGTTCTAGAGCTTTATGTACAGCTCCAAACGCCTGGTCCAACCCAATTCACCAGCTCCCCGCCGTGAGACGGACAAACGACCTCCCTCATACGGATAGGCTAGTGGCGGCTGCGCTGCCATCACAGCTTGGCGAAGTCATAGCGGAGAAATACCAAGCATTCTCCCCCACCACGATTCGCTCGCGGCATAGACGATTGATAAGAAGCTGTTGGATGGTTGCAGAGCCCGATGAAAAGCGAAGGGACCGTTGCGGCTGGTCACGCATTCAGCGCGGCGCGTCCAACAGGCACGGCAACACGGGAGGGCGCCTTGCATCTGCCTAGCATCTGCCTTGCTACTGAGGCAGGCTGAGTAGCACCGAGGTTGACAGGTGCAGTCTGCTGCTGAGGGCGCGAAGAGGGTGGCATGCAAAGCCAATATGAAGAATACGGCGCCCCATGCGACAACTCTGGAGAGCAGCGAACGAACCTTGGAGCGCGGTGCCCCCGCTTCGCGTGCTAAGCCGCACCCCAAGAGTTGGCAGGTGCTGACGGGCTGCTTGACTCGATTTGGCAAGGATGCGGACTCGACCCAATCAGCTGCCGGCACATGTATCGCCACGCCGGGGTGGTGCGCGAGCGAATATCGTCGACACCGAATCCGCGGGGTTTTCTGTATCGTCTGCCTCCTTGCGATACCCACACCAGCCAAGCCTGTGGGTCGAAACACCGCGTGTCCGTTGCGGCAGTCCTCGAGCTGCTGCCGATCTGGTCCTGGACGCTGTGTCTCGCAGAAATGCTGGCATCTCCCTGGTCACCATAGAGCGCGCTAGAACACCGCTCGAATGACTTTCGGATGCAGATTACTACTGTGCACCATGGATCCCGTTTGGTATCGGATCCAAGCATTTGGCACAGGCCTCTCATGCTCTCGAGTCCTTATCTCTCCGACCCGCCGTAAAATATAACGAGTGCCGCTCGAGGCTCCACAAGGCGCTTCCAAGCTTGCTTCATGCATCTTCATTGATCCGAGTCAGTGGTGGCGCGCTGAGGTGCGATTAGACGCCGTGCAGCAGTACGGCTGGTAGACTCAGAAGGATCAACTGCCCATGACGACCAGAACCACGGGACAAGTAGCGAACATGTTGGAGTGCGCCGTGGTGATGACCGTCTTTTGAGTTGCTGGCACTAGACTCGACAGAAGGTGCAAAGGGCATGTTGACGGCCCGAGCGCGAGGACGAGGAAGCAACGGCACATTACAAACGTGCCAATATTCCCCTTCAACTTCAACTCGATATGACTTTACTTTACTTCATCTGCCCCTAACAACATAACTGTCGTCCAGTGTCACCCCGCCAAGCACATCAACCAGCCCCTCATCATACTCCGGCTGCACATCCCTCCCCTCTTCATCCAAGTTACCTAAGTAGTTAGTAATGTCCCTCCCATCAAACTCTCTGACCTCAAATCCATTCCCCAAAAACTCAAACATATTCTCACCCCAATACTCAATCTCATAATCCTCGTACCTGGGCGCCTCCATAATCTTGAGGAAATGCAACCGCGAACCCGGCCAAATCGCCGCCTGTCCGTCCGTCTTACCTTGCTTGAACCACGACCGGCACGGGCTCGTCCACGCCGTGCGTTGCAGAAATAGGTCGGCGTGTTGACGGAACTGCTGGCTTGGCCACAGTTTGGGAGTCAGGGACTTGATACCTTCAACCTGGCATTTAGTGATGGCTTGGAATATGTAGCGTGTCCATTGCTCGATGAGCGGCATGAAGGAGCCATGGCCCAGGGGCCCGTACGGTCCGCAGAAGGAGAATGTGTTGGGGAAGGTGGGGATGCCCACGCTGAGGTACGAGGTGACACCGTTAGAAGGAGACCAGAGATCGCCGAGGTCAGTATTGTGCGCAATGAATGGGAATCGGGGGATCCAGCATGTATCGAAGCCCGTGGCGCATATCATCACATCTACGTCGTGCTGTATACCCTCGTGATCCACGAAGCCTGTTGGGGTGATGGAGCCGATGGGATCAGTGAAGATGGTTGCATTCCCAGCCACGAGGGCCTCGAGATAGCCCGGTGCAGGCGTCGGACGCCGACAGCCAGGGTTGAAGTCCTTTGGAATCATCTTCTCTGCGAGACGAGTGTTTTCGCCGAGTTTTTTGCGCATTTCGCTGTCGGCGTAATCGCGTGCTAAGCGGGCTTCATTGCTTGCCTTGATAATGAACTTAAATCGCTGATTTAGTTCATTCTCGATTTGCTTCCGGTACTCGAGGTATTTCTTGGGGTTCTGTTCAAGAAACTTGAGCTGCTCGTCGCTATCTACATATGTGTCAGCCCGATTGAGAGCCCTTCGCAAGCTACACGTACATCGAAAGTTGGCCCCGTTCTTTCCTGCCCAGGTTTGCGCAAAGCCTGCCGTGATCCAGATCGGCGACCTGATCCAGTGGTAGAGATGTTGGACTTTCTGTTGAATCGCTGCAACAATCTGGACACCAGAGCTTCCGGCACCGATGACTGCAACACGCTTGTTGCTCAGATCATAGCCTTCCTCATAGTGTGCAGAGTGCATCAGCTTTCCTTTGAAGTCATGCAATCCAGGAATATCAGGCCTAGATCAGTAGAGGCGGAAGTCAGTAATCTCGTTGGTAACTGTGTTGTGAAGGTCATTTACCATTTCCAATTGTTCAACACTCCGCCGGCATTGATGAAGAATTCTGCACTGTCTTCAGATACCTCATCGGTCTCCATGTTTCGGACTCGACACCGCCAGACGCCAGCTGCATCGTCCCACTCGACATGCTCGATGCGATGATGAAGCTTAACATAGTTGGTGATGAAATTGTTCTCCTGTTCGATGGACTTTAAGTACTCCCAGATCTCGGGACCATACGAGTAGTAATGTGACCACAGCTTGATCTTCCACGAAAATTGGTAGTTAACAGACGGTATGTCGCACGCACAGCCAGGGTACCTGTTCTCTAGCCACGTTCCCCCTATGTCAGCGTTCTTCTCGTAGCACATTATGTCGAGGTTATCCATCTCTTCTTCCGCCTTCTTGAAGAAATTCAGTGACGACGCACCAGCACCCATGAGAATGACCTTGACTTTTCGCTTTGTCCCCATTGGCTGTTCTTTGATCCGGTAGCCATGCTGGTCGGTTTCTGGTGGTAGTTCATCGCGAATCTGCGTGGTTTCATCTGTAGCGGTTCCCTGGGTGGCGTATACAGACTTTGGGGGATCTGATTGAATGCCCATATTAGATCTTCTGACAGTACTAGATGTGGAGAAAATAATCGATTGTAATATCCAAGACGGACGATTATGTCAGGAGTCATGTCAAAGCTGGTGGCAGTAGACAGGTGCACTGATTCTTATGTCAAATGTCAAGTCTGTCAGACCTCGGAAATAAAGATGGAAATGCGGAGTGCAGGACAGCCAAAGGGACCCTGAGTGCCAGTAATGCGGGGTATCAAGTCACAACAGCGCGTGTGCTGAATCCTGTCAAAGTACTGAATACTCGCTGTTGGCACATGGATGGTGATGCGCATTACCATACTGGAGGTCATCACCTAGGGCGGAAAGCAAACCAGGGTGCCTGAAGCTATACCCGGGGCCTTGACCTAGCAATCGAAGCCTAGCAACACTGAGTATGCGTTCGGGCCATTGTGAAGGCTGTTGGTGTTCCGTCGTAGTTGGCAATCTGCTGTACGAACTCGGCCCTCGTCGTTACCATGTCGTGATGACGTCGCCGCGTTCAAAATCGATGTTACACAGGCGCACGCTCGTTCAGCAATGCATCTGGCGGCGGGACAGATGCTGCAAGCCTGTCTCCGGATGATGCGAAGTCAATGAGAGAAGACATTGGCGCCCGATGGTGGGAGGCTGAAGCTGGGAGTACGGGACACTCCCGTCAGACATGCCCGTAGGTGCACAGCCAGCGACGCGAATCAGGCAATCGAGACGGAACCGGAATTCGTGTGGTGCGTGTACATACGTAGCCGCGTAGGCGAAGCTGGTGGGCACCCGGAAGAGGCATGCTTTGAAGTTTGGCGACGGCTGAGGCTTGCTCAGGCCCAAAGCACTGCTCTCCCGAAGCCGCGAGCGACTCTTGGCTCAGCGAAGCACCACCTGAACATTGAGTGTTCTCATTAACGCATTGCCAACGCAGCTCTCGAGAGGCAAACCACGCTCTGCTGCCCTCTCCCCAGCGCCTTGACATTCACAACCACGATCCCGCAGGCCATCGCAGTGCAGTACAGTGCAGTGCAGCCCTCGACGGCCCCACGCTTTGTATACCCAAGACTTATTTGACGATTCGCTTGCGACCTGCCCAAGCACCCCCCCCCCCCCCCCAGGACACCCCCCAGGACGGCTCTCGCGGCGAATCACCACCACACCTCGATCTCGCGGGCGCACTTGAGCGCGCAACGTCTTCGGCCACCGCGTGTCTCCCCTTCGTTCTGTGCCTGTCGCGCCGGGCTGCATCGCAAAGTAGTCTCCCGGCCCAGCTTCGCGCCCGGTCATGGTGCCCGCGCAACCTCAAGTAGCCTCGTGAATGACGACTCCGACCGCAATCGCCAGCCCACGCGCTTCCGGATAGCTGCCCGCCAGCAGACGGCAACATGTCGCACTACGGGAACGGCCAGAACTACTACAACCCCAACATACCCCACAGCAACGGCGGTGCGCCGAACCAGTACCAGGACCCGTACCAGGACCCGTACCATCACAGAGCGTCCAGCGCCGACGGCGGAGACCAGATGAACGGGGGCGCTGCGGGCTATGGACACGCTCCCGTGCGCCGCGACAGCTATGCACAGCGCCAGGCCGACGAGCTGTTCATAGGCGGCTCCAGCTCCCCGCAGGCCGCCCAGGGACCGACATCGCCCACGGCGAGCGGATACAACGGTGGCTACACGTACCCGGCGCAGCAGCAGCAGCAGCAGCAGCAGTACAACCCCCAAAACTACGGCTCCTCCACCGTCGCGCTCCCCAATCCTCAGCACTACGGCGGCATCAACAGGACATTTGCCGCTCCCGCTCCCGCATCTGCAGCCCCCCAGCCACTACAACCCAGCCGCCTACGTGGACAATGGCTTGAACCGGATCAACACAATCAGCCATCCGTACGGCTTCTCTCCCACTTCGCCCACCGCCAATTACCCCTCGCCCGCGCAGTATCAGCAGTCGTCATTTGGGAGGACTACCTCCGTGGCAGGGAGAGCCTCGGCTTACACAGCTCCTGCTCCTCCGCCCCTCCCCGTTCCCCCTGGAAGCGCGCCTCTGCCATCGGAGGACTGGAGCAGCTACCCAGTCCGGCACCCTTCCAGTGCCTCGTCTCAAGGCTACTACCCCCAGAGCTCATCTCATGCCCCACTCCCCTCACCCCCAGCTTATGACAACGGCTATAGCTCGCAACAGCGCATCGATAGATTCTCCTCCATTTCTAGCCACCACTCGAACCCGCTCCCACCCACACCCGAAGTCCCCCCTCATGGCTCGCCCCAGCGAACAGGGACCGTCTCGTCGCGCCCACTACCTCCCCCACCACCGCACGAATCCGACAGCGACGAATACTTTGCGCAGCCAAACGGTGGCCAATACAACAACCAGGACGCACTGTATGACGACATCTTGGGTTTGACTACTGGCGGCGGCACGACAAGTCCATCAGTCCAGTTGCAGCACGCGAATGGCCGACATTACGGGGACGCCAACAGGCATGGCTCGGGCCGAAACGGCGACCATGTGAACGGCAACCACCTCTCTCCTGAATACGCGAGCGACGATAGCGATGTGGAGGCGGCTGCTGGTCTGGCTGCACTGCGCATGGCTGAAGAACAAGAGGCTGAGGATGAGGCTCGGAGACAAAGCGGAGGCACTGGTCTTTTCAGCAGCTATGCGACTCTGCAGTCTCCCCAGCTACCCGCGAGTCCGGGTCGACACCACACGGGAAGTGCCAGCGACAGTGATTACGTTGGAGCTGGTGTTGATGTTAGCATGTTTGGAGGCATGCCTTCCTTTGGATACGGAGGTAGCCCCAACCAGCTGGCGTCGGGAGCAAGCCATCCTACAACAACATCTGGATCACAACGAAGATCAGAGCCAAGCGAAGATTACGATTCAATGCACCCCTTTCCCCCGACACTGTCATCTAACGTACGCGTTGACACCTTTGGAACTGGTGGCCTGCAGGAGCCAAGTGCGCGGCGGCGGAGCTACGATGAAGGTGATGAGATGACTTTGACTGACAACGCATCCATCATGTCGGGCACTACGTTGGGAGGGCCATCGGCAGTTATGCCTGGCGAGCCTCCTGACATGTTCTATCATCCCGGCATGTCCAATCGCCCTCTGCCACCTCCTCCAGTAAACACCAACACCGGTCGAGGGCGTCTGAACCACCAAAGCACTAATTCTGCAGGATCTGGGTCGTACGAATATTGGCGGAACGCCCCCACAGCCCGTGACACCTATCCTGCGAATCCTAACGCTATGGGAATGACATCACCTACCGGTGCAACAGTGCCACGTTCTATCTCCTTGTTGCAGCACAGCAATGTTTCACAGGCAAACCCGCTTCCACGGTCAAAAACTGATGCGGAACAAGGACACCGCTCACGTCAAGTCCAAGCTGCTAATCGTAACACCTTTTACGGTGGTAGCATTGACAGCGATGGTAACACGTTGACACCGGGAAGCGCAGATGCTGTGGCCATCGATCTGCCGACGATTCCAGCTGGGAAGCGCTTCAATCCAGCGAAACTGTCTACCAATGATTTCAAGAAGTGTGCGGAACCGTGGGCGCTCAGTTCTATCATCTATTGGCTCAAGACGATGACCGAGGGTGAGAATGATCTAAAGGAAGGGCCCATCCAGGAAGGTCTCATTGCATTGTTCACTCACAAAGTCCCAACGATGAACATTGCAGACGCTGAAACTCTGAGCAGTCGAGTCGTTGCAGACATGCTCAAGTCAGGTACGCTGGTGCACGAGGAAGAGTGGCTAAAATTCTCTGGCGTGAGCATGACTGGTGTAATATTTCAGCTTACGGGGGCCGGATGCTATGCTCCTATGCTTCACACGCACTCGTCACCCGGTCGGTGCTACTCGTATCACTGTCAGAGGACCTTGAAGAAGATTGACCTACACTCTCCCGCCGCGGCTGCAGCGTCCGAAGACTGGGCCACCTTCCACAAAGTGAAGAAGGAAGACATTGAGGGAATCAACAAGAAGGAGATTGAACGCCAGAATATCCTCCACGAGATTGTCCAAGGAGAAGACAAGTATCTCGAACGACTTGATGTTCTGCGAGGACTATACCGTGATCGTTTGGTTGCATCACAACCCCCAGTCGTTCCACCAAAGAAACTTGACAGATTCATTCGCGATGTCTTCGGCAAGGTTGACGCTGTCAGAAAAGCAAACGAGGATCACCTTCTGCCACAGATCAAGTATCGACAGCAAGAACAGGGCCCCTGGATCACCGGCTTCAGTGACATCTTCCGTGAATGGATAAGGAAAGCCAAGCATGCATACATTGAGTATGCTGCATCGTTTCCATATGCCACCTTCCTCGTGCGCCAGGAAGCAAACAAGAACATGCTCTTCCGCGCTTTTCTAAACGAAGCCCAAACCGACAGACGCTCGGAGAAGCTGGATTGGAATACTTTCCTCAAGGGACCTATCGATAGGCTGCAGCGTTACGGACTCCTCATCGACACGGTGATTAAGAACTCCACAGTCGATAACGAGGAGAAACGCAATCTCATCATTGCGAAAGAGGAAATCAAGACCGTAGCTCTGGAATGTGACGCTCGCGTTGGCGAGATGAGCCGCAAGGTCGACCTGACTGATCTGCAGGCCAGACTCATTCTGCGACCAGGCATGCAGCGGGTTGAGCTGAACCTCGACCACTTGGGACGAGAGCTCATCTACCGAGGTGATCTACAAAGGATGGGAGGCAGCCGTTTCAACTGGGTCGAGACGCACGCGCTGCTCTTTGACCATTACCTCGTCCTTGCGAAGACGGTCAAAATGCGGGAAGCTGATGGAGTCACGACATCGGAAAAATACGACGTATCTCGTCTGCCGATTCCTATGGACCTGTTGGTACTCGAAAGCGAGGATGATGATCCTGTCGTGCGTTCGACGATGAAGGGCATTGCTGCTGTCAACCCTGCTGCCGAAAAGGTAAGAGGTGGAGGTTTTGGGCGGAACACCAACAGCCCGGGCCCGGGAACACTACAGCATACTGCTACATCGAACTCATTTGGATCAGCAAACACGGGCTCGTCTGGAAAAACCGCTGTCAACAATGCTGCGCTTGAGCACAACAGAGACGACAAAATTCTGTATCCATTCAAGATCAAACATCTAGGGAAAGAGACGTACACTCTTTACGCGACGTCCGCGAACAACCGAGCTGAATGGTGTGACAAGCTCATCATTGCGAAAACGAGACACGCAGCTGCTTTGTTCGCACAAAACGCAGAACCTTTCCGACTAAGAGTTATGGCAGATGCCGCATTCGCATATGACAGTGCAATGCCATCCCAGAAAGCCATCACCATCAAGGGTACACCGCTGGATCGCTCAGTAGAGGAAGTGGAGAAATTGTTCTTGCAACAAGGTCGACCGGTCCCTATCTGTCGTGCACGAGTCAATTGTGCGACAGCTTTCAACCAGCCTTACGGTAAACACATGCTCGCTGTTGGCACAGACATTGGTGTCTATGTCTCCGAGTTTGACAACCCTCGTGGTTGGTCAAAGGTATGTTCAATCAATTTCACGCCAATGACGTTCACTAATAATGTCAGGCCATTCAAACACCAAGGGTCACACAGATAGCTGTACTGGAGCAGTTCAGCCTCATGCTGCTCATATCAGACAAGTCCCTTATTGCGTACCATCTTGACGCTGTCTGCCCGGTCGGTGGCGTGCCACCCTCAAACGATTCTGCTCGACGAGCACCGCAGAAACTGTCTGGTGCACGTGATATTGGCTTCTTCGCGACAGGCGTGATGAAGGACCGCACCCTGGTTTTCTACAAGAAGAAGGATGGCATATCGTCGACTTTCAAGGTCCTTGAGCCCGTATTCCAGAAATCCACAGAGAAGAAGTCCAGGATATGGAAGTCTGGACGTACCGAGTTCTTCCGGGAGTACGACGAGTTCTACATTCCGGCTGATTGTTATACGATTAATCTGTTCCATTCCTCGTTGGCTGTCTCCACAGCCAAGGGCTTTGAAGTTCTTACTCTGGACAAGAAGCAACCATGGTCTGTGCCAGACCTCAAACAGCCACACGTCGCTACAATCGCTGCACGATTAACAGAACAAAATCCATTAGGTATGTTCCGCTTGTCGGATCAGGAGTTCCTTCTTTGCTACGAAGAGTGCGCTGTCTATATCAACAAGAACGGCGACATTTCCCGTTCAGTAATCATGGAGTTTGTCGGCAAGGCCAAGAGCGCAGCCATGTATGGACCGTATGTCCTCTTGTTTGACCCGGATTTCGTCGAAATTCGAAATGCACAGAACGGCCGCTTGAGGCAGGTCATCGCGGGTCGCGATGTCAAGTGCCTCGACGATGGGCTAAGCGGCGGCTCATCGCATAACAGGACTATCAAGTTGAGCCTACAGCATCCAGCTCAGGAAAGATGTCAGGTGGTGGTTGAGTTGGTACTTAATGAAGGACAGAAGGAATGATTTCGGTACGATTTCGGTACGATTTATGCGACTGACACTGGTCGGGGATATTTGGGATACCCAGGGACCAACGGGTCACACATGCATGTCATGTACGGAACAGTCCCAAGGAATCGAGTGGCCTGTATTTGAAATGCTCCAGGCACATCATGGCCCATGCACATATCAGTCGTGTAGGATCGAGTGATCCGCGATGAATTTGGGTGGCGTTTTGCACGATTTGATACCTGGTTAGAGTGTGCTCTCCATTCTTAGGTAGCGCTTGCGACTTCCCCCGAGGCGGTGGTGCACTGGGTGCATATAGCATCGTTCATGGATTATCATGGGCAATACATAGCAAAGGAATAATGTTGTCGCCATTTACCATAGTTTGCCTCGGAAGTGTCGATCTCTGACAGGCTGCACGGCCTATGCCTCAATCCAGCCTACCGATGGCCCCTTCGAAGCTCCGCTCCGATACATACCTTGCTCTCCACATTCCCATATCACCCCAGTATCCACACGAGGCATGCAAGATCTGCAGCACACAGCCCTGTTTAGGTTATTCCAGATCTCGACACGTGACGGTGGCTATCACGCATCTGGACTTGGCTGACAGCTGACCCTTGGCAGTCCGACAAACTTCCCGACATCTCCGACGCAATCCAATGAAAGCTCTGCGCAGAGGGTCGACGATGCGTTATTTGACCACGAGACGAGGGTACGCCGAGCTCCGAGAGCCTTCGTAGAAGCACGCTAGAAGTCAGCTAGAAACTTTCGTTGAGATGCCCCCGGTTCATCCTGCCCCAGTATGCAGGCGCGTGGGCTCTGGAGCCCCGCGGAGGGGTATGAGGGGTGCGGTATGCATGCGGCAGTGGAGCACCATTACGAGGCGACGACAAAGACGATGAGAAAATGATGATGATGCCACTGCATCTAGATCTTGGTCTCATCGTGAAGAAGCCAGCACATCTGGATCGAATGGCAGTGGCGAAAGATCTCCATAGCACGACAGCTGCAAGTCATTCGCTGTCAACGAAGATGTGCTGAAGATCCTCGGCAATAGCATTGCTTCAAGCGTTTGCAAGCTATACATCTCGTGCATACGTCAACTGTACGTGACCGGCGTCGGGCACTATTCCCGAACCTCTTCATGTTGGGAACGCCGCATGCGCCTTTGCCCATATTCGAGCAACGACGTGCCTCTGCTGGGATTTCGCCTGGCTTGAGCAGTACACACCTCAGAGCTAAGGCTGTGTGAGGAACAACCTGGCCGACAGGAAGAGCCTCAACAACCATTCAAGTCATCGTTCGTTAAACCCAAATGCTCGGGCACTAATCTCTGGCTGCATGCTTTAGTCGAAACTTACCTAGGCCAGGCCAGGCTTGGTACGGGTCCGAGGCCTCTCGATCGCGTGAGGTTTGCTTGGGATTTGGCAATTTTCGCCACGATTTGCTTGATGATTGCCTCTTTGACAGAATTGGACCATCTGGATGTTCGTTGTGGTGAGCAGTTCGTGAACAGCAAGAAACCTCCCTAACAACCTTTGCGGGGTGCAGGTACACATGCGTATCCAGCCAATGATGGTGCCACAATATTGAATTTACTGGGTCCACTGCTGCTTCTCCGCAACTCCATAGTCTAGAGTCCAGCTCTCTCCACGGGGTCGCGTCGTGGAGACTGTGGTGGAGCTGCGTCTGGGAAGAGAAATTCTCGCCATGAGGCTCAAGAACGTAGTGGGGATATCTGGGGATTGCAGTAGCGGCACAGGCTCCATAAATGCATGATTGGCTGGCCAAGCACATCAGCCGACAAGAACCGGTAGCTCTTTCGGATTGATTTTGACGGCTGGGATACCACCGAGGAAGGGCCAGCATATCAGAGCGCTGCCTCCAGCAGAATCTGCGGAGTCTCGAGCTTGGTGCCACGGACCGGTGCATTAGCGAGAGCCCTTTGGCAGGACCAACAGCCTCACCCCTGTTTGCATCTCAACCGCGCTAGTATTAAGCTACCGAACACACTACCGTACTATCCTGGCATGGATGGGACCAGCCATGTCGAGCTGGCTATCACAACTAGGACAGTGGGAACCCTGGGGAAGGATATATGGTGCCATGTCTGCCCACATCTCCAGACTCATCAGCTCCACGGTTCTCCAGCTTTCTTCTCCAATTGGGATCCACTGAACCAGTCGATCATTCGGCCGTCTTTTGTGTTACCTGCTTCTTTGACGCTAGTTGGTTACACTCGCCACTATGAAGCTTTTCGGCATGAACGGCTCGCAAGAGCCTACCCTCGAAGAGATCCACGAACAGCAGGGTCGTCGCCCTTCGACTGTCGAGGTTGTCGCTGAGCAAGCTCGACGAAAGAGCGTTGACAACCGTGTTGTCACTGGTGCTTCGCAGCTCACTACACGCCAATCCATCATTCCCGTTGCGCTTGTCACCACCCTGTAGGTCCAACATGATGACCACTCCCCAAGTACTTCGATTCTAACTTGCATTTCAGCTTCTTCATGTGGGGATTCGCTTACGGTCTTCTCGATGTCCTCAATTCCCGCTTCCAGGTCGCTCTCCACATCACCCAGGGTGAATCGTCTGGTCTGCAAGCCGCCTACTTCGGTGCCTACTTCGTCGGCCCTCTGACATACTCGGGATGGTTCCTCCGTCGTTTCGGTTACCGCTACACCTTCATCCTCGGTTTGTCAATCTACTGCGTGGGTGCGCTTATGTTCTGGCCCGCAGCTGTCAAGCGAAGCTTCGGTGGCTTCTGTGGTGCCATGTTCCTTGCTGGATCCGGTCTGTCGACTCTTGAAGTCTCTGCCAACCCATATATTGCCGTCTGCGGTCCTCCCAAGTGGTCTGAATTCCGTCTTGAGCTTTCTCAGTCCGTTCAGGCCGTTGGCTCTGTTGTAGCTCCTGTCCTTGCTGCTCAGGTCATCTTCAAGAACGTTGGTGAAGATGGTCGTTCCCTCGAGGCCGTTCAGTGGGTCTACCTTGGCATCGCTGGTTTCGTCGGCATTCTAGCAATAGTGTTTTATTTTGCCCCTATCCCTGAGATTACCGACTCCGACATGGCCGACCAGGCTGAGATGACCACTGCTGCCACTGGCTACGTCGACAAGCCTCTCCGCAAGCAGTACACCCTTTTCTGGGGAACTTTCGCCCAGTTCTCCTACGTCGGTGCTCAAGTCGGTGTTGCCGCCTACTTCATCAACTACTTCACCCAGGCGCGCCCCGATCTTAGCATCACTGATGCTCACGTCAAGGGTGCCAACTTCTACGCCATCGCCCAGGGTCTCTTCGCTGCTGGACGTTTCGCTGCTGCTGGATTAATGTACTTCGGCGGCAAGCCCCGTATCGTCCTCATGATCTTCCAGACTATGATCATGATCTTCATCGCTGCTGCTATCGGCGTCAACACTGGTGGTGCCGACCGTCCTAACTGGGGAGGTCTTTCCATGTTGATGATCGTCCTGTTCTTCGAGTCCTGCATTTTCCCCATCATATTTGCTCTCGTAAGTTTTTTCGAGCTACAGTATCACGTTCTAGAGCCATCACTAACATCCTCCAGACTCTTCGTGGTCTTGGACGTCACACCAAGCGTGGTGCCTCCTTCCTCGTCTCCTCCGTCTGCGGTGGAGCTGTCATTCCCGTCATTCTCGGCAACGTTGCCGACCGCATCGGCACCAGGCACGCCATGTGCATTCCCCTCATCTTCTGTATGTCTACCCTTCGCTCATTCCTTCGAGCCCAAAAACTAATCTCCCCCAGTTGCCTTCGCCTGGTCCTACCCAATCTACCTCAACTTCACGCACAAGGCCGCCGAGCTCGATGCCTACTCCGAGTCCCACGTCGGTACTGAGAACGTCATCGACAACGATTCTATCCTTGCGAGCAAGGACATCGAGGCTATGCACCGCGAGAAGTACTAAATTGTACGAGTAGAGGAATGAGAGATGTGTGATGATGAGATTGTCTTTTGGCCAGAGATGATCTTGTATATATTGGCCTCGTATATATCCCATGCATGAGCGACCAGCGAGCGACTCATAGATATGGTTACGATCACGAATTCGAGATATCCCAATTACTGCAATACGTATATCATGTGTTCTATGTGATCATGTATATGCCTTGCGCGATTATTGTTACTTGATTTGATCGTCCGATTCGGCATCTAGTCATCTAGATATAGTCTCGTATCTGATAAGCTCAGTGCACATCTGATCTAATCGTCTTGAGATACAATCCTTGTTCTGATCGTTGGCCAGTGCTATGCGATTGTCTTTGCTGTGCAGGATAACAAGCCGGATTCGAGTGTAGTGGTCGAACGCCAGTTCAATGTCAGGAAGGAATGCACCCTTGGCCTTGCTCTTGAGTGAATCGGACCTGGAAGCTAGCATCATAAGTATATCGTCACCCTTAAGGAAGTTCGCGAAGTGAGTAGTCAAGGAGATGTTCTCTGCATGATGTACGAGAAGATCAATCATCAGCCTTCCGCAAAGGAAACACAGCATCTACTGAGACAGAGAGACCCATGCTCAAGACCTCATCCTTTCGATTTCCGTCGTACGCGTCAGTGGAGCTCTCTCCGCATAATAGATACTCTGCCCCAATTGTATTGCACATAGCTTCGCATGATTGTGTAAAAATCTTGCGTGCCTCGACAGCATTGAATTCCAGGCATACGCGATGCCGGATATGACTTTGGATCCCGTGGACTGTCCCTGAAATGAATAACGCATACCAACCGATCGTCGGCGGTCCACAACATCCTGGAGCAGATCAGGAACTTTAGGCATATCATACAACAGCGAGCAGTTTCATTCTTCTTGAACATGTCGTCCCCACACCTGCAATGGGTATAAGTCCTTAAAACCGTCTATTCCAGGCGTAATTCGTCTAGAGTAACGGCAAGCCCCTCAATCGTACGCAAGATTACCTGGCATCAAGTGGAGACATTGAAGGCACTTTGAAGTGCTGGTGATTGATGTGGGGGTCTCAATGCAGACTCAAATGTGGGTAGTTCCCCCAAGATGGTCTACGGAGACCGGAAGTGCCCAGAAGTGCCCAATGTCCTAAATAAAGCCCTGCCATTGCAAGGCCCGCTCGTGTGCGATCGCCGGGTTTTGGAGTGCTCGACGAAGTAACGAGGAGCTAGATTCATGGCATCTCGGGCTCCTACGCACCTGAAATTGGTCCATGCAAGACGATTGGTCATCTTGACCATCTGGTCAACAGGTACGGTCGTGTATTTTGCATTGACATCTTTTTGTCGGTGGGCTGTGAGCTATATTCCACCGTTCCGGCACTTGAGAAAGCTTTTGGAGATGCTCGATCGCGTGTACATTGTCTGGAGTGTTGATTCTAGCCCAGCCTCCCTCCTTGGTGGGCGTATCATGCCGTGCAAAGGTAGGCAGAAAGATCTCGTAGCGGGTCATGTTTCTTGCCCCGCGAGTGACTATTGATAGTGTGAGACAATACATGCCGTAATCTTGCTATGAAACCTTGAAGACAAAACGAATGCTGCGGAAATCGAAGTTCGTGTCGAGTACACGTAATGACATTGTTTCAAGGCAGGTTCGCATCCCTAAGCTCTGATACATCCGTCCGTATCGAATAGTCTCGGGGAACTGTTCCACGTCAATTTCCATTGGACATTGTTCTAAACGTAGCGGTACTTTCCATATTAGCTTTATTGCGTTCAATGCTCGCCTCTACCCGCAGTGTTTCGCAGACATACTTGGCACAGTGCATGCTCTTGCGCACTACCAACTTTAAGTCTATATTAAGTTAATACCACTTTTATCAAAAACTCTCCCAGCCTCTGCAAATCCTAATAGTGGACTCTTCGCCCCGTAGGCAGGCAGTATGAAGATATCATTAAACTGCTCAACATTACAAATTGCTCTCTCATATTAATAGATATCACAGGCCCTATAAGGACACAGAGCAGATGTACCCGTAGTTGTTGATCTTCTAATTCGAACGCCAGAGTACATGCATAATAGAGTCAAAGCCAATAACTACTCCGTTCAGAACGTTATGTCTAAAACAGGCATCTAATTGTCAGTTATAGATATTAAGTAACCTGCGAGTATAGAAGCCTCTTTCAGTCTACACTAAATTGCTAATCTATCAGCACAATTACTAACCTGCTTTCTCTCGAATCTTCAATCTACTATCTACTATCATGTCAGACGTGGATACAGAAACACTTGCGAAGACTAATTTAATGCAGAGTTCTAGGGAAAAGAACCACACGAATCGTAAAATAAGCTTATTACAAGAAAAACGCATGTTAAAGACAGTTATGCTACATGCAGACCAATTGTCTCGCGCTTGCACTTTGTCTATCGAGGCCTGCAAAAATACCGAGAGGAAAGAAATACAGATTGAAGACCTAGCGAAACTTATCCTAGAAACAAGGCGATTTTCAAACAAAGCGGATAAAGTCTGCTGAGAGTACGTCTATGTTACGAAGAGAAGCAAGTGCTCGCTAGGAGACCACCGAGCACCAAAGATAAGAGGCAATTGAGAATTTTGTACAGATGTTGAAGGAGAAGGCAGAAAATATCATGAACAGCAAACTATGGTTGTGGATAAGTTCCGAGCATGGAGGAGCAGACTTGGAGGAAGAAAAGGCAGACTTGAAAGAAGAAGAGGTGGACACACATGAAGGAGGGATGGGCTCGGCGATGGGAGGTGCAACCTCGGAGAAAGGATATGGGGCTTGGGTGGCTCAAAGAGCTGCAAAAGCCTGAAACATGCTGCCCTACTTACGCACATTAACGGCCAGACATCATTATCAATGTATATCATTGTCACGAGAGTCTCTGAAAACCTGAAGTTCTCTCGCTTTGGCACTGAGGTAACATGGAGAAAATAACTCTAGGACTATGTGAGTACAGAATGCCGCACACAAGCAGCTTCTGTGCATGACTGTGTGCGCATCTTTGAAGTTACTGTAATGCGCATTCGTGAGGCAGATTTACCTGCGATGTCCTGATAAGCATGTGCCTAGTAGCTAAAGGCGTTGTGAAGTGACACCGGCGAACTGGGTGCGGGGGCGACGTATTCAGGTTGCCCTCGCAACGCACACAACAGAATACTCAATTGATCGTAGGCTACCATCTTATAACACCGAAACAATCTTGCACTGCAAAAATACCTTTAAGTATCGCTGTGAAGCGAATGTGTCATTGCATTCAAATGCTCTCCAGTACATCGATTATTGCAAAGTGATTCGTAGAGGCGGCAGCAACAATTGAAACTTGGCTGCGAAGACATAAGTAACATGTGGACTTTGCGATGGTGGCGTGGCGGACGGATGTGATTATGATGCTGAACAGGGAGAACACAAAGTCCACATGTTACTGGGAAAACGGATATGCGGGTGTGACGTTCAAGTGCACGCGTGAACTTGGCGTGTGCCGTATCCTGGGGTACACGACCGAACCCTGGAAAAGTGGTTATTCAAAAATTACGAATTTGTGCATCGACCTGCATCGCTCGAGGACGATGCTAATTCCGTTGACGGTGATTGGTGCGGCGGTCCTGAGCTTGGGGTGTGCGAGGCTGGTGTTAGAGAAGAGGGCAAGTGGGTATGAGTATGAGAGTGCGGACAAGAGGGTGGAGAGGGCGGAGAGGTTGCAGAGGGAATGAAAGGGTGGGCTTGCTAAAATAGAGTTTGGGTGACAATCGACGGGGAAAGTTGGTCGTGTAGCATGCTGTGATCTTGGAAAAGAGGTAAATTATGATTCATGGATAAATACAACTCGATGCCATTGCATGTAATGACAGTCTTTGCTTTGATCCTGTCCGACATTGATGGAGGTGCGCAATCACTAACACAATACTGCAAAGAGGCAGGTCCTTCAAGTTCGATGCCGCTCTGCTGGTAAGACTTAAAGGGTCCAGGACGACTACAGACAGAGTCTTTGCAACATCACCTGCAAACACTGCTCTCTTGCGAAGGGTGTTGTTGCTTGCTTAACAAAGAATTGGCGTGAGATGCAAGTATGCTGATTGACCATGTTTACTGCGTCATCTGCAATACCGCCACCAAGACAAGCTCGACATTACATCATAACCCGAGTCATGAATACTTAGCAGACTGTGGAATGCCCCTCGGGTTCATGCTCCGTAACTATCTCCAAAGGGACTCGGTTCCACGCGCAGCCCACCCTAGTATTGACCACTTCGCTTAGTGCCGAACTGCCAAGGCCACAGACCTTTCGCATGCCACTTGGAAAATAGGTATAACCACTGACGCACGTCGACAAGGCTGTCTGCCCTACAGGCTCAAGCGCGAAACAACAGAATGCGCATTCGGCAGCACGACATGGTACAGCACACTGCATGTTCAGACTGCGATGTCACCATCCCACCAGAATAAGTAAATCGTTCAGCTCAATCATAATCGGGCCTGAGATCATATGACTGTTCTTTTGCATCCTTTCTTTTTATCCGCGTACGAAAAAGAACCTCCTCCAATCCATATGCACAACGCAGAGTTGAGGCTCTCATTCAGCCCAGAATAGCCGCTGCTGTGGGTCCCGATTGGGCTTTTCTCTCCCACAAGTGGATCCACTGGGCAGCCACGAGCCGCAACTACACATTCCATGTAGCTGGAACCCAATCAGAGACCTGTTCGGGCAGCGATGGGCATGCACTCATTCTCTTGGTAGAAATAAGTGACTCACAGCAGCGGAGCGGAATCTGACTAGAGAGGAAACGTAGCAAAACTGGATAATACGGATGTAAGATTTGAGGTCGAAAAAGAGGCCTTGGTAGACGGTAGATATCCACTGTAAAAGAGCAATGCAAGGCTGAACAGGTGGCCCACATGTTCCTTCTTTGCGCTAACTACGACAGTCATTATGCGAGACATGAGACTTTGGGAAAAATTAAGGACTGAGACGTTGCAGCGGTAGCACAGCGATAGAAAATTTTCTGAACGAAGTTTGGATGATCTCTTACCTACGACTTACCTCGGGTTTTTTTATCGTTGGAATCATACTGTGACATTGCTTCTTGTCAGCAGGGTCACTGGTTCTCAAGATGACAAAGCTGCTTCTGTACTGTATGCGAAACGGGCGAGCTGCAAGAGCGTTGACGTGAAATTTCCGGTAGCCACCTCTACAGCTATGCACACATGCAAATGCTGAACTTGTGTTACTGGACACTCTGCTGATCCGGTGGCTGCCGATATCGCACCCCTGTGAGACAGTGCACAACCATATGCTGGGCTGCAAGCCATCGATTTGCAGAAATGCGATGATGTGGAAATGGCGTTCAGCCCGAGGATAGCATGCTTGTCGTACGGTAAGCCTATCGAGATGTCAGTCAAGTTAGTGGGAAATGTGCAATGACGGCGCTCTGTGTGGATTGATGTGATGAATGAAGCACTACCCCGCGCTAAACACAGGTGTAGCGGAGCGTGAGCCACATTTACTACGTGCAACAGCAGCTTCCGCGACCTGGTCTTTGGCGCAAGTTTGCGTCTTGCGAGGTCCGACACTCGACCAGAATAAAGGCTGACTCAGGTGGTACTCAGGCTTAAAAGCGTTCCAAACGAGTAGGGCTGCATCGCTGATAGCTTTTGATTTGAAACATGACAAGCAGAAGGCTACTCTTGTTGCACGGTTAAGAAGTGGCGTTGTGGAGATGGTGTGGGAGGATTGGACGAGCGGGTGCGATTTGCAGATGCGCAGTGCCACGGCTGCACTGTTCCACAGCCAGAAGTCCGGCGAAGAAACACGCTCGCAAAATGTCCAAAATTCATGGTGAACTGCCGACAGTCGGGTCGAGCTGAACGAGCACGAAGCTACGTTGAACTATCACAGCATTGAGCCAAAAAGTCGAGCCAATGCCGTGCGGATGCCACTGTACTTGCCTCCAGACACGATAATGGTTCTCGTTAGTGTTACAACTCGAGGGCAGCAGCCCATAAAGGCAGCATGCTCTCGTCGTATCTAAGGCAGCGGATCAAGTCGGGGATGAGTTGCGATGATTTGTTGAGATGGTGTACGTTGCTCGATGGCTTGCAGCTCTCACCGGAAAGCTAGGTGGGTGGGGTAGTGACGACTCGACGAGTGAGCAGACTGGAGCTTCGCCGGCCCGCGTGACGGCTGCCCCCGGAGGCAAAGCGGAAAGGTTACACCAAGTACAGCTGTCTGCGTGTAGTTGGATGTCGTGCTGGTGGGTGGGGCAGGCTTGTTCTGGAATGCTGCGATTAAGCCGTGCGAGCTGGCGTGGCAGGCATTTGCCAGTCAGCCTTGGGTGAACAACTCTGGTGGCGATGGACAGACTTTGTCGCGTCTTGCCGGACCTTAATGAATTGTCGTGCCGGATGGCCTGCTTTGCTGTCCCTGCAGAGTCGACGTGGCAGCTGCAGGACATGGTGCACTAGCGACCACAGTAGACAGCAAGACAGATGGGGTGTGGCTCAGCAATGACGTCGCGAAGCAGAATGCGAAGAAGAGAGTACATGGAGCTAGGGAAAGCTGCCCTGCGACCGTTTCCCGGTGCATGGTGAGAAGCGAGCGTGTGGTCGCGATGGGAATGGGAACACAGGATGGCGCCAAGACTTGACCACAAGCGGAAAGAGGTAGGTGCGTCTGGTGTAAGGTTGGGCTAGCGTGGAGCAAAGAGCGTATGGCATGCTCTCTTGTGAGGCTAGGCGTCGGACACTCGATCGAACATCGCGGTCGTGGTCGTGGTCGTGTCCTGGGAGGCGGTGAGGGCCGGTAGAGTTGAAGCGGAGACTCGACAGCGATTTGGCTGGCCGCATAAGGACGCGCGACGATCCTGGTTCACACTTGTTTCACCCGTTCGACGAGCAGCTGGTAGCCAGTAAGGCTGCCACGGCTCCTGGTGTGTCTGACGGCTGCAACAGCCAATCGCCGACACTGGTGCGGATGAAGGCTAAATTTGGCGAAGCCGTGTGGACGTGATCAGCAGCAGGGTGAGGCATGCGGCCGTTGGCGGCGATGGCAGACGACGGGCTGCTGTAGCCTGTGAGGCATGCCAGTGCTGTACAGTAGGAAGAGATGAAGCACTCTACTCTAGGAAGCCGGCTAATCTGGGGCTGCAGCAGGTGGCAGGCATGGCTGGGCCAGACGAGCGAGCGCGATCAAGTGCAGGCTCTCGTCGCCATGGCACTCTGCATCTGCGTCTGCATCTGCATCTGCATGCCGCGGGCGAGAAGGCGATGGTGGTGGTGCGGAGACTGCGTCACCCAGCAAAGCCGCTGGAGAAGGAGCCGTCCACTGTCCACTGTCCATTGTTCGCTGTCCACTGTCCGGTCCAGCAGTGAGTGCCGTCTCGTGACGGCGAGGGCAGGCACGGCCGGGCAGCAGGAGCGGACTTGGAGCTGCCCAACGAGACGTTAGACGCAGTGCATGAGTGTGCTGTGACCTAGCTGGCCTTATATTAGAGTAGACGAGGAGCGAGCGCGTTTTGAAAAAAAAGTCTCCCGCCCCTCCGTTCCGCAGCAGAAGCCCGAAAAAAGGACCCTGGGCTGCATGCCGCACACACAATCGCCCTGTCATACCCAGCCGTCCCGTCAGACTTCACTCGCCCTCTTCTGCCTCTGCTCACTTATCCCCTTCCACGCCCGCACCCGCACACGCTATGAGACGGTCGCATGCGCATGCTGAGCTCTGTTTTCGCATCACTGTCGACTCTCCCACCAGCATCGCCCTCGTCGGCTGTATCGATAGCACCCGACGCTAAGTTTTGGGCAACAGCCTTACCTACCTGCGGTAGCCATCTCGCGCGCTCAACGCCCACTCCTTCCCGCTCTCCTCCTCCCCCCAGAGCTTGC